CGTGCAGGAATAACCTTGAATCCAAGGTAATCCTGCAGCAGAATATGGAAATTTTCACAGTTCGTTCCTCACATGGGTACTAGCAACTCTTACTCTATTTCCATTTTCTTTTCAACCCCTCTTATATATACAAAAAAAAAATTTCCTTATTTTTTTGCTATGGAGCCATTTTGGAAAAATGACTAATTTCTCTCTCCAATAACGAACAAAAATTTTGCTTGCACACGGAGATCTTAATCAATTTTTATAAAAAATTTATATAAATTTATAGTAATTTTTTTTAAATTTAAAGTCTTTAATTCGCAAGAATGAAAAGTAAAATAAATTTAATTTGTAAAAATTATATTTTAGAATGTAAGCTAGCTAGAGATTTGATAATAATTATAACTTTATATATTTAATCTTTTTTAAAACCGTTTTATATTAAAAGTCTTTTTGCTTTTTCACAAAGGGGTTTTTCCTTTGGTATTGCTTCCTCATGAAGTGGAAGTAAGTCAAAATGGAAGAAAATTTAAAGATGGCGGAGGAAGAAGGACATTAAAAAGGAAGGATTTGCAATCACATTGGAATTTAAAATTGATCATAATGAGCTAAAATTTGTAAAGCTTCTTTGGGAAATTAATTTAACTCTTATTTTAAAAAGTTTTGCTCAATGATGAGCCTAATTTAAAATTCTTACTCCTCAGCGAACAAGATCCCTATTTTTTGGATAAAAAAACCACACTCGTGAGCTAACTCCCCCCCCCCTCCGTGAGTGAACAAAAAAATTTTTGTTCACTCACGGAGGGGGGTTAATTTTTTTTTTTAAAAAAAAATTATATATAATTTTATAAACAATATTTTTTTTCGAAATTTAAAAAAAAATCCTAATTCGCAAAAATTGGAAAGCAAATATTAATTTAATTTATAAAATTTATGTTTTAAAAAGCAATTCGTTAAAAATTAAACAGAATTAGCTCTAGATTTCATTATAATAATTATCATTTATATATTAAATTTTTTTTACTTAAAAAATTTTTCTATTAAAAAAATTTTTGTTCACTCACGGAGGGTGGGTTTTTGGGCAAAAAATAGGGATTTTTCTAATGGTTTTGTTCACTCACGGAGGGGGGGAGTAAGAAATTTTTTTTTAATTTTATATCAAAAATACTTTGATACATAAGTGATAAGTACGATAATGAAATATCTAGCTAATCTATTGGATTTAAACAGCTTAAATTTTAAAATATAAATTATACAAAATAAATTAACATTTACTTCCCAATTTTTGCAAATTTGAATTGTTTAAATTTCAAAAAAATTACTATAAAACTTATATAAAGTTTTAAAAAAAAATTAAGTCCCTAAGTTAGTGAATAAAATATTTTTACTTTACTTAAGGAAAGGAGGAGCTAATATTATCAAGATAGTATATTTTCTGAATTACTAAAAGATAATATCGTTAATCATAATGAATTAAAAATTTTATACTAATTAGTCTTATTATATTTATTGTATGAAAATCCGAAAACTCTTCAGCACAGATGCTTTATATTTATAATAGAGTATATCTTTATAATTATTCTTATCTCTATTTAGATTAAATTATATACCAAATTATAAGCAGATAAGAAATTTTTAGCATTGTTTATTATCAATTTTTAACTTCTTTGCAGAGTGCTCAGTGTCATTCACTTCAAGGTCTCCTGTTTCTGACATTCTTGTTCTTTTCAAATTTAATTCTTCTTGCTCGTTTGGAGTAAATCCAATTGATACTCTTGGCGCAGTCATGCTTAATCTTTTTCTTTCGGACATCATCATTTGTGAGCTTGATTTATGAATTGGCAGAGGAGTTGGTGATAAAATTGATAAAGGAGCTTCAATTTCTTTTAAGGATTCTTCAGCTGGCTTTTCTTTTACTTCCACACAGTTTTCCTTAGTCTCATCCTGAGCCTTTACTATTTCTTTTTCATTATTTATTTCAATATTTTCTTTGTTGTCCTTTTCTTCAAGCATTAGGGGATTATTGTTTTTAGTTTCTTGAACTTCAAGAACTGTCTTTAGCTCAGTTCTTTTTTGTGATTGCGATCTTCTACTTGTCTTCTCATCCTTGTGTATTTTTGCATATCCAACTGAACATTGTGAAGATCCTGCATTCTTTTTGAATTTTTGTGAATTTCCTTTCACATTTTCAATATTCCTCTTAATTATGTCGATTTTTGGTCGTTCTTGAGATGTTGATCTACCCGGCATATTTAAATTTATTAATTAGAAATGGAGACATTCATTAGTGTTTAGCAAAAATTTATTGAAAATATTTTTATAAGTTAACCTTGCATTTCAATGTCCTTTTGAGGCTGTTTTCCAAAGAAAGCTTTAAGTGAAACTTGGACTTGTTCAATTTCTTCAATAGCTTTTTTATATTTGTTGAGATCTACGTCAAGAATAGCTTTGAGAGTACTAGTTACTTGGTCGTGAAGGGCTATCATGCCATTGAGCTGCTTGGTGAGTCCATCCATTTGGCTTGAAAGAAGCGTTGGGTTTATTGCTTCGGGGATATCATTTTTTTGGACTGTTTTACTAGGGGCAGGTGTCGGTGCAGGCTGAGAATTTCCATTAGATGCTGGAGTTTCTTTGTGAACTGCTGGGGCTGGAGGAGTTATAACAGGCGCAGGAGTTGGGGTTGGATTGAAGCCTTTTAGTTTGGTATCATCAACAAACTTTTTAAGCTTAAAGGTGTGGCCTTTCAGCATGCCAACACTGTTCATTGCTTGAGTTAGCTGATCAACAGATAATGCAAGAAGGTCATCTAAAGTCGAAATCCCTGCAGCTTGGAATGGTTCTGTGTATTTTTCAAGAGCAATTGTTTCGAGTGCAGTTTGGATTGATACCATTTTAATTTATATTGTCTTTAGCTCCCCCCATAATTTATTCCTTTATTATGTGATTATTTACATTAATTTTTTTGATAATTAATGTTTATTTTTTTTTTATCAATATCCCTATGTGCTTAATAGAGAATAAGTTTATGATGTCATTAACCTACAGTTATTAGCCCGCTTCACAAGTTGCGGTTGAAAAGTGCATTCTTTCATCTTCTGGGCATTCAAATTTTCCCTTTTCTCTTTGATTTTTTCTTCCGTTCTCAATTGCTTTAATAGCTGCCTTTCATACATAGGAAGTTTTGCATTTTTTCCTTTTTCGATGCTTTTTTGATTACCCCACCGTTGGCCAGGTGCTAAAAGGATTGCTTTTTTCGTGCTATCTAGGGTTGAAACTAAAGCATCCATTGCCCTCAAAAATTCAGTGAAATCAATTTCCTCAGAAGATTCTTCAAGTTCATCCAAAAGTGGAGACAATATATTTGCAATAAGATCAGGCAATTTATGAGACCTTATAGTTAAATAAGTCACTTTTCCTTCAGGAGTAGGATTCATAAGCTGGAAAAGTGAAAGATAGCGATTTATTCGTTGCTCTTGGAATATTTGCTGGATTCTTTCAGAACTTTTTGGCGGGTTAGAAACTTCAGATGGCCTTTTGGTCACAGAGGAGCTTCTATAGCTCCTTGGCAACTCATTAACTTCAGGCTTGAATGGATAAACTTGCTTTCGGCTATATAAAAATTACTATTCTTCAGTCAGTTTATTTTTCCTCTCATCTCTTGCTTTTGCTTCTTCATAAAGTGCAAGAAACTTATCTTCTTCGTTGCTTTTCTTCTCAATAATATTTTTACTGTGTTTATTGATAGTTGGCGAAAATGAGAGCTCCGTCGTTTCCTTTACCTTTATTTCTTGCATTTGGCTTTTTAAGCAGTCATGCAGGTGTTTAGCTTTGTTAAAAATTAAGCTGTTGCTTGAATTGATTTTAGGCTTAAATGTGGCTTCTTTCATTTCGTCTTCTTCATTTTTGATCCTTGCTTTTTCTACTTCTTGCTTTACTTTTTCTTTCATTTGAAGACCTTTTATATACATTTCAGCCCCAATGTTCGAGTCTTCTTTTTTAGACATTTCTTCTTCAATTAAGAGGTCGATGTTATGCTCGATCATATTGCTGAGAGCGGATTGAACACTTTCGTCAAGGCTATGCTTTAAACAGAATTGAGAAGCAAGCTCTGATGGCTCATCCTCTTCGTAGACTGTTATTTCGTCTTGGTCACCATTTCCAAGATCAATTCGAATTACCAAAATTTGGCTTCCTCTATTTTGAAGTTCCATTTAAAATTACTTAGTTTCGAAGCTACCTACCTTCTAATGATTTCTTTATATCACACTGAACTTAAAAATGGTTATGATGTTTGTATTATATTATAAATGAAGAATAAAAATATCAATCAGCTAGACAATTAAACATCACATAATAAATAATTATAATTAAAAGTAATCAATAGCATGCTAAATCATAAGATAATTATGAATAATTTTTTGATGGTCCATGAATGCTCAGTTTATAAATTTTATCCTAATAAAGGCAAACGAAGGAAAAATAAAAATATTTAATATCATTTTTGGAAGGAATCTGCATAAAACTGTTATTACAAAAATAAGCCCTTTAAAATAATGGAATTTTAGGATTCGTTTTATGGCCTAAAACATAAATTTAGAATATTTTCTATTCTGACCAATGATATAGGCATTTTCCAAATTAAAAGCTATATAATCCATATTCCTCAAGATGAATTATCTTAGATCTCTCGTCTCAGGCAAAAAGAAAAGATATCGTGAAGATGGATTTAACCTTGACCTCTCCTACATCACAGAGCGGTTAATTGCTATGGCAATCCCAGGAGAAGGACTGACGAAGATCTACCGAAATCCCCTTGAATCAGTCTCAAAATTTCTAAATGACTACCACAAAGACAATTACATGATTTTAAACCTCAGCGGAATCCGTTACGATTATTCAAAATTTGACCACAATGTAAAGGAATTTCCTTGGTCGGACCACTACCCTCCTCCAATTGAGCTTCTCTTCAAAGCATGCCAAGAAATACATTCTTGGCTTACAGAGTCTGTTGACCATATTGTTGCCATCAACTGCCGAGCTGGCAAAGGCTATTAAATCAGTTATTAGTCATATTGGTGACGTAGTCACCAAAGACCTCCTATATGGGAGGTTCAACCGATTGACTCCAGCCCAGAAGGTCTTTCCCCCAAAGTTAGATGCCACTCCAGTACCTTCTGTCTCCTCCTTGCCTTTTCAGTCTTGAATGGGTTGCTTATGGATTTCTGATACCCTGCTATGGACATTGAAGTAGTTTGATTTCAAACGATCAACTCCTTGGAGTCTGTCGGGTACCAAAGTGTCTTCATTCTACAGTTACAGGTAAAAGACTGCTTTCTTGTGGCCTGGGCCGAAACCCCTAGTTTCTTGATAGAGAAATGCCCATGGATCCTCAGATCCAAAGGGCATTGTTGAACACTTTCATTTCCAACCACAGGAAAGCAGCCAAAACCTATCCGAAAGCGCATCTCCTGAGCCTCATTTGATTCTCTGCTCGGAGTCCGTCCCAGTTCGCCGTAGCCATAAGGTCCTGACTTTGCGCCAAAATGGCAGGCTGGCACGTGTCGCCATTTCAATATATGCCGAGTTGGCAAAGGTAGAACAGGAACTTTAATCTGTTGCTATTTAATATATTCTGGAAGAATTACAGACCCAGAGCAAGCATTAACTTATTATAGAAGAAAAAGGTTTAATAAGGGTGGAGGAGTCCAGCAACCATCTCAGGTCAGATATGTCCAGTACTTTGCTGAAATTTTTCACGGCAGAGTAAAGTGTCCTATAATTACAAAACTGACAAAAATTCGTTTCCGGACAGCCCCGCACTCATCTGGGATTTCTTGCAAGCCAGTCATTGAAATCTCAAGAGGAGAAGAAATTTTGTACACAAATAAGGCTGCTCATAGAGAAGACCAAAACAGCATTTTAGACTCGTGAGAAGACGTCAGATACCATGAAATCTTTAAAGACGAACTTGCTTTGCAAGGCGATATTTTGTGTAGAATTTCACATTGGGGAGCAATTAAGCTTAAAACAGTTTGCAGATTTTCTTTTAATACAGGTTTTATTGAGCCGAATTGTATTTTAAGGCTATCAAAAGCAGAAATTGATCCTTTTAAGCTAGCCCGTAGCAAAAAAATATCAGACTATTTTACTATAGAATTAACTTTTAAAGAAGTTTGTTCGTGCACGCCTGACATGGCTTTGCATGATAGATGCCAACAATGCATATCTAAGCTTGACCCTCAAGAAATAGCCAAATGACGAAATATAAAGAAAATCCTTTTTGAAAGAATAAATGAAAATTCTTCCAGGTTGTTATTTGGATCATCAAGACTTGATGATATTGATGAAGTATTAAATCAAGCTGAAAATTGTGATAAATCATACGATGAGGAATAAAAATATATAAATTACACAAAAGTCTATATAATACTTATATTAATCTACATGGACCCTTGAGCTTTTTATAGGATCGATATAACTGATTAGCTGGATTAGCTCTTACCGAGGAGCTATCGTCACTCTATAGATTTCATTTGATGGGCTGCTAAGTGTCTCATTGCAGAAAAATTAATAAAATTTTTCAGTTTAACTCCATCAAACTTATAACTCGTTAAAAGCGGCATCAGTATCAAATCTTAAAGTTGTAAATTCATTCAGATGGCCTCTTACGCCTAAAGCTAATCTTATTTCAGCTCCATTGGGCAGTTGGTCTTTTGAGATAAACATTTCTATTGCATTTAGGTTCGGCAAAGATCTGTTTATAAGCAAATTTTTTTGCTCCAACTTTTTATCTTTTTTCTTTTTGCTTTTCATGCAAGAGTGTTCCGCTTTACTTCTTGAATAGTAAAGAATAAAGCCTCACAAGCGAGCTTAAAAGCATTTTTAGCTTCTTGATGGTTTTTTAATCTTGATAAAGCTCCACTAAACTGAAGATATAGCTTACAAATGCATTTTATATTTTTTCAGATTAATCTTAATACATTATATTGCCTCAGTGTAAAAATGAATACAGAATTAGCTTCTAAGAATGGTCGCTTTACAAATATAGAATCATCATATTATTAATATAAACATATTTTTCTAATTTGATCTTCGGAATAAGAGATTTTTCAATTCATAATATCAAAAGTATTTACATTATAAATGCATCAATCGATACAAAATACATTTTCTTCAATCATCAAGCCTGAGTAATTGTTACTATTAGTAGCATAATGCAAGGTTGTGAATGGCCAGAAGATTTTTTGGGAGAAATTTTCTTTTTGGATTTTCCTCATATTTTTTAATTCATATGTGGTTTTAAATGTTTGGTATAAACTTAAATTCTACAATGCTGAGGAATCAAACCCCACCAATTGTTCCTTATCAAAATCATGTAGCTGTGAGTAACAGTCAGGACTTGATCAGGATCTGTTCTTCCACCTTAGGCCGCGACTGCTTCTATTATCTTCTCACTTCTTTTTAAATTAGTTAATGCTGCTGTATAATTCCTTTCTTCTATGTCGTTCAGAGCCTGCTTTGTTGGGAGTTCTGTCTCGTTAATTATTTCTTCTTTATAGAAATGAAAGAATTTTCTGAAATTTTAAGTTGAAAGTATTCATCCATTAGAAAAAAATATTTAGACAAAGATTCATTAATCAAATACAGCAAATCTAGGGGAAAATGAAGAAAAAAAGATTTTAAAAGAAATCTCATAATCTCAGCTGAAATACAAATAAAATTAAAAATGGAAGGAGTCAGCCTAACACACCAAATTCTTGAATCTTTTCATGCAGGAAAAATCATCCGAGATAACTACGAAGCGATCAATTCTCTTGATTTTTCTAATGATTCCACTCAGCTAATAACAGCTTCAAACGACGATACCATGGTCATCTACAACATACAAGGCGGCTCCAAAGAAAGACTTCTTTTCAACCCGGCTTATGGAGTCGAAAATATTAAATTCACTCATGACCCTTCCACATTTATCTCCTCTAATCGCAAAGGCAAAGAAAACGTAATATTGCACTGAAACAGCTATGATAATAAAGCAATTTATGTCTTCCGCGGTCACAGAGACAAAATCCTCAGTCTCGAAATGAATCCTTCCAGTGACAATTTTATCAGCTACAGTGCTAACCACGAGCTTCTAATATGAGACTTAAGAGAGCCTAGCTGGATTGGCCAATATGATGCATATAACTCAACTGGAAGTGGAGCTTGCACTTATGATCCTTCAGGCAGTATAATTGCAATAGCTCATCCAATAGGGCATGCAAGAAATAGAAATGAAGTTAGCTTGATTGACCCAAGAAACCTAAAAGAATGCTATATGACATGGGAAATTGCAAGTCCTGTCATTCAGCAAATACAGTTTAGCAATGATGGGAGGTATTTTTTGGGGTACACAGAAGACAGCTCCGTTATGATTCTAGATGCGTTCCAAGGATCGAAAATTAGTGAAATTGTGGGAGGTGGAAATGGGAGGAGCATGGCTTGCTTTAGTGGGGATAGCCAATATATTGCAGTTGGGAATGAAAATAGTAATTCTGTTCTGATCGCTGATTGTTTGAAAGGGGAAATTGTAAAAGAGCTTCGTGGACAGCCGAGGGTGCCAGGTGTAGTTGCGTGGAATCCAGAGTATGCACTAATAGTAAGTGCGTGCCAGAATCTGCTGATGTGGGTTCCTGACTACAGTGCAAACTAGCTTCACTTTAATTCAAATGCAATTAAAATTTTACACCATTTGGGTGTTCTTGTGTTTTTTTGTTTTAAATTCCACCTTTATAGAATCAATTAAAAGCAGTTTGCTATAATTAAAATGGATCCAGAAGACCCAATAAGCATTTTTGCTGACATGAAGCTCAATTCCGATGATTTCTTCCAAATCCTTGAAACTCACCGAAAAAGCTGCCAAAGAGAAGGCCGTTATGACGAGGCTGAATTAACACGTCTACGAATCCTCGAACTCAGAGCTCACGAAGAAAAAGCCAAAAGAGACTATTTGCAAGCCAAACATCAAGCAGAAAAAGCAGGCCTCGTAGAAGCACACAAAATGGAAATCGAAAAATTAAATGAAATTTGGGAAACTGACCTTATGCCTAGATTTGAAGACAGCGTAAGGAGTGCAGTTATTGAACTGAGAGACAAGCATAGAAGAGAAATGGAAGAATTAAGGGACAGAAAAGAGAGAGAAATCGAAAAAACAAAGCAGCACCCTCCTTCTGAAATACTGAATCTTAGAAAAAGAGTAGACTCGTTAGCATCTGCAGGTGAATATATGGCTGCAAAGAAAATTAAAATGAATCTAATTGAAGCTGAAAACCATTGGCACGGCAAAATTGATGGAAAATCCAAAGATAAGTGGTCAGAAAATATTGAGAAATTGATAGAAAAACAAGAAAGAGAATTGAATTCGCTACTTGATAAGCTTGAAAAGTAATAAATAGCTAGGCAAAGACAATTAAAGAAAGCACAGTGACAGAAAGAAATTGAAATTTTAAAAAAAAGATATAATAATGTTAGGAATGATCTGACTAACCAGCATAAAATAGAAAAACAGAAACTAGTAAAAGAGTTTAGTGTCAAACGACAAGCGATGGAAAGTATTACTAAAAAGCCGAGGAAATTGTCAAACTTGAGATAATAAAGTTATTTGTTTTAAATACGAATACGGCAAATATTAAGATTTTCTATAGCAATTATTCATCCTTTTTATACTTTCTCAATGAATTTGGAAACTTCTTTTTATTCACATATAGCCAAATTTCAGTCAAGATTTGTTTTGCTTCATGAGTTTCCAACGATTTTTTCAATCCAAATTTATCTAATTCCTCTGCAAGTGTAGCTTTATTCATCTTTTCAAAATTTGGCATACCTGTCGTGTCCATATCGATAGAATTTTCTTCATCACTTGAGCTTGCTCCAACTATTTCTTCCTCTGAGTGCGAATAAGTACTTTTGGTTTGATTGGAAGCTGAGCTGTTTTTTAAACTGTCAATTTCTCCTAATAAAGTTTCAATCTTTAAATCTATACAATTATCAATATGAAATACTTGATCGACTGAAGAGAGCTCTGTAAGATCTCCATTACACATCATACAAGTAGATGTTGACATCCCTAATTGTGAAATATTATTCCATCATAAATGGGGGATCAGAATTCAATAATAATATGGAAATAGATTTAAGACAATTAATTTTTATAGTAAAATTAGTGATTTCCTGCATTTAGATTTTATAATTTGGGTTCACAACTCTCATTTCAAACTTGAATTCTTTTTCTTTTAAATTAAAGCTGTAGAGTAATTTTGAGTGTAGCACAAAATATAAACTGTCCTTATATGGAAGCATATGCGAAACATTATTAAAGCTTGGGAAATATGATTTTTTGATTGTATTTCAACTATATATATAGCTCATGTCCCTCTATAGATTTCTTTATCGAACAAAATGTAATGGGCGGTCGAATGAACAAGACAGACTATCTCAAAGGAACGAGCTGGATCTTATGCAGGGTAGCCTTGAAAAGTGGCATGTCAAAAAAATGTAAAAAAATTAACAACAAACGCACCAGTTTTTAAAATGTTTATGTTTATTAAATTTCTCTAGTACTGCAGTGCTTTTAATTCCTCTTTAACTTGAGGTCCAGCTTCAATACAGCTCTGAACAGCAGCAGATGGATCGGCCTAACTATCGAACTGTTAAAGTTGATAAACCCTTTAAGACTTCTCTAGTCCATACCAGACTCTGCACAGACCTCTTCTCTTCAAGCCAAGACTCTCAAGAAGCTTGAACACTCTCACAAAGCTCGGATAATAGGGCTAGCCTGGAGAACAGGACTAGGACCCTATCACTAATTGCCATTTTAAATATTATTTTTTTTAAAATGGCTTTATAATTAAATTAATTTTAAATTTAAGATACCCTTCTAAGGCTGAAGATGATAAAAATAAAACATTATTATGAGCCATTAAGAACATTATAAAGAACAATGAACGTAAAATACAAACTTTCGCTTTTATCGAGCATTTTGTCATAAGCAAATTGGCATTGCCTATTTAAAAATTTTCAATTGATAAGTTTATAATTTTTAAAATCCACAACAGAGCTGTTAAAAAAACTTCATAAAGAATATTAAGCGTTCAATATAAACTTTGGCTTTTATAGAGAAATTTATCATAAACAAAATTGGCATTGTTTATTTAAAAATCTACTTAATTTGACCTAATTTACTTTTGAAGTTCTCCAGAAAAGAAAAAAGTAAATAAGAAAATAATCAATCCGAGTTTAAAAACGGGTAAATTAATTTAATAATAAGCCATTTTAAAAATTGGCGCGTTTTCTTGTCAAATTTTTTCACTCTTGTCAGCCATGCTTTCACATGTCACTGTTTAACGCTTCCTAGTAGAGTCTGTCTTGGCATTTTAACCGTCCATTCCCTTTTTTTCGATAAAGAAATCTATATAGGGTTATGATCTATATTAGATCCATCGCTCTCATATATATCTTTCGCACTTTCTATTATAAAAATCGAATTATTTCCTGGGAATATTAACTTGCTTGTGCCTAGAGTTAGATCTGTTAGATGATCATAGCAATTAATATTAGGGTCATACGCTAAAACTCCAATATAATTCCTTCCTCCAACTAAAATTTTATTCTCAAATCATGCTGTTGTGCAATTTATAATTTGAGCTTTGCAAGAAGAAATTTTAATATAAGAATCTCTAATTATGTCGTATTTCACCGCTTGAGCAATATTCTTGCCAGCCCCAGTTATTATTCCAAAAAGATAAATACAGCAATTATGATATACCAGACTTGCTGATTCTGAAATCATATAAGGTATTTTTCTCATTAGTATAATAGCATCATTTGAATCTATTAAAAGCATATAACTCCCAAAAACGTTGAAATTCCAAGTAAGGATAAGCTTCATGTTGGCTGGAAGGTTTTGGCAAACTTTAAAGGGATAGTTTTTTTTAAACTTAAAAGAATTTCATTTTTCAATACTGAAATTGTCAATGCTAATAAAATATCCTCCAGATTTCTTGTCGATGTAAAGTAATTTTTTGCATTGCGCCAATGAACTATTTTCAAAGTTTTGATTAGACTGATCTATATTATTCAAGTTCAATATTTCTGTGAGAGTATTAATAATGCTTGAGGTACCTTTTGAAATCGATATATGAAGGAAAATGTGCTCCTTACAAATAAATTGGGTTGGGATTTGGCAGTTACAAAGATAAAAAGCTTCTTCATTGCAGCCAGGATTGCTGCATTTTATGCTCTCCATTTAATTATTTTAGATACTTAAAGCAATCATAAATAGAAAATATTAAGTTAAATTATACTGCATTCGCAGCAAGATTTATTTGGGGTAGACAGAAATTTCAATTCAAGTTTTTGCTTCAGCTTAGCTCTTTCTTCACGCTTCTCATTTAGCAATATTGCTAGTGCTGTAAGTTCTTCTTTCTTTTTCACAACTTTTTCTGCTTCTTCTTTTAGCTCATTTAAACATTTTTCTAAACTTTGATTTGCTTCTCTGGTATTTTCAATATTAGCATTCATTTCTTTGATTTTATCATGATCTATATATTTTTCATGCTTTTTAGAGCTTTTATAATGAGAAAAATGCTTTATATCATTTTCCAGTCTTTCAATTTGTTTTAAAAGTTCCTCATTTTCTTTTATTTTAACTTCAATATCTTTGGCGATAAATTCTATACCTTCATATATAATCTGTCCATCTTCTAATTCTGCTTCAAGTAACTCATACTTGTGTTCTAGTACCTTTTTCGTCATCTGTTCTTTATTTCTTTCTTGAATAACACTTAATATTTCTTGACTTATTGCAAGAGAGTTCTGCCTTGATCTATTGATGTCGTCCATTTTCATTGAAACTCTTGAAAGCTTTTCTATATAACTAGGAAAGCATTTGTCACAAATCCTTTGGGGTCCACCGAGTATTGGGTTTATAGCTTTTTGCTTACTCCCCCCCTCATGCGCGAACAAAAAAATTTTGTTCGCTCACGGTAGGGGATTATTTTTTTAATTAATTTAAAAATTTCCCAATTCGCAAAAATTGGAAAGCGAATATTAATTTAATTTGCAAAATTTATATTTTAAAACGTAATTTGTTTAAAATTAAACAGAATTAGCCCGGGATTTCATTATATTAATTATCACTTATATATCAAAAATTTTTTTTTCCATAAAAAATTTTTAATATCAAAAACTTTTGTTTTTTCACTCACGGAGGGTGGTTTTTGGTCAAAAAATAGGTATTTTTCCAATGGTTTTGTTCGTCCATGGAGGGGGAATTAGAACATTTTGAACACACTCCTCTTCAGCAGAATTTACAACGATATTTGTGTTTCAGTAAATTGAAGGAATCTTTGCAAATAGTGCAAACTTTATCTTTATGATACTGCTCTTTGTCAGCTAGAGGATCCAGACCTAAAAGCTCTGGATTGACTTCTTCAGTAAATGCAAAGCTTGAGCTGGCGCTATTAATATCTAGATCTGACTCTACCATTAATTAATTCTATCTTACTCCCCCCCTCCGTGAGTGAACAAAACCATTAGAAAAATCCCTATTTTTTACCCAAAAACCCACCCCTCCGTGAGTGAACAAAAATTTTTTTAATAGAAAAATTTTTTATGGAAAAAAAATTTTAATATATTAATGATAATTATTATAATGAAATCTAGAGCCAATTCTGTTTAATTTTAAACGAATTGCTTTTTAAAACATAAATTTTATAAATTAAATTAATATTTGCTTTCCGATTTTTGCGAATTAGGATTTTTTTTTAAATTTCGAAAAAAAATATTTTCTATAAAATTTATATCTAAATTTTTTAAAAGAAGAAAATTAACCCCCCTCCGTGAGTGAACAAAATTTTTTTGTTCACTCACGGAGGGGGGGGAGTTAAGATATTTATAAAAACTGCCATAACATATTCGGCTTTTAGGATTTGAGCATTGCTTATATATAAAAATTACTTAAAAAAATAATTTATTAAATGCTGAAGCTTTAAAGATCTTAAAAATATAGTAAATGCTCTCAGAAGCAAATAACCTAACTTCCACCCTCCTTTAGCGATCAAAAATGTTTATGAAAAATTATTTAGATACATAATTGATATAGCGCTTTCCCGAGGATGGCGCGGAAATGGCGCCATCCTCGGGAAAGCGCTATAATTATTATGATGAAATCTTTAGCTAATTATTTTGAAATTTAAGCAGCTTGCATTTTAAAACATAAATTTGCAAATTAAATCAATTTTAATTCTCAATTTTGCGAATGGGAGTTTCTTAAATTTCAAAAAAAATACTATATAGCCAGGGTGATCAAAAATCGCTCCTGGGCTATAAAATTTTTAGAAAATAAATTAACCCCCTCTGTGAGTGAACAAATGCTTTTGTTTGCCACCTAGACAGGAGTAAATAAAACTATTTTATGTTCATCTGTTTTTATACTCTTGTCTAAGAATTATTTCTCTTTAATTTTTTAGGAAGATATTAGACAAAAAAGATTTGCATTTTGACTTTTTAAGCGAAAATATGCTTAAACTAGTTAATATTTATTAGTTTTTAATTTTGATATTTTATGTTTTGGCCCATTATCAACAGAAACTGCTTTTACTCTTTTCTTTTCAATACCAAATCCCTTTGCTCTTTCTCTCTTTGGAATTTTTTGCCACATTACAGATGCTTGAATATCTCTTGTCAGTGCATTATCATGATTATTTACATAAAATATAATTGAATTAATCATTCCTTTAGCACAATAATGGAAATCTTTTTCCGAAGGATTTTCATCTGGCTCAATCGCAGCTGTGATTATTTTGTGCATCATTCCTCTTGTTAACAATAATTGCCTTATTAAGCTCATATCAGCGTTTTCTATAAATAATTTAGTTAGTCTATTCATAAGAGAACAGAGCATATTATTTGTTTTAAAGACAAATAACCACATATATAAGGAATTCCAGCATCCAGACTCAACTTCATCAATTAATGCAGTTCTCAATTCCAATATTAGCGCCAGGACCCTAATTATTGTCAGCATATCTAGGCTTATTGGCCTTTCAACTACAAATGCATTTAGTTTGACTTGCTTTACCCTCGGCCCAATTGCAAATCTTGAAACAATTTGCTGAATTGCTCTCAGTGTTGTTCTATCAAAATGCGAAATTAAACGTATGGCCTTTGAACGCAAAGCTCCTTCTTTGCAACTGACCAGAATTTTTGTAATCAAATTTAGATAATCATATCTAATTTCATTATCAGAAGAATCATTAAAGTCAGTAAAAGCAATTTTTAAAATATTCCTCACAAGAAGTGCTCCATTTTCTACAAATAAAAATTCAGTTAAATTTCTGGCTCCATTCAATAAGTTTTTATTTTCGCACTCATGGACTTCATCAGCATCAGAATTGTTTGGAATTGATAAAGCTTCTGCAAAGAGCTGCTCAAAAAATTCAGAAATTCCTTTTAATTTGATTAAATAAATGTCCTTATCTAAATCCCTTTCTGCATTGAGAAGCTGGAATATTTGATTTAAATTAACTTAAAATTATAAGGCCATTAGCGGATAGACCACTAGCCTGCCTATCTGGTGTAAAATCCACTTAAGCTAAGGATAGCTCCGAGATAGAGCCACCTCTTGCGACTGCCCTGCTAGTCCAGATAAGTAAAAATTAAGTGGGAGGTAAAAACTTGTCTAGTCCATCTGACATAGACAGGGAAAAATAGAGGGTAGAAACAAAACTTTCCTCATCGACTGCATCCATAAACCCGGAGGTCTACTTAAAAAATTGAAAGAGGCACTATTTTCAGCTTCATCAAGATGGGTCCGACCTGCTCTAGTGCTCCTCGGAAACCAATTTCCCTTAGTATCACCATTTTGCTTCATATTTGATTTAGGAATGGAGATAATAAGTTGGAATGGATCATTTCTTTGAGACTTTCTGAAAGTAATTGATTAGAAATGATAGTGAAATGTAAAAAATGCTGAACTGCTCCTATATAGATGTGCTCAATTAATAGCAGACCTGTTTGCAAGGATAAAAATATAGGGATTGATTTTTCTAGATCTTTTTTCATCCAATAATCGAGGACTTTGCAAGCCATCATTATTCTGATTTCATCAGTAGCAGATTGAAGCCCTCTATGAATGCATTCCATTATAAGCTGAACAGGATCATATGTATGGAACTTCATTATCAAAATGCTATTATGAAGATGAATTAGCGCTTTTACTGCTTTTGCTGCAGTTTCTTCTTCAAGGATCCTGCTCGGCGTGGTTTTAAATATAAAATCTACTAATAAGCACATATTTGTTGGTTTACTTAAAAAATCAATCATTTCTATCCCTTTTATTTTTACTCATGCATTAGTGGTTTTGTCTCTCAATAAAGGATCATCAGTAATTCATTGTTCGATGATCATAATTTTATCGTTATTCGTCAATTCACGGTTCATATAGCCTGAAGTTGAAGGCGCTATTGTGCTTAGAATTTCATCTACTGTATTTTTATCTGTTTCAGAGCTCAGCATAAATAAAATGGCATTCGGTTCGAGAGAAATTAGCTTTGCTAATTTTCTCTCCCTCATGGAATTTTATTTATGGGGTTGGGTTTCTCTCTCGAGAACTTCTGCACAGCAATAGCTGTTTAACTTTTGGGGGATAACCAAAGGAACAGCTCCTCAGTGCACTCAAGATTTCGGAGTTTTACCTCTCAGCACATCCCCACGGGAGGATGACCCTTAGGCGGAAAACGCGCAGGAGCTGAGTCGAGGCAAGGGCGACGGCAACGCGCCGGGTGAGACGTGCGGCGAAGATGGGCGAAGTGCAGGTGAAGGCTTGGCCGGTGGGCTAACTATCGCGATTCCAGATGGCCCGGCGACGTCATCAATTTTTCGCTATAACTCCCATTTTTATGGGGTGCGGCACTAGACACCTTAAATACCAGACAGTTAAGTTAAGTTAAGTTAAGTTTCAGAGCTCAGCAAATCTTTAATTGAGTTTAAGGCTGAAGATAATTTGACAGAAGCTGATATTCGTTTGCCAGCTGGCATTGAATCTAATGCCATTCTTGTTAAACTGATGAGCTTTATCAGTGTTGGCTCGTCAGTTCTTTTCTCGAATTCTTTTATCAGCATCTGCGTTACATCATATCCTTCTTGTCCGAAGCTTCTAAAAACTTCAAAAATAAGCTGATCAGTCTAAATGGGGCTTACTTCTGGTAATTTTTTAGATAAAGTCAGCAGACCTGAGAAAATTGATCCAAAGCAAATTTTCAGATTTTTTCTTGATGCGCTGTTTCTGAATGAGTCCTGCAAAGCGTCGATAATATCAATTAACCCTTGGGGTTGGAGATCACCTCCTTCTTCGACTGTTTGCAGATTAGAAATAATTCTAGCAAAATCATTCATTGTTTAATTGGAAAATTAATTAGATATACTTCATTTATATGCTTGCAGCACAAATCATTAGTAATTAATAAAAAAAATCAGCATTATTGATATAGCACATTTCTTGATTTAAGCTAATTTAGCTTCACGATAATCATAGAATTTATTAAATTATTTTAAATGTAAAAACTATTAACATAATCCTTAAATTGATCTTCAAAATGACTTTTATTATAAATTTTGACACTGCTTTATGACCTAAACTTTATTCCATATTTTAGACTCAAAATCGCCCAAGTTTCAAATTCATATTTTAAACATGCCAGAAAACGATAACGTCAAAGTGGCTATTCGCGTACGGCCTTTAAGCAATAAAGAGAAAGCAGAATGCTTAGGAAAGCAATGCATTCAAGTCGATCTTTCAATGAGCTCTATTTCAATTGACACAAAATCAAGTATAAAAACTTTCACATATGATTTCATTGGGGACCAAGATATCACACAAGAAGAGTTATTTGAAGTAATTGGTCAACCTATAGCATCCAGCTGCCTTGCAGGATATAATGGCACGATTTTTGCCTATGGGCAAACAGGTTCTGGTAAAACACACACAATTTTAGGACCTTCCAGTTTAAATCTCCTGTCCGCGAATATTAATGATTATAACCTAAGAGGCCTCTTACCACGTGCATTAGAATTTATTTTCAATTCAGTCAAAAAAGAAATAAAAAGATGCAGCGGAGTTGAATTTTTGCTAAAATGTTCATTTTTAGAAATCTATAATGAGCAGATTAATGATCTTTTATTGCCTGAACAGAGAGGACTCCAAATAAGAGAAGATATTAAAAAAGGAGTTTATATCGAAGGTTTACAAATAGAAACTGTACTATCATTCGAGGAAACCTACGAGCTACTAAATACAGGTATTAAAAACCGCCATGTTGGGGCAACATCAATGAATAAAGAAAGCTCAAGGTCTCACTCAGTGTTCACGTTGGCTATTGAAAGTAAAGAGAAAAAAGATGATTTATGGAACTTTAGATCAAGTTTGTTTCATGTTATTGATTTAGCAGGATCTGAAAGGCAGAAATCGACTGAAGCAAGAGGTGAAAGATTGAAAGAAGCCAGCATGATAAACAAATCTTTATCAACGCTGGGAAATGTCATTAATTCACTGGTTGATATATCTGAAGGGAAAAATAGGCACGTACATTATAGAGACTCCAAACTTACGTTTTTGCTTAAAGATTCTTTGGGAGGAAATTCTAAAACTTGCATTATTGCAAATATAAGTGCTGCGTCGACTTGCTTTGGAGAAACGCTTTCGACTTTGAGATTTGCTGAAAGAGCAAAATTGGTGAAGAATCAGGCTGTAATTAATGAAGATACTGTTGGAACAATTAAAGAGCTAGCTCCTCTCCCCTGTAAATTAGAACAATATATCGGTAAAATATCCATTTTTTGGATACTTTAACCCCTTTAAATTAGGACAATCTTTTTTAGCAAATTTTATAATTAAAATGCTAATTTTTATAAAATATTTTGACCTAATTAATGGAAAAAGTGCAATTAGAATATTATTTAAACAGTTTGACACTGAATAGACTAATAAAGAAAAATTTAATATAATCATTCTTAAAGACAAATTAACTCCCCTTTAAATTGGAACAGGATTTTTTGCTCCAATTTAAGAGGGAGGGGAGTAAGAGAGGAAGTCAAAAATTTAAAAATTCAATTAAATAATGCCAAGCTTCTCAAGAATGTGGATTGCCAAAGCTGCACTTCTGGAGATCATTCTAATTATTCTTTATACGCCTTTAATGAGAGGGTTAAAGAAATCGAAGCCTTACTTGAACAAAATTTAAAGCTTCGTCTTCAAAGCGAATCTGTACTGCAGCAAGAAATCCAAAGCCGAGAAAATCTAATTCATGCTTTAATGGTAACCCTAGAAAAATACGAAAAAAAAATTGAATCTGACAAAATGGTTATAAAATTCAGAGAAGAAGCAATTAAACGACTCCAAAAAGGAGGATTAGCTTTAAATTCTCAGACAACTGATGAACTTAAAGAAGAAATCCTTTCAATTAAGCGAATTAATGAAAATCATCCTATAGCTGCAAAACTTTTCGTAGAAAATGACACGTTAAAAGAGCATATTCAAAGACTCAAAAGTGAGCTCAAAGAAGACCTTAATTCGCTCAATTACAGACTTAAGGAAAATCTAGAATTTACAGAAAAGCTTCATGCAAGTTTAAAGAAAAGTATTAAGGAAAGAGAACAATTGCATGCACTTTTAACTGACTATTCAAAGTACAGACATGGAGAGTTAATTTGTACACCAGAGAGAGAAAATCGGAAAAAAATAACTGAAGAATTAAACATATATAAAAGTAAAGTTGAAGAATTGGAAAATATTTTAGCAGAAAAAAATAATATTTTGAGAGCAAATGAAAAAATAAATGATGATCCTATGAAAATGGAAGTAGACTGAGACAAACAGAGTATTGATGATTGTTTTAGCGTGTCTCGCACATCATTTAGCTCAAAAATTTATGACCCACAAAGTGAAAATTTACAAAATTCGGAAAGAAGCTGCAAAGCAAATTCCCAACAAAACAATAATGAAGATATCAATAACTTGGTCAACGAAATTGAGCTAAAAGATGGTACTATAAGAGTTTTAGAAGTAAAAGTAAAAAACATGATTGGAGAGATTGATTCCCTACGCAAAGAAAATAGCCAGCTGAAATACTTACTCCCCCCCCCCCTCCGTGAGCGAACAAAAAAAAATTTGTTCACTCACGGAGGGGGGTTAATTTTTTTTTTTAAAAAAAATTTATATATAAATTTTATAAAAAATATTTTTTTCGAAATTTAAAAAAATCCTAATTTGCAAAAATTGGGAAGCAAATATTAATTTAATTTGCAAAATTTATGTTTTAAAACGCAATTTGTTTAAAATTAAACAGAATTTAGCTCTAGATTTCATTATACTAATTATCACTTATATATCAAAATTTTTTTTCCATTAAAATTTTTTCTATTAAAAAAATTTTTGTTCGCTCACGGAGGGTGGGTTTTTTGGTCAAAAAATGGTGATTTTTCTAATGGTTTTGTTCGCTCACGGAGGGGGGGGGGGGGGAGTTAGAAGAAATGACTTTTAACCTGGAAAACATTCTTGAGAAAACAACTGATGAGCTTGATAGGACTAAAGAACAACTTGAAAAAGTGCTCTCTCAAAATGACATTTTAGATGCAGAAAACGATTTTTTAGCTTCTACTAATTCAGATATGAAAGTATTAGTAGAAAAGCTTGAGCAAGAAAATTCAATGTTAAAAAAAAGAAGTAATCAAAATCAACCAAATATACAGCCAGAGCTATTGCTAGATTATGAGAACTTGAAGTCGAAATGTAGCTGATATCAAAAAGAGCTTGACCACCAAAATGAGGAAATGAGAATCTCAGTGCAAAGCAGAGAACAAATTCTTAAAGAACTAAAACATTTACAAGATGTAGAATATATAGTTTATGCACCACAATAGAACGCTATACCCCAGCAGAATACCGACCAGTAAAAATATGGCCTTGGGCACCTGCCTTATACAGTCTAAGTCTGATTAGGCATTTTAAAGCAAAAAAAAACTGAGATTTACCATTTTCATTATTTCTTTTTAAAAAATCTGACAAGTGCAAAGTAATTTTGAAAATAAAAATGGAAGCCAATAATTATCAAAAATATTTCAAGAGCTATAACCTTGAAAAATCCATTGAAGATTGGCAATCTCAATTTAATATTTCAAATAAAGAAAATCAACGATTAAAATCAGAAATTGACAGCCTTTCAAAAGAAATTTCTAAGCTTGCAGGACATAACAATTTAAAACAGAAAATTCAAATGCATGCAAGACTAAAGGATGAAAACAATAAATTAAGATCACAAATTTTTAATGTCAGTGAAGAGCTAAGGATGAAAAGTGAAAAATTGGAAAGTTTACAAAGAAAATATGAAACTCTAGCAAATATACGTGGAATATCAGATTTAGAGGATTTAGAAGCTTTGCAAAAGAAAAAGATTGAGGAACTAGAAGAAGAAATAAAGCTTTATCAAAATTCAATAGGGAGGATAGCCGAGTTCGTAAACACGTTTCCTTATAATGGGAATCCAGAAGATACAGATATTGCTGATATAGTTATAAGTGTAATAAAAGGATTGATGGAGTCACTGAGCATAAAAGAAAGAGAAGCATCTGAGAAAGATAGAGAATTGCAAAGAAAAGAATCATTAATCAAAATTTTGGAAAATGAGCATTTGCTGTATAAGCATAAAGTTGAATTGAAGGAGTTTAACAATAGGATACCATTAGAAGAAAATGTGCAAAAATATCATTAATGTATATTTTTAGATGAAATAAATTATTCTCATTTAATTAATTTTTAATATGATAAATAATGGTGATCTTGCCAATCTAATATATTTTTCTCTTCAAATCTTCGATTGTTTAGTGTTATGCTAAAATAAATATTCTTTTTAATATTATCGAAAATCAGCCTTAAAGTAAGCAAGCACTCGAATTTTGTTTGTGCATTCCACTCAGCAGTTTATTTTTTTCCTTACTCCAATTCCATTTGCGAACAAAAAAATTGGAAAATTTCCCAACTCTCTCTGTGAATAAACAAAAATTTTTTTAATATAAAAATTTTTTATAAAGCAATTATTTTGATATATAAGTTATAATTAGTATAATGAAATCTCTATATAAGCTTTTAAAAAAATATTACCTCCCTTAGCAAAATTCGATTGCTAGCCTGTTTTTCCACTCTCTATTTGTATATAATTTCTTAGAATTAAATATAGATTCTGTTGATGCCATTTCTTTCAAAAAATCAACCAAAATGAATTCTTTTTATGGAATTTTTAACAGTGTACTAATACTTTAATTTGATATATGCTCTGTTTTTGCGCTCCTATCCATTCCATATCTGATCAAGATGCAGCTTATTTTACAATTTGAAAAATTTAAAAAGTATCAATTGTTAAATTTAAAAAATATGGGAATTTTAAAAGAAATTTTTATTTGTAAATTATTCTAATAATCCACATATTAATTATTGAAATGGGATCATCTATTAATTATAAAAATTATATTCTGAAATGCAAGAAAATTTGAATAACCAATACGAGCATGCCAAAAAAGATCTTGATGCAGCTTTATCTCAATTTAAAGCTGCAGAAATGAAATGTTTGATGGAAGACAATAATGAATGTATCAAAACCAAAGATTTATTCCGGTTAAAATATTCAGAAATTTATAGACTAAGAGAACGAGACAGCTCAAATTGTATGCAAGAATGCGAAGATATAATGAAACAAAAGGGAAATTCTGCATTTCGTGAATGTCAGGAGTCATGCCTAAAGCAATTTATCCCCAAAATTCTCGATGAAGCAAAGCTGATTAGAGATGCAGCTTCAAATAACTAGGAGAATAAGTCATTTATTAACTTAGAATTATTAAATTAAATTTTATTCTTTTAATAGTCTCCTTATTACGAAGTTATGCGCTAAAATAATAAACTCTCTGTCAGATCTTTCAGAAAATCTAAATTCTCTATTTTTTCGCTTTTTTCTTCATTTTCCACTACTATTTTTACTTTAGCCTTTGGCTTCTCTACACTTTCATATGATTCATCTTGCCCAGCCAATTTCAGAACTTTTTTTAGCTCTTTTTCATTAAGTGATTTTGAATTTATCCTTTTAGTCGGCGGAGGTGTTAATCTACTTGGTGTAGGAGATTTGCTATATATCATATTCCTTGTATATAATCTCTCAAACACGTTGTCACGCGGTTTGTTATCTTTCGGGATATCCGGTTTAAAGCTATACAATGGGACTTTGCTCCATTCTTCTTTTTGGGCTTTTCGTTTATTTATTTCTTTTTCCATTCTTTCATGAAATGGAATCATATTTTTCGTCATTTCAATTGATTTTCCATCTATTTGTGGCTTGAAAGTTGCTTTTTCAGACTCCTCTTTTGTTTTAGCTTCTCGTTCTCTTTCTTGTACTTCCAATCTGACTTGTTTTCATTTATTCATGTAATTATAATACTCCTCTGTTGTTCTTTTCTTGCTTGTGCTTTCACAAGTTTTCGGCTTGAATGTAAGTTCTTTATTTTCTTCAGCCAATTTTTGAATTTTGGCTCGCTCGGTGAGCTCTTCTATGCGTTTGTTTTTATCTTCGATTATTTCTTGGACACGGGAATAAATTGGAGCACATCTACCAATAATTTTTTTTGAATTATTATTAATGCAAGGTGAGTATGGGAAATTTCCCATCTTTTCCTTTTCTCTTGACTCTTGAGCTTTGTGAATTCTGTCTTCGTGGCGTTGCTGATAAGCACGCATCCTTGCTAGAGTTGTCTTCTCAAAGACTTTTTGAGAGACAGCCCCAGAGAGCTGCTGAGTGTTTGTTTTTGTGTTAGCTGGTTTTGACTGTTTTTTAGGCTTAGGTTCAGGAGATTCTCTTTGAAGAAGTAATGGAGACTCTGCAGAAGTTTCTGGGCTGCCATCCTCAAGCATGATCCTTCTTAATTTATCGACCACGCTTCTTACATCTTCGGTGGCAAACCCTTGAGCATAGATTAAAATGGCGTGGTGAAGCAGCCTGCCCTCTAAACACCTACAGCCGCTAGGCTCCTTAGGAAAGTGGGGACCTTTGTGGAAGGGAGGACAGCGTTCGAAAATGTGCATCTGGCCGGGTTTTACCGACCGCATGCTCAATTCAGATCAAATTTTTGCCTCGTGGGGAGATTGTTCACTAGAGTTGAAAAGGAAAAAGTATCAAGGCCAGAGGTGGTCACTTTGTCAATCGGGTAAATTCCCAGAGTGATACCAGGTGTTGCGCCTTGAGAGTTCCAGCTTAACTTTGGTTGACACTGACTAGAAAATTCGTTTTATTAGAATTTCTGGGAGGCGGACCCTACTGATGCAATGCATGACTACTCAGCGTCTCTGATCTCAGTAGAGAGTGCAAGCCCCGACTCTGTGAGCAGCATGACATTGGAATGACGTGTTCGGACGGCAAAGCAAGCAGCGGAGCGCTATGCAGAGGCGAATGGCAGCCTAAGCTATCAGGGAACTTCCCTATAAGTAATTTAAAATTTAAGGTAAATTCTTGAGTATCCATTTTATAATAGTTTATCTTCGCTACGAGTACTAGATAAATTGAACTAAAATTTCTTTAGTTATATTTCAAACTGCAGAAATAGCATAATTATTCAATTATCATCTTTTCATACAGGAAAATTGACCCTTTGCTAATTTCAGCCAAAAATAACTGCTTATTTAAAAAGGAGACAATTTATTTTAGTAAGTCATAGATTAATTTACAAGATTCTAAAAATAATTGATAAAAGTTTTATATCTGTTTTGCATTTCCATTATATGCTTCATATGATTCACCACAAGTGCATGTAACAATCTTAACATCTGATGGGAAGAGCAAAATTTGTTCACATCTGCTGCATACCATCTGCGACACAGGCTTAATTGCGGTTAAATTCCTGCATACTGGACATCTTGCAATGTGCATATCTCTTGAATAAGCCAGCATTGTTGAGCATGTGGCACAGCGAACTCAATTTGAGTCGAGATTTGTCGGTACAGAATTAATTTCTGATCGAAAGCTGAGCAGCTCAAATTGGCTAGGCATATCTAGAGACTTTCCTAATAAGGGAGTTTTTATCATGTGTTTGTCTTTCTCCATCTCTCTTTTAATCTCTATCTCTTCCAACTCTAAGAACGAGAAAAACACATTGGAAGAATCTCTATTTTTAGGAAAAAAGGCACCCTCCATGAGTGAGTAAAAAATTTTTAAATTCTTTTAATGAAAATACTTTAATATATAAGTAATAATTATTATAGCAAAATCTTGGATTCTAAGCATAAATTTTATAAATTAATTAATTTTTAAATTACAATTTTTGCGATATGGAATTTTTCAAACTTCGAAATAAAATTAACCATCCCCATTGAGCAAAAATTTTTGCTCACTCGCGGATGGGGAAGTAAGAAAATTATTTAATAATAAATCTATATGTAGAAAATAGTTAATAATTATTTGATAGATTACAGATTTAATGAAAAGCATATATTTAACAGAGTGATGCAATATTTCGGGATTTGATGATTCCTTAATAGAAATTTTGATTTCTGCTTATATATAATCATAATCATAAAATGGCTTCTGATGAGAGGAGAACTCTCTCCATAAATTTCCTCTTCCTAACTCAGCTTTTATTATTATAGTGTTAGGCTTTGCATGTGCATTCCTGTCTATTGGGAAGAAATAACAAAGACTTTCTTACTTCGCATCCTGTAGGTATCATGTTTTGCATATTTCCTCTGCCCAATAAAGGCAGACCTTTGACTGAGCATGTGCTGGAGGAAAATCGGACAGAGTAAGACAATGCGCCAAGCAGCTAGCGATCCCAGGACTTTTGGGGCTCTCGATTATCTTCAAGCAAGCTATAAGGAGAGACCAGTCGACAAGCCACAAGGGTCGCAACAAAACAGAGGAAAAATGGACCTTATGATCGTGCGCTTCCATAGCAACTAGAGTTGAAGTTAAATTAAGTGATCTAAGTCTAAGCTTAAATATTAATTAAACTAATAAAATAATCAAATAATGATATTTGATCAAATTAATAAGGTTCAATTTGTGCATATCTTTCACTTTAATATTTATTTAAAAATGATTTGTTATATATTTGAAAACCAATATGCAATCAGATGACATAATACGACAAGTTTTTCAAAGACTTTCTGAAGACCCGCAGAACACCCGATGCATGGATTGTGACTCCTTAAATCCAGAATTCGCATCAATAAACCACGGAATATTAATTTGCTCAACTTGTGCATCAATTCATACTAATCTTGGTGCTATCAGCATTGTGAAACCAAAAAGTAATGATCTTTGGAGCATCGATCAGCTTAGAATGATGGCTGCAGGAGGGAACTCAGCCTTTAAAGAATACTTAGCTTACTACGATATGGACCAAGCCACTCCAATAGACATAAAATACCGAACACGTGCAGCAGCATTTTATAGATCAATGCTCCAAGTCATCTCAAAAAATGAACCATTTGAAGAAGACTTTCTTCCACATGAAATTGGAATAATGATTGGAGACTATGATTGCAATCAAAGCCAAGAAGAAATTAAAGTAGAAAATCCTTCCGAAGAAATAAAAATAAGAGAAGAGGCTGTTAATTGTCCTGATCTTCCAGATGATTCTGAAGAGCAAATCATGCAATCTAATAGTAAACCAAAGAAAGGGCTTAAGGGGTGGCTAAACAAAGCGTACAAATCATCAGTTAAAGCTGGAAATGTAGTTGCAAATAAACTAAATGAGCTCGCACAAACCCCAGCTGTTAAAAAACTGGAAGAAAAATCACTAGTAGCTATACACAAGATTGCAGATAAGTGCAAAGAAATTTCAGAGAAACCCAAAATCAAAGCAGCTACTGATAAAATAGTAAATGGTGCGAAAAAATCTTACAATAAAATATAATTATATATAAAAAATGCGCAGTAATCCTAGGTATATTTCCTTATGAGATATAAAAATTAATAAGCAAATAGCAATGCATTAAAATCTAATAGGTATAAACTCTAATCCTACTGTATGCAAAATCAAAAAAGACACAATGAAATTTTTAGTTCAAATAGAAAATGAAGCAAAAGCTGGCGCTAAATCAGCTATAAACTTAGTAAAGCACAAACCTGAAAGCGACATTCAAGAAATAGAGCCAACTGAGCATTTAGAAATAATGAAAGAATAATTAATTATATAATAAAGACATGCTCTAAAATCTGAATTAAAACTCGCTATCCCAGTTAGGCTTTGGAAGTTTCGGTTTTTTCCTTGTGACTTCAACACGATCTCCTTTTTCATACTTCATGATTACCTCCATCAAATTCTTTTGAGACTTAAATGCATTATTCAGTTCATTTTCCAATGTTTTCAGTTTTGGAATATAAGGAACTCTTTTTTGTTTCAATAATAACTGATCCTACATTATTGTTACCCAATTGAAATTGCGGAACCATTTATGCTCTCTAAGTTTCTCAGTGCTTCCTCCAGTTCTGATGGCCGGGCTTTTACTGAGTAGCTGCTGTATCAGTGGCTTTACCTGGCTGGTAGGGTCCAATGTATTGGGAAATTGCAGTCTGTGCTCTAATATTCTTTGGTAGACTTCATATGGCTCATCTTCTTCTTCTCCAAACGGAACAGATCCAAATATAAATTCATAAACCATGATCCCAAGACTCCACCAATCAACTAAGGCGGAATATCCACTGCCCACAATGATTTCTGGTGCCATATAATGAGGAGTCCCAACCGTTGTATAAGTTCTCCCATGCACAAATTTTGCAGTCCCAAAATCAATCAGCTTCGGATACCCTTCTTCGTCAATCATTACATTTTCTGGCTTTAAATCTCTATATATAAGTTCTCTTTCATGCAGATGCTCTAAAATGCAGCACAAGCAAGCAGTGTAAAACTTAGCATCGTTTTCATTTAAAAGTCCCATATTCCTCAGAACATCAAAGAGATCAAGTCCTCTTACATATTCCATTAAGAAATACAGCCTCGTATCATCCTTAAATGTTTTTACAAGCTTCACAACCATGCAATGGTCAAGTTGAAGCATAATTCTCCTCTCTAGAAGAATGTTTTCGTATATTTCATAAGCTTGGATTTTTTCTCTTAAAACAGTTTTCAATGCATATAAAGTCCTTTTGGTTTTATGAGCAGCAAGATAGACACTACCAAAATTTCCTTTCCCTAATAGTTTGACAGGCAAAAGTTCATTGAAAGAAATTGTGTCATCTTGGAGTTCTATTCTTTTCATTAGCTGGGAACGAATTCTTTCATCTACTATGCTCCAAAAATCGGTATAATTCAAGACCCAGCAAGCAACTGGGCCGTTTGCGACAACAGTAGCACTTCTTTGAGTATCGTGGAAAAGTAATGACCTTTCTCCAAAATAGTCATGCTTTCCAATCATTCTTATATTGACGCCGTCGATGGCTACAGAAACTTTTCCTGACTTTATAATGTAAAAGGAATGACCTATGTCATTTTGATTGAAAATGACTTCTTGGTCAATAAATTGGATTTCTTTTAGAGCTTGGACTAGCTGGGCAAGCTTGGGCTGAGTCAGACCTCTTAGTAGTTGGACTGTTTTCAAAATTTCCATGGCTTCATTATTTACTTGGACTTCACTCAGTCTGCCTCCAGTGCACTTTTCAATTTCTTCTTTGGTAATATGAGCAACTACTGTATCAAGTTCAGCAATAAAGTCAACCGCATAAGGCTCATTTCCTTCTGAAAATAGTTCATCGTCTCCAATACATGCAAAAATTTCGATAACACTTTTTGGACCTCTTATTGACCCTTTTGTGACCACCCATAAGTTATTCCCTTTTAGAGTTTCTCTGGGAATCACTACTTCTCCAGGGTAAAACGTTTTGACTTTCATGTTGTCAAAGATTAACTCTTTTTGTTCTTTAGACAACCCTTTCAGGGTATTGCTTTTCTCCACAGCAATTCTCAAGGTATTTCTATATAGAATCTGCTCTAAATTATTTCCAAGAACTTCAATCAAAGCTTCTCTCCCAATAGATACAACTTTAACTTCATCAATTGCTGCAATTGTGGCAGTTCTTTTCGTATTGTAAAGTAAAGCTATTTCTCCAAAATAGTCTCCTTTAGTCATCTGCCTTATTTCTCTGCCCTTTTCAGTGCATGACACGATACCTTGCTTTATGATATAAAACAAATCCCCTTCATCACCTTCTTTTACAATCTTCTGCCCATTGTTTCACCACTGCGTTACAAGTGAAGTGAGCAAAGCGTCTTTTTGGTTTGGCATTAGGGCGTTAAATAAAGGTATACTGTCAATGAAACGCTTATTTTCTTCATGGTTCAAAGCATTTACTCTCTTTACAGCATCTTTGAACGTTACTCTGTCAACTCCCCAAAGTGTGCATCTCTCTATTGTTCTTACAGTTCCTGATCTGGGCCTGTCATCTAATAAAGCCAGCTCTCCAAACCCAACTCCAGGCTTTAATACATCTTTCCGATGCCCATTTATTAGCAGCTCTACTCTCCCTGTGCAAAGCACATAGAAGCACTGCCCAGGACTTCCTTGGTCAAAAATGACTTCTCTCGGACCGATTTCATATAATTTCATGTTTTCTACAACTAGATTTATGCTTTCATTGTCTAGATTCTTTAGGATAAAGTGAGAATTCAAAGTTTCCAAAATCATTTTTCGATCCAAAGGACTCTTGGGCTTGTCTGAAATAACTGCAGTCAGGGCTTCTACATTGTCATCGATACTTTTTCTTGCATCAACTTTGGGAGCTTTATGCTTTATTTTTGCTGGTGAGTGCCTAGTGAATTTTCGTTCTTCATCCAAAATTTTTAAATTTGTTGACTGTTGTGAGATCAACTGCTTGGCCTCATCTTTGTCATTGGAAGGATCAGCAGGAAGAATTTGAGGCTCGAAATCTTTTTTGCCAATTCGCATACAACTACTTCCCATTTTATAAAATAAAAAATAATTTTCCTTATTCCCCCTCTATAAGCGAACAAAAAATTTTGTTCGCTCACGGAGAGGGTTAATTTGTTTTTAAAACAATTTATATATAAATTTTTCTAAAAAATATTTTTCTTCAAAAAATTTAAAAAAATTCCAATTTGTAAAAACTAATTTAATTTGCAAGTTGTTCAAAATTAAACAAAATTAGCTAGAGATTCCGGTAAAATAATTATATTTATATATCAAAACTATTTTTTCATAAAACATTTTGTTCACTCACAGAGGGTAGATTTGATTTTCGAATGCTTTTGTCGCTTACGGAGGGGGGGGGAGTTACCTTAGTTTCGTGCCCAATGAAATTTAAAATACGAATCACACCAAAATTCTACATCTAGCTATAATTATTTAATGAGATTATTTATTTTGGTATAGCCTGAGCACCTTTATGGCTCCGTTTCCAAAATCTTTTCGGGGTGAAAGAGGATATTGGCCAAAACAACTAATGTTGGCTTGGCCAATACCCCAAATGGTTGAAAACCCTACATCATGCTGTTAACTTGGGAAGTTGGTCAAACCAACTCTCCTCTTTCTCGTTGGGAAAGATTGAAAAGCCCGAGCCATAAAGATGTTCGGCTATATATAGATATAAATTTATTATATTTCATAATAAATATATTATTGACACTGATCAGTAATGTAACTGTTTATTTATTAATTATTGGCTTTTTGTGTTTTTTGCTGGTATCATTAATTAGCCAAGATTTATAATAAATAAAATAAATATTATGTTATAGCTCCCAACTTTCATGACTCCACCATCTTACACAAGATTTGCTGCCTACTGCCGCAACTAAGCAATATCCAAACTTTTCTAATGGTAAATATTTTAATTCATGCACACACTCCTTTTCTCCTTCATTCAGAGATATTGCTAAAGACCCAATAAGTATAAGATCCTGCGGCAATAGTTTCTTATTTCCATCAGGCAATCTTTTAAGCGGATATAAATATAGATAATCCCCTTTGTGATCTTCTTCAAACGTCACCTTAATTCAAACATTTTTAAAAGGTCCATCATTACCATGGACAGCGCTAAATTTAACTTTAGGCTGTTCAGCATAAATAAATAAAGGTGTTTCATATGGTAAATTATCAATTTTCCCTCTTCTATTATTCCCTAAACTTCTTCATTCAATTGAAATCCTTTTATTTAGCTCAATAACTGTGACATTTTCAAATCTCTCTAAAAGCAATGACAATTCATGAGTCTGCTCAGGAGGGATAATCACTTGCTGAGACTCAACTAGTGAAAGGTTTGTAATTAAGGCTGAAATTTCTAAGTCATCTTTGCTTCTGTTAACCACTTTCACAATGAACTTGCAAAATGAATGATCGTTAATTCCTCGGTCCTTATCTCGGTGCCCAAAGGAGTTGCCAATTTCTGACATTGAAGGATTAACTTTATGAAGGTCTTCCCACCAGGAGTATTCAAAGAGAGGCTCCATTCGGGATTCTAGAATCTCTACTCCAGCTATGACTTCCATAAACAGTGAAACTGAGTCAGAAAGCCAGATTTTCCCTTCTGAGTTGCTATATCTGATAGAAAACTTCACATTAGTTGAGTCTTTATAGGCGTTTAGGGTGACCTGAAGCTGAGCTTGTGAGTTGCTTCGAAGGGTTTTCAAAGTTTCAAGCTGCTCTGTATCAAAAGTTGCAACTTCTGAAGGCTCACAGTAAATTTTGAAATTTCCCAATGGCTCACTGCTGATATTTTTAATGCTTAGGTTTATAGTGCGAAGCTCTGAAGATAGCATGACAACTTTGTTTTGGTCTGCTTGGACCTTTAGCTCAGGCAGTCTCTGCATTACTTCGATTTCAATTGGATCTACTTGAATAGTGCAGTTTAAGCCTAGCATCTGCATATGCACTCCTACAATTTTCAAATTTCCTAGGGTTTTTGGAACAATATAGTACTCAAAACTCTCAGTGGAGTGTGCAGGAAGTGTATGTGAAGCTAATTAATTATTACTTGGACAGCATTCAGCAGCGCCTTCTACTAGCAGTCGTGTATGATCTAAAGGAACATCAAAAGAAAGAGGATTATGCATGACAGCTCTAACAATGTTAAGACAATCAGTGATCCAGTTCAAACCTTTATCAGGAAATGGGTTGAACAAAAAAGGGGAATCGCCGTTTTCTATATTCACTTCCAAAGAATATTTTTGTGGCTTCAAGCTTGTCAGCTGAACTAGCGGCCGAAACAAATGCTCTGAGGGCACGTGAATGGCATCTTGTTCTATTTCTAGCTTCAGTTGTGTTTGCAACTCTGGAGTGAAAGAAGAGTGTAAAATAGCTAAAAGGTCTCATGTATATTTGACTGTGCTTCCCTTATTTGCGGAGCTAGATACCTTTTTTGAAAGGGCTTTGAGGTATTCTAATGTAAGTTTCTGTAAGTTTTTCCACCCTTGATACTGGCCTCTTACTCAAGGCTTCATATTTTCTCTTTGGTTATGGATGGTTCAATTAAATGAACTGTCTGCTTTTAATTTTGTGTGTGACAGTTAAAAATGTCAGTTAAGGGTCGGGCTCAGGTCCTACATCCTAGTTCAGTGAAAGAAGATCACGACTTTTGAGAGTCTCGGATCAAGAGTATGGGTCTGCACTGTAGATCAGAAGAGGTCCTAGGGGCTTGGGGACAGAAACAGTTTTGACGGTTAGGCCGGCCCAGATCCCGTTATTCAGAGGCTGAGGCCAAGAAGTGTGGGACTAGAAGAGTTATCATAAACTTAAACTTTAATTTTGTTGCAGTTTCCCCCTCTTCCCCTTTTTTAATATGATAAGACTCAGCAGCCTCGTCCATTAGCTTTAAAGCATCTTGATAATTCATATTATCATAGCATTTATGAGCAGCAAGTTTATAAAAAAATCCTGATTTCCGATGATAGCCAAGAGATTTGCACAAGTCTCCTAATGATTTAGCTACATAAACTCTATCATATTGATCGACTCCATCTATTTCAGAGTCTAAAACTCTAGTCATAATTTCTATTCCTTTGAATTTTTGGCCTGAGTTTATATAAAGTTTCGCCATTCTGTACTGGCATTCTATCGCTAGCATCGGATTTTTGGCTTTCGTGTAATTAAACTTAGCCTCCCCCAATTTTGATAAAATTGCTTCAAGATTCTGATATTGCCCAGAAGAAAGCATAAGTTCAGTCGCTGCTATTGATTCATAAGTTGCTGCTACCCAAAGCCAATCACTTGTTTTATTTTCTGCTTCTAATGCTTTTACGTACTCTTCATTAGCTTCTATCAAGCTTCCCAACAATAAGCACAGATCGCCAATTAATTTGATATACCTCCCATTCTTCTTTTTCTTAAGCTTTGCGAAATCATTTTCATCAGGCAAATAAATACACTCTTTTACATGCATCTCTTCAGCTAATCTCCCAAATTCTGCTATAAGCATCCCTGTTAGGTCTTGCAGCACAATTTCAACGCTGGCACACAATCTATCATGAGCAAGTCCAGGGTGAAATAAAATCAAATTTTTAGCTTCTTGCTCATATTTACTATCTATTAACTTTAAATTTCTGATCAGAACGATCAATCTCACCCTAAGACATTAACAACCCACCCTCCAGGCTCCAACGCTCTCCTCTCCGATTAAGGCTGGTGGCATGTGCAGTCCGTGTAGTTAGAGATACAGGTTTGGGTTTTTTTCGCCACTTACTCTTCTCAGCCTTCACTGATCTGCTTCAGTCGCTTTGTCTTGACCCAGCTGGATACTCTTAGCCAGGTGCTGTGACAGGGAAAATAATATTTACTATCATCTTCATTAGGCTCAAAGCATAAAAGTCGCCAAAGCCTGCAGCTCGGTATGCTTCCAGCTGTTTTTGAGATAAAATAATAACTTGACATGATATCGCTCACATGCTCTCCTATCCCAAACACCACAAGGAAGTTCTTAAACAAATGAAGAGGATAACTTGCCCCAATGTCATTTTTTATATGAAATTTATAGTTGACATATCCATCTGAATATGTGCTGGAAAAATTTGATGCAAGATCTCTCATTTCATTGGTAAAGTTTACAGATTCAAGAGAAATTTTTGAATAAGTCGCCAAGATATCACAGTACATCTGCAACTTTTCATCAGGCAAGTTTTCGACTCCGATCAGAAGGACGTGGACTTTAGGGATGTCTTCTAGCTCCTGATTGAAATTCATTTGATATTTCATTTTATAAAATCGGCATAATAAAGATGAATTTTTATTGGAATACTATAAAAGCTACATTTGGGATTGGATAAAATAATAAGCAATAAGGCTGCCTTTTTCTTAACTTTTAAAATCTATTTAATGGTAGACGGGAGGAATAGAGATGCTACAGAATTTCGGGAAATTGCGTTAAATAGAGGCCGTAACACCAATTCTAATATATTTCCGAACAATTTTATTACTACAGCTAAATACACCACTCTAACGTTAATCCCTAAAAACCTCTTTGAGCAGTTTCACAGAGTTGCCAACATATGGTTTTTAATTGTCTCGATTTTCCAAATTCTCCCTTTTGGCCTATCTCCAACTTCTTCTTGGGCCACAATTGCTCCGCTTTCTCTCGTCCTTACAGTTACACTAATTAAAGATGCTTACCAAGACTACAGAAGGAGAAAAAGCGATAAAGATTTAAACAACCGAGAAGTAAGAATTTGAAAAGAAGAAAAAGAAGCCTTCGAGCCAGTCAAGTGGATGCAACTTGAAGTCGGGAATTTGGTCTTGCTTGAAAGCGACTCGCCAGTCCCAGCTGATATAGTTATTTTTGCAACAAGTCATGAGGAACATATTTGCTATATTGAAACTTCAAATTTGGATGGAGAAACGAATTTAAAAATCAGAAATTCCTTGCCTGAAACTTCTGCGATATTTGAAGGAGAATTAGAATCGGCCATGAAAATGATATATAAACTTGATAATGCGAAGCTAAAAAGCGAGCATCCGAATAATCGCTTATATTCATTTGAAGGAAGCTTGATTTTAAAAGGACACCCAAAAGCTGTGCCAATTGACAATGGACATATTCTTTTGAGAGGAAGTACAGTTAAAAATAGCAAGTGGGTGTTAGGGTGCGCTGTTTTTACAGGGATTGATACCAAATTAATGATGAATTCCAAAATGCCTCCACATAAAAGAAGTAATGTAGAGAGAAGAGTAAATAGATACCTAACCATTGTATTTACGATTTTACTTGTTATTTCTATGCTCTCAGCAAGCATTTCAGCTGCATACATTTTTGAATATAGCTTTTTTCGCATTTTTCCGTTGAACCAAGTACATTCTGCTTTTAGGACGTGATTGGACTTTCAGTTATTTTTTTTAGTTTAAATATTTTAAAAAAAATATACCTTTATTTTTTTAAAAATATGTGATCACAAAAAATTAACTAACTCCCCCTCCGTTTGCGGACAAAAAAATTTTGTTTTGGAGGGACTTCAAAAGATCCATATATAAATTTAAAGTAATTTTTTATCGAAATTTAAAAAAAAAATTCGCAAAAAATGGAAGTAAATATTTATCTAATTTGTTCAAAATGAAACAGAATAGCAGGAGATTTCATTATGTTATATCACATATATCAAATCTTTTTTCATAAAAATTTTTCTATTAAAAAAAATTTTTGTTCTCTTATCAAGGGTAGGCTTTTGTGCAAAAAATAGAGATTTTCTAATTATAGAGGTTTCCTCTATATAGCGCTGAAAGCGCAGACATTTTCCCAGGAGCTTTCCAAGTTCGTCGGACCAAATCGCTTTTTGGTCCGACCAAGGCATTGATTTGGTGCAACCAACCGATAAATTCCGATCAGAATTTATCGGCCTTACAGCGCCAAACATAGGAAACTTCTATATTTTGTTCGCTCACGGAGGGGGGTAAGGGCCGATCACATCCTCAAAGGCAAAATTTCCTTGAGACTGTGGATAATTAAAATGGTGGTGGTGGTGACAAAATAGGTCCTCGACGACGTCCCACCATTTTGGCGCAAAAGTGGCTTTATAGCCTAAGCCAAGGTTCAGGCCCTTTAACTCTAACCCTTAGCATGCCCTAGAGCTGGGTAAACTTTGGGAGTCAGCTGGTGGTCACTCCAGTCAAAAGTTTTAATTATCCGGATGGTTTTTTGGGCTGTGAGTTCTTTCCCTACCGGTTCCGGAGGGTCACGGTTCTTTTTTCCTGGGTGTCGCTGTACCTACAGGCGGCCGTAAGGAGGCATCGGGCTAACCTTTGCCTTCATAGCACCCGACATGACTGAAGCATATGCAAGGTGGAGTCTCTCCTAACCCGCCGAAACTCAGCGGAGCGTGCAAGCCTTGGCCGTGGGAGAAGAGGCCCAAGATTTGCAAGCAGGTTTTGGGATCCTCGAAAGCGTGCGGAGATATCAAGCTGGAAGACTTTAAAGCAAATTTAAGTTGAGACTGTGGAAAAAATGCGAAAAAAGCTATATCCTGACAGAACCGAATTCTTTACAGGCAAAGATGACACATCAGCTGCTTACCTCAATTTCATCACCTTTTTAATCCTCTATAACAGTTTAGTCCCAATTTCCCTATATGTTACTATGGATGTTGTAAGAGTCATCCAAGCCAAGTTCATCCAGTGGGATTTAAGGATGTATTATGAGCCTATCGATCGTCCCGCAATAGCCAAAACAGGCGACCTTAACGAAGATCTCGGGCAAATCGAGTACATTTTTTCAGACAAAACAGGAACTTTAACAGAGAACCAGATGGAGTTTAAAATGTGCTCAATTAAAGGCAAAATTTACGGATCAATGGAGCAAAGCAACACTGATAGAGAAGATATTTCTATCAACCCTCACCCACAGTTCAAGTTCTATGACTCCACCCTTCTTGAAGACTTAAAAGGTTCTCGAAGCAAAGAAATCAGCGAGTTTCTTGAGCTGTTATCCACCTGCCATACTGTAATTCCTGATAAAGGAAAAGACGGAGAACTTATATATCAAGCTGCATCTCCTGATGAAGAAGCCTTAGTTATTGCAGCACACGCGTTGGGGTATTCTTTTTTCAAGTCCAAGCCTGGATATCTTGCGGTAAAAATACACAACGAAGTGCATGAATATAAAGTAGTTGGAGTTAATGAGTTTAATTCCAATAGAAAAAGAATGTCAGTCATCATTGAATCATTGACAGAGCCATCAAGGCCGCCTATCTTGTATTGTAAAGGTGCTGATAATGTGATTTTGGAGAGAGCAAACGCTTCAGAAGCTGAAAAAAATGAATTAAATAAGCAATTATATGATTATTCAGTGCAAGGGTTGAGAACCCTTGTGCTTGCAAAAAGAGAGCTGACAAGGGCAGAGTCCCAAGATTTCGAAAGAAAATGGCATGCGGCAAAAAATGCTATGGCTGACAGACAAAAAAGACTTGATGAAGTTGCTGCAGAAATTGAAGTAAACATGGATATCATTGGAGCCACTGCGATAGAAGACAAAATTCAAGAAGGAGTCCCCGAAACAATTGCTGATTTAATGGAAGGGGGTGTCAAGGTGTGGGTGCTGACTGGAGATAAGCAAGAGACAGCTATAAATATCGGCTATTCTTGCAAAATGCTTAAAAAGGAGATGGAAGTCATTATTATCAATGCCCACTCCCTTGAGTCCACAAAGTCTCAATTAAAAAAAGCTCTAATGAAAAGTGTTTACAAAGAAAATGAGTCTAACCCAGCCCATTTTATGAGGGTGCAAGAAGATGAGTTTGAAAAAGAAATCGATATAGAAAGCTTGAATCTCGGACTTGTTATTGATGGAGAAACCCTTTTATATGTTTTTTCTGATATGCAGGCCATGGAACATTTTGCTATGCTGTCATGCTTATGCCATGCTGTCATTTGCTGCAGAGTTTCTCCATTACAAAAGTCAGAGGTCGTTAAACTTGTCAAATGCAATTTTCAGTTCCAGCCAATCACACTTGCTATTGGAGATGGAGCAAATGACGTATCTATGATACAAGAAGCCCACGTAGGGATTGGTATATGTGGGAAAGAAGGGCTACAGGCAGTGAATTCGAGCGACTATGCAATTGCGAGGTTTAAATATTTGATACCTTTGCTGTTTTTGCATGGAAGATGGAACTACATGAGAATTACTATGGTTATCCTTTACTCTTTTTACAAAAACTTTATACTAGTTCTGCCAATGTTTTATTTCAGCTTTATGAATATGTACTCAGGAACAGCTCTTTATGACTCATATTTGCTTCTCTCGTTTAATGTTGCCTTAACTTCTTTGCCGATATGCTCAGGACACATTATAGATCGTCTTGGGCTGCCATTTGAAGCTCCAACAAGTGAAGTTGGTTTGGAACTAGAAATTGCCAAACTAATTCCTCAAATTGGCAAATGCCAAACTATAGGACTATAGGATTACTTGTAGACTCATGGATTTGGTTTGGCAAATTCTCGTCCCAAACCAACTTCACTTCTTCGAGCTTCAAGTGGCTACCCAAGACGATCTATAATGCGTCCTGGGCTATAGTAATTGTAGGCTCAATTGATCGAGATTTAGAAGCTGATGATATGCTAATTAATCCAGCTCTCTATCAGGATGGGATCTATTCAAGGCGATTCAATGCAAAAATTTTTATTAAATGGACATTCAAGGCGATATTTCAGAGCATTATTATATACTTTCTCATAACCATGAACTCATTCAATCTCATATCAGGTGATGGTGATGCTGAATCCTACAACTTGATGGGAACAGTCTATTTCTATTCAATAGTTCTAACAGTCTCATTCATGATTATGATCAAAACAAATAATTGGACCTTCCTATTCATCATTGTGCTATTCTTAAGTGCTCTTGCTTTCTTCCCATTTATCTTTTTTTATGACTATGCAATGTTTCCCACATCTGAATTAACTGGAGTCACCTTCAGACTGTTTTCTGAGCTTCCCTGCTTTTTGAGTTGGACTTTAATTCCACCTTTCTGCTTTATAGTTATTTTGGTAAAAGATTTCATTTACGCACTATAGCGTATCCGCCCAAGTAGATCGCCATATGTCCGATGTCTCCCGAGATCATCAGGGGTTGGTGAAAGCCAACCCTTAAATTGAAAACCTAAATTTATCTAGTGAATTTGCCATCTAAAGGATTGGTTTCACCAATATTTGTTACTATGCCCAAGCTCCCTATCGTCTCGGGAGACTTCAGACATATAAACGATCCACTTAGGCGGATAGGCTTTATGGTTTCCTTCAGAGATCGATCATATTCGGTCACGAAAAACAGGTAAAGTTCACCCTGAAATGATATATGAACAGCAAGAAGAAGAAACTAACTCCAACTTTAAGTTTTCCGTATTAAAAAACTTTTAAAAAGCTTAAAACATATAAATTGAGCACAATACTTTGAATCTTAATAAGAAACAATTAAAAAATTAATCGATTCAATGTGAAAAATGTTCAAATAGCATTCTACCTGCACTTTTGCCATTAAATTAGTTCAAAAATAATTTTATAAAAATTAGTAAAATACTTTTTTGAATTTTAAAAAAAAAAAAAAAATTAATTTTAATTTATTTTTATGAAGAATTATTAATTTAAATAATTAATTGATTCGATAAAATTTTGTTCCAATTTAAAGGGGGGTTAAAGTACCCCAAAAATGCAAATTTACCGATAACTTGTTCCGATTTTAAAGGGGGGAGTAAGCATTTAATTATATCAAGAGCTTCAAAGTATAAATCTAAGCTCTCTGATGTCTTTAATCCCAAAGGAATCAAATTGAAAAATGATAAGGAAGAAGAAGCGCCAAAAAATGATTATTCGTTGAAAACACTGACGTTGCAGTTTTATAACCTTTATATGGAAAAAAGCTTCAACAAATTTACAACTGAAAAAATTATGAAGTTTATAAGGAAAATATTTATTATATTATTTATATTGAACTTAATATGAACAATATCTGATATTGTCCAAGGATCAACAAATAGCATGATTGCAATAAGAATTGGCGTTGTGATAGTGTTTTTTGGATTTATTATATTTGTTCATACAAGATTATTTGTTAGATATTATGAACCAGTTGTGCTGGCAGTTCTAGTTGTTGGGCTCGTTATAAAAGTAAGCCTTGAAATAATAAATCAAAATGATGGATCAATGACAACAGCTCTGGTGCCAATCTTGACATTTGTGTTATTTAGTGTCAGTACTTATAAAGTATTTTTAATCAATATTCTATTTTTGATGATTTACCTTATTAGAGTGCTTGTCCACTATGCTACTGACTTAGACGCAGTTAGCATGGAAATAATTGCTATGAACTATATTGTTCTTTTATCAGGCATCACTGTTATAAGTGCTTTTGTAGGCTATGCCTTACTCCCCCCGATCCTTGATCGAACGACTCGCCATCGTTCGATCTAGGATGGGGGTTAAAAAATTTTTTTTGGAAAAAAAATTTTATATATAAAATAAAAAATATATATATATTTTTATTTAGGGTTAAGAGTATTTAATAATTATTTTTATAGCAAAAAATTGAATTAATTTCATAAAAATACCAATTTTTAATATTTTGATTTATTATTCACACCTTTAAATTTTAATTTGTTCATTATTAAATTAAAATTTTTTTTTAAAAAATTTTTAAAGAATCTCTATTTTATTAGATTATTGAGCTTTTAAGCCTAGGTTGATGACTAAATCACTTTGGATGGTTGATTTTGAAGCTTTCTGTCGTCTCAAAGTCTCTGAAAACAACTTCATTATGTACATCTTCCACAGCTTTTGATAACTATATAGTTTTATATATATAAAAAAAATTTGCATGATATGAAAATCGTTCGATCAAGGCTGGGGGTTAATTTCCCCAATTTTTAGGAATTTTTACAGTCAATCGTTCGATCAAGGATGGGGGGGAGTTAGAAAAATCCAGAAGGACCAGTTATATTCTCCGTAAAAAGCTTGAACATCAATTCCAAAAAGGCCAAGAAATATTAGGAAATTTACTTCCGAGATTTGTTAAGGACAGAGTTAAGCAAGGAGTTAGATACATTGCAGAAGACCAAGGAATTGTCACATTATTATTTTGTGATATTTATGATTTTGATAAAATATGTGTCACACATACACCAAACGAGCTTATTGATTTATTGGACAAATTCTTTGCAATTTTGGATGGGCTATGTGATAAGCATGGAGTAACGAAAATAGAAACAGTCAATAAAACTTATCTTGTTTGCGGGGGGCTGAAAGATAGTGAGGAAAACCTATCGCCTGAGTTATTGGATAAAAATCATGCTCAAAGAGTTTTGGAACTGGCAATGAATATCCTTACTCCCTGCTCCCTATGTGAGCCAACAAAACCATTAGAAAAATCCTTATTTTTTAGGTAAAAAACCCTCAATAAGCGAACAAAAATTTTGTTTATGAAAAAAGCTGATAATTTATAAGTGATAATTAATCGCTTTCCAATTTTCATGAGTAGGTTGTTTAAAATTTCGGATTAAAAATTTTGCTATGGCATTTATGTATAATTTTTCTAAAAATAGTCTCCCTCCGTGATCAAACAAATTTTTATTTTCATGCTAAGAGAGGGATGAGCTAAAAAAATAGAGCCAGTCTACTTAAAGAACGGTGACAAGTTTCAAGTAAAGATGGGTATTAATAGTGGCCCGATCATCGCTGGCGTTGTTGGCGATCATAAACCTCAGTTTTCTTTAATCGGTGATACAATTAACACGGCCAGCAGAATGTGCTCAACTTTAAAAGAACCGTGCCAGATCCAAATCTCTTCAGCCACATACGAATTTGTAAAGAGCCAACCATATAATTTTAAGCCAAGCAAAGTCGAAGCAAAAGGCAAAGGTTGGCTTGACACATATGTACTAAAAGTCCAAGAAGCCAAAAAGAAAAATCGAAGGGTCACTACTTTTGAAGAAATGGGCCCTACCCAATTTCAGCCTATAGAGCAGCAACAACAGCAGCAGGAGCCTCTTCCTGAAAAGAACAGTTTAAACGTCTCTGTTCTTCCTTTGCTTCCATCTGAAGGAGAAAGCTATGCTGTAAAAGAGACAAGTACAGTGTTCGATATTGATAAACTTCAATATGAAAGCTTTGACAGCGATGAAGACTATGCTGGATTGGCAGGACCTGTGCAATGGCTCACTTGCAGCTTTAAAGAAATGGCAATGCAGCATGAGTATAGAATTACGACATTGAAAAAAGAAATGGCTACAATGAGATGGGGTTTATGGATGACAATTATTATTTATGCAATTATTTTGGCAAATTTCATTGTAGGATTTGAGCTAACTAGCAATTTTGGGAATGGGGTGCAAATTGGTCTAAGAGCTGCATGCTTAGCTGCAATGATCGGCTTAGCAATAGTTTTGAAGAATGTCTACCAAAACCAAATGTTCCCTTGGGCTGTAATGGTTATTTACATTTCATGTAGCTATGCTAGTGTATAATTAAAATATGGATCTCCACCTGGCATGCCCGCCGGCCACGCAGCTTCTGAGCACATATTTTAATTATATCGGCAAGGTTTTACCAAGCTGGAAATGGGCAGCTATGCTAGGTAAGCAACTCCCGTGGTGTAGGAGCCTAGCCCTTGTCCTTTTTCTGGTTTAGATTTTACCTCGAGGACAAAGGAGGCTTATAGTTGGAAAAGGTGTTGCCCAGCAAAGTCCTTTGGACCATTCGGGCACTGCACTATCGTGAAACCAGGGGTTACGGCCTGGGCTAAAAGTTAGACCTTATGCCGACAGTCGGCCAGAAAATCCATTTTTCGAATTTTCTGGCAACCTCGTCGCTGCAGCCTGAAGCAAGGCCCCGGAACCCATAGTCCTCCCACTCAATTCTGGAGCCACCGCGAAGTGGCAAGCAGGAGAGACGGAGGAAACCGGAAGGAAGTACGTGCCCCGCAAAGCGGATGAATCCCCTAGGGATCCTTGATAACCGAGTTAACAAAGCGGACCTCAACTAACCGCCATAATTAAGTTTAAGTTTAAGTAGCTATGTTAGTGTTCTTTCCATCTCAAGAATTAGGTCTGATTTTTTTTATATCATTGTTTTAGAAGAAATGTATACAAATGTAGTTATTAACCACATATCTGGACTGCCTTTTGGGCATATTTTGATAGCTTCATTTTGCGATTTTATCCACTGAATAACAGCTGTTATTTTGGATCCGGATGATTATTCGAAATCTATTGAGGCCACTTTCTTTATATTTATTTTTACTTTTATTAATGCAGCAGCAAGCTATATGAGAGAATATAATGATAGGAAAAATTATAACCTTATTTTCCCTTTAAATCTGAACAAGAATTCTGCTCCAATTGTTTTTTTAAAAAAATAAATTAAATCAAACTCATTAAAAACCTTTTTTAAAATTTTATAGGAATTGCCCGAGGATGGCGCTATCTTGCGCCATCCTCAGGCAATTGAAAATATGGCCCCACACGTGGGTTCAATTCCCGGTGTGGGGCAATTAGTATAAGACCTTTCATAGATTAATTATCAAATTTATCAGTTCATCATTTTGCTCTCCCCAATTTAAAATAAAGCAAGTTGTAAGTATTTTTTTTATTTTTGCTATATAAAATTTTGTATCAATAATATTATTATTTTATCTATCTCAATATTTTGATACAGTTTAAATGAGGCTTAATTTACCGAAATTTTTTAATTGAAAGTGGAGGGAGCTAGCAGAATGGCTCAAAGAGATATTCAAAACACCGAGAAACTTCTAAGCCAGATGATGCCTCCATCAGTTGTGAAAAATCTGCATAATAATGTAACAACAACAGATAAGTATGCAGACGTTACTATGATTTATGCCGATATTGTCGGGTTTACTGCTTATTCTTCAAATAAGAAGCCAATCGAAGTTGTTAGTATGCTTTCTAAGCTTTTTTCCAATTTTGATCACTTATGCATGAAAAATAACGTATATAAGGTTCATACAATAGGCGATTGCTATGTTGTCCTCAGCTTTAGTGACAGTGGAGAGGATGGCTATACGAGAAATATAGCTAGAGAAGTCACTAATATGATAAATATGGCACTGGATATGATAAAATGCATCAAAAGAATTAATAGAGACAAAAATATGAGCTTAAATATGAGAATAGGACTTCACACAGGCGAGGTAACTGCAGGAATTACTGGGACAAATATTGTAAGATATGATATTTATGGTCCAGATGTTGATATTGCTAATAAAATGGAAAGCAATGGCCAAGCTGGGAAAATAAATGTGAGTGAAGTCACGAAGGCACTTTTAGAAGTCCATTGCCCAGGAAGATTTGACTATGTCTTCAATAAAGTTGTCACTCATCAGCCAGTTAATCGATCACTGGATGCTTACTTTGTGAGGGCAAAACTTACTGATGATTTAGAGTTTTAATAATTTGTTTTAATCCAATTATTTTTATAATTAATGCTGGATTTCTGCCATAATTACTTGTAGTGAAACTAATGATTTTGTCAGGTGAGGATGGTTTTTCTTTACGAGCTCAACAAAGTCAGTGTATTTCATTAAAAATTTTGTATAAGTTCTCTTTAAGATATCTTTTTGTGTTTCTACTCCTGAAAACAGATTTTTGACTGCTTCTTCTATGATTTGAAGACCTTTCTTTCAATTCACATTAAAATCGTGCAAAAAGAGATCGATATCGCCAGAAGATGGATTAGGAGTTTCCAACTCCCCCATCCAAGAACTAACAAATTATTAGAAAAATACCTATATTCTGCCCAAAAACCCACCTCCGCGAGCGAAAAAAATTATTTTAATATATAAAAATTTTGATATATAAGTGACAATTAATATAATGAAATATCTAGCTAATTCTGTTTAATTTCAAACAGCTTGCATTTAAAACATAAATTTTATAAATTAAATAAATATATCCTTTCCAATTTTGCGAATTAGGATTTTTGAAATTTCCAAAAAAAAATTGACTAAAAATTACAGCCCTCCAAACAAAATGTTTTTGTTCGCTCATAGAGGGGTAGTAGGAGCTTTACGAAAGCTGGAAAGAGTTCTTTGATTTGCATATCTATGAAATTTTCCGTCATAGCAGTTAGGTCTGCTTCTAATTGTCCAAATTCTTGTGATATAGTAACTTTCTGTTCATGAAATTCTTCCATCAAATAATCCAGATTATTTATTATGAAAACAGCTCTATTTTTTTCATCTCTTATATCTTTAGCTATTTTTTTCAATAATCCAATGAATGATTGTCTGAATAAACTTAGCCTGTGGATAAACATACTGTCTTCTGGCGATATTTTATGCAAAGACGTAATAAATTGTGCAAATCTGCTTGTAACTGGATGGATAATTAAATATGGCGTCTCAACTTGAGTCTGGCCTCTCGGCCAGACAGTTTCGAGCCCTATTTAATTATATCCGGCAAGGTTTTGCCTAGCTAGAGATGGACAGCAATATCAGGTAAGCAATTCTGGCAGTGTACAGAGCCTGATCCTAGTCCGTTCTCAGGTTAGGATTTTACCTCGAAGGAAAAGGAGGCTTGGAGTTGGAAAGGGGAAGCCCAGCAGTGCCTAATGGTAATTCCTAGGCCATTCGGGCAAGTCCCTAGCGAGAAACCGGGAGTTTCGCCCCGGGCTACAAGTTTTCCTTTTTGCCGAAAGTCGGCCAGAAATTCCATTTTTTGGAATTTCCTAGCAGGCAACCTTCGTTACAGAGAAAGTAGCTCATTCATGAGCTATCGAAGCCGGAACATCGCGCAGGAGGCGCACGTTGGAGATCAAAGCCAGCTGTCCCAGCAACTGGTGGGCCCCGAGCGACGAGAGCGTGGTGGTAGTCCTGGAAGAGCAACCCCGTAGGAGACGTTAAACGTCATGGTTAATAAGTTAAGTTAAGTTAAGCTTGTAACTGGATGATAAGCGATATCTGATGTATGGAGATAATTCGCTGTATCCATTTCTCTCAAATTATTATCTAATAGAACTTGAAGTCTTGGCCACGTTATGATTCTGACTTTCTCAAAATAAGGATTCATAAAAAGCATTCCACGCTTTTCCATAGTTTGCTGAAATACAGTATTTATCTTCAAAACCAAAAGCAAGGCAAGAGTATCATAAGTCGTCCCAAAAATTGTAGCTAAATTATCAATCAAATGCTGCTGAGTTTTTGAAAAAATTTCTCCGAAAACAGGCTCGTATTGATCAAATCTGACATAAAAAAATTCTAGGACAAATAAGAAGCAAAAAGTGCAAGTGTCTACCAGAAGTCTACTAATACTTTGAAACACTCTTTCTATAAAAAATTTTTGATGAGTTTTTCTGGCTACATGGCAGATTATAGGATCAAGTGTTTCAATTTGGTCTAGAAGCTGGTGTCTGTCTTTTAGATCAAAGCCTTGAACATAGCTTATATCAGTTCCCATACCTTGCCATGTTACAACATCACGCTTATCACAGTCGTCTCTTATAAGCTTTTTAATGCTTGACATGTACACTTTGAAGTGGTCCAAATAGATTTGACTCATTATCTCTGTATAGTTCATGCAGATCTCTACAAAGGTTTCTTGGGAATTTTCTCGTAAATATAGGAGCATGTCTTTGTAGCGGATCAATACAGTTTCTTGCATTAGCTGGACATTTGTTTTTGGCTTTAATAATGACTGAATGTGATTTATTAAGAATTGTCGGACTTTGTATGCTGCTTTCATATTGAGTCGCTTTAGGTAAGGTCAAACCTCTTGCATTGATACAGCTGCAACTTCATTGCCTTCAATAATAATATTGCCTTGAGTCCTAAAAAACCTCATCTTCTCTCTCAGTTGATTTATATATACTAAAAATCCTTCATCTACATCCCGCTTGCAAATATTATGAATTAAATCAGGCGTAAGTGTAATTTGTTTCAAAAAGTTTCCTAGCTTGTCTTCTAAATGTCTTCTATTTGAGAGCGAAACATTCATTGAAAGTGATTGATCTTGAAGCGTTTTAATTTCCAAGCCAACATTTTTCAGATCTGACTGGAATTGAACTAGATGGGATTCGATATTTTTGATAATTTTATTTGAATCTCTCACTGTCATATAAAGCTCTGCTAATTCTTCCTGACAAGTAGCCATATCTTGAAGACACTCACTTTCTACTACTTTTAGTTGCTCTTCTGTTTGCTCAGAATATTCACGTAAATCCATATCAAATTTTACTAATAATTTTTTTGCTATAAGTCGAGATCTGATAAATTAAATTTATAGCAAAATTGGAAGATCACTATGGATAAAATAAATAATCATTTTTGGAACTAGCAATATATAGTAAAAGCCTTTGGAATTCATATAATTCTTACAATAATTATAATAATTACTGGAAATTTAACAGATTTTTTACCAAATAAATTTATAATATAGATATTTAATCAATTTCCGACACTTATAATTCAAATTCTAATTAAGTCCTCTTTACTAAATATTTTCATATAAACTAAAACTGTTAATTTAGGAAACAATATAAATAGATTGATTAAAAATTTATTGAATATATATGCTAGCTCCTCCTCCCTCCGCGGGCGAACAAAAATTTTTTAAATATATGAGGCTTTATGAAAAAAAATATTTATATATATATAATAAATAATTATTATATGAAATCTCTATCTAATTATGTTGAACTTTTAAATAGCTTACATTTAAAACATAAATTTTACTAGTTAAATTAATTTTTGAAATGAAGAGTGCTGTATGTATCAAAAAAGTAGAGCAGAAATTATTGATTTTCTAAGTGAGATAATGAATGAGGATCTTAAAAGAGTGAGTTTAACAGAAATTGTGCTGTATAGCTAGAGATTTGAGATGATGATGAAGAAAAAACTATATTGGATTCAAAATAATAAACAGAAAAAAATCGCGAATTTGTTAAAAAATCGTCAAATTAATAATTGTAACTGAACCATTATAATAATGATAACCACTAATGCAATGCAGATTAATTTTTGATTTTCAATTTTAGCAGCTTAAATCATTTTGCTATTATTTTTAATATAAAAAAATTAACCCTTTTATTTAATCGAACAAAATAATTTCTCTCAGAGGAGGTGGTAAGTGGGAGAGAGACACCAATTGCTTGTAAAGTAATGCTTAATCAAGATAAAAGGCTTCCTGAAATATCAAGCAGTTCTTTAGACCTGCAAGGATGAAGAACATAAAAAGGCTGCCCTGTGGTAGGAAGCTCTTCAGGAGTAATAAATTCTTTGAACTGTTTTATTTGATCCATTACTTCATAAAATGCTAGAATTAGGTTTCGGCATCTAAAATACATAACAGGAACTCTATATCCAATATGATAGTAAATAACAATTTCTCACTCAATATTATTCTCTGAAAAAAGGTATAATTTAAGGAATGGGTAACATCGTATTATCTGAAGTCCTGGATATTGCATAGCTTTCTCTACAAGTTCATCTGCTTGCTTATCGAAATCTAGATTATCCATTCTTATAATTAATTTCGCTAAATTTTTATAATTCTGACTGGAAATGCATTTAAGGATTTGGTGAATAAATGTTGCAATCTTTCTTCTCTTTATTATCAAAGTTAATAAAATATTTTATCTTAATACTTCACAATTGAAGGCTTGTGATTCATATACATTAAAATGGCGACTGCGAACCAGCCCTTTTTCTCAACACTTGTACCCGTAGTCCAACAGGGCTGCGGGGACCTTGTGGAAGGGAAATTGGAGCTCGGGGTGTATATACGGCCAGGCTTTACTTGGTTTGGTGGGGCGCAATGCTGAATTTGGTCAACTGCAGCTCATTCCAGGTCAACTTTTTTGCCTCAGGGGAATGGGATTCAGAGTTGGAAAGGGCTGACCCAGCGACACCAAGGAGTACTACTTGGTCCTTCGGGCTCTTTTCCAGAGCGATACTTGGCGTTGCGTCCCAGGATTTGGATTTTCATTTTGGCAGACAACCTGACCAGAAAATTTATTTTTGGTATTTTCGGAAAAGGAAACCTCTGTTGACGTACGGCACGGTGGCACAACTCATCCAACTACAGGTAGCGAGTGCAGGCCCTTGTCTGTAGGATCGAGACTTTTAAGTTCTTGTTTCGATTTTTTGCGAGCAATCGAGTGGAGCTTAATGGGCTAAGGTAGTTCTTCTGGAATTACAGTGGAGTTCTATATAAGTAATTAATTAATTCAGGCTTGTGATTCTCTCAATCTAATTTTTTAAAAGTTTAGGCTCAGTATGAAAAGTAAAACAATAGTTATTATAAAAAATGTTCAGAAGAGCGGCTAATCTTTACCGATTATTTGGTGTCACTCACAAACCACAAGTAAAGCTTTTCACTCCAGGACCACTAAATACCACCACTACAGTGAAAGAAGCCATGATGTATGACTTTGGTTCACGCGATCCTGACTTTGGCAAAATTGTGGAAGATATTAAGGTCAGACTCCTGAAAACTGCTGACGCTAAGCCTAAAGACTATGCAGCCGTTCTAGTGCAAGGAAGCGGTACTTTTGCTGTTGAAGCATGCTTGGGAACCTGCTTCCCACGTCTTGATCCAGGTGACAAATCAAAACGAATGCTCATCATTGCCAATGGTGCATATGGTGAAAGGCAAGTTAAAATTTGTGAGGTGTTGGGGATCCCACATATTGTTCTTACATTATTTAAGAAAATAAATAAAAAATCATTTTAATAAAATACTTATATATTAAATAAATTTAATGTAAATGACTCTGGGTTAGGTACGCAGACTCTGAAATAGTTAATCCAAATGACGTTAAAAGACAACTCATAGAGCATCATCAAATTTCACATGTATCAGCTGTTCATTCAGAAACTACCACTGGAATTCTCAACCCTTGCTTGGAAATTAGAGATAAAATGATGAATTTGACGAAAATTGGACTCCGAGACGCGCGCTCCTATGAAGAATGTAGGACCCATCCTGATATAGCTGAAAGCAAGGCTTCTGTCCCTTTTTGAATTAGGCCTTCAGATTTGGGGATGCATTGCCGAAGACGGAAGTTTTGTTCTCCCCAAAAGTTTCCTACCCTGCCAGACGTGCTAGACAGGTTTTGTCGGTTCCTTCACACGACGACTATTTCATAGCACCTATTTTTTTTTGGCCTATTTTTTTTGGCCTATTATTTTTTGGCCTATTTTTTTTGGCCTATTGTTTTTGGCATATTTTTTTTTTGGCCTATGTTTTTTTGGCCTATTTTTTTTGGCCTATTTTTTTTTTGGCTTAGTCTCATTCATGAAGCTGCTGAGAGGACTAAAACCTTATTGAGAAACAGAGAACTTTCCTTACGCGATTAATATTGAGTAAATTAAGTGAAAAACTCCTAATTAAATCTAAAATTCTCGAAATTTTAAAAGCAATGAATTAGTATTCATGGAGTAAGAAATCTGTTAAGGGTGTATTTTTTGTTGGTTAAATCGTTTAAAACACATTAAAAATTAGATTAAAACAATTAGTATGGAATTATGCCAAATATTAGTAAAAAATAGTTAAAAAAATGTCAAAAAAAAGGCTAAAAAAAATAGGCCAAAAAAAAATAGGCCAAAAAAAAGTCGTTATGAAATAGTCGTCGTGTGAAGATACGGGTTTTGTCTACTGCATAGTCTTGGTGCACTCGGCAGGCTTGACTGCGCTCTAGGGAGCTGGTCCCTTGGATTCAAGGTGGGTTTAGCGTTTATGATCAACATAAATTTTAATTTATTTAATTACCTTGGAAATAGGAAAGGTCGTTCATGAGCACAACCCTAATTTGATATACATTGTTGATGGTATGAGTAGCTTTGGAGCTGTTCACCTTGATTTATATGAAGCTCATGTCAACTATCTTATCAGTTCTTCTAACAAGATGATACAAGGAATTCCAGGCTTCGCCTTTGTAATTGCTAAACTTACTCCCCCCATCCTTGATAAAGGACAACATTGAAAATTCCTAAAGTATTGGTAAAATCAATTTCCATACTCGAAAGATTAACTTTCATAAAGATAATGTGAGGCCTCAAATCAATTGACACTTTTTGATAAATAATCAGCTTTAGAGATATGGGAGTATAATTTCCCATACTCAATAATAATATGATTTATAGTATATTATAAAATATATTGCATCCTCGGCCTTTTGTAGCTAGAGACTAAAATATTTAAATAAAACAATTTTTCAATTTATAAAAATATACTTTTTTACAAATTTTTTAGTCATAATCCTTCATTGCAAGAATCGGCTTGATTGAGTTAGCAATTTAATGCAATGCCAAGGAAATTCAAGATCATTAGGTCTAGATCTCTATGAGCAATGGGACTATCAATTAGGCAACCCAGGACAATTCAGATTTACACCTCCAACTCATGTTATGGCAGCATTCCATCAAGCCTTGGTAGAACACGAAGCTGAAGGAGGAGTTAAGGCCAGAGGTGAAAGATATAGAAATAACCAAAGAATCTTACTCCCCCTTCGTGAGTGAACAAAATTATTGGAAAAATCCCTAATTTTTGCCTAAAAACCCATATTCCATGAGCGAACAAAATTTTTTATGAAAATAAATTTTAATGTATAAGCGATAATTAATATAATGAAATCTCTAGTTAATTTTTGTTAATTTTGAGCAAATTGCATTTTAAAACTTAAATTTTGCAATCAAATAAATATTTTCTTCCAATTTTCGCAGATTGGAACTATATATAAATTTTAAAAAACAAATTGGCCTCCTCCATGAGCCGTGAGCGAACCAAATTTTTTTTGTTCGCTCACGAAGAGAAGAGTTAAGTGAAGAAATGAGAAAGCTTGGATTTAAGCTATATGTGGAACCAGAGAATCAAGGGGTTTGCATCACAACCTTTATGCAGCCTTCACATCCTAAGTTCAATTTCAAAGTTTTATATGACTATTTGGCTGAAAGAAACATTGTTATTTATCCTGGAAAACTCAGTAAAGCACCTTCATTTAGATTAGGGAATATTGGAGAACTTTATGCTGATGATATGTATGAATGCATCAATAAGCTTAAGGAAGGGTTTCAATATATGGGAGTGCCGTTGCCTTTAGAAGAAGATTAATTTTAAATTAATGGCTTTATTGGCTATAATCTTTTAGTAATAAATAATAATTCTAGCAGAAATGTATCTAAAAAAACTAATCACGAGTGAAATAGTATACGTTTACTTTTATATGCATTATAATACCAATAATTTATATTTAATCTCACTTTATTTAACTGGATATTTCGCGGTACTACACGGAGGTCCCTTTCTAATTGGAGACTGAGTTTTTGTGTCTAAATTACCTCCCTCGTTACCAAGTATAGCTGCTCTACAATCACAGCTAAAAACAATGCCTGATATGCATCAGGATTCCGTCGTCAGAAGGATCACTTATCTCCACATTTTATACTAGTTATATTTTCTATAATACTAAATGCCAATTCCTGCCCAAATATTATTCACCGATTTAAATTATCTGTTTATAAATCTAAAAATTGCTAGATAAGCATCAAAACCTTTCTTTTTATTTAAATTGATTTATTCCAAAATTAGAATATAATTATTATGCTTAATGCATATCTATTACCTTATTGATGTAAGATTTACATATCCCGAATTAATGAAAACGGTCCTTGGAGATCTTTAAAGAGATCTGTAGGCCGTCTTCTATTAGTTCTGCCTGACTCAACACCTTTTTTCTCTCCAAGGTTGCTTTCATCAGATTCAACGACGCTTCCAATGTGTTTGACCTGAAATCCAGCCTGAGCTTGTGGGAAATGTCTTTCTTTTAAAGACTGATCATGAGTGTTATTGGTGGTTGAACTTACATCAAAAGGGTTAAATTTAATCAGCTGCTTTGCTTGTGGAGATGGCATTGCAGTTCTCCACAGCTCCTTCGCTGATTTTCTTTCTTCTTTACTACTCGATTCATTTTCATTCGCATGACTTTTGCCATTACTTGATTTAATAGATGCATTTGAGTTGTGAGCTCCAATGATTTCCTTCTCAACTACTGGGATATCTATTGCTTTTACCCTTTTAAGCCGAAGTTTATCGTCAGGGACAATCCCAAGCTGTTTTAAAGTGGCTGTAGGATCCAATACTTCTAATTGTCCTTTGTGTATAGAATATTCGGAAATATCAATATCGGGTCTTAGCTTTGAAATTTGGTCTTTTAGATCATATATAGCCCATGAGCGATTTTATATCGCCTTGGGCTTGGAGTATGCTTAGAACTCCCGCATAGTATTTACATAAAAAACTGGGGAGCCAGCTCGGGGAGTTGACAAATGACTCGTATCAGGTATATTTCTCAACTCCAAAGTTGTTCGTCAACTTATGTTGAAAAAACCAACTCAGGGGATTTCTAAGCATACTCCTAGCTCAGAGCGATCTAAAATCGCTCATCAGCTATATCGGCACTTCATGTCGATACCTCAAAGACAGTTCAAAACGTGGACTTTTACAGGAAACTTTCAAGACTTTGTCTGGCTCTTGAACTTTGGAAGAGATTTTAATATCTTTTACAGCTGTGGAAGGGGTTGTGTTGGAGACTGGGCGAGGTGTATCAGGCTTGTGAGGCTTGGAATTTTTTGAGGCGTTTCCAAAGCAAGCTCCCATATAAATTTTTATAAAAAAATAGAATAAAGTCAGTAATATATTATGATGGTTTGAAAGGGAAGAGAGGAAGCTAAGTTGGTTTTTTAAAATATATAATCTAGTTGAAGAAGATAAAACGAATATGCTAACCATTTTTTCATTGCCAGAATCCATTGAAAGTGCAAGTAATATAAACATTGAAGAGTACAAAATTTACTAGTTAGCTAAATCAAGCATTGCCGATCCGAAATTATGTTTTTAAGCATGGAGATTATGAAATCTATTCATAAAATATAAATAAAATATAGGACTGACCAAAATAAAAAAATTGCAGAAGTTTTAAGATTGATATTAGTTTATAAGCTTGAGATATAAATTAGCACTTACTGTGGTGCTAAAGGGATTTAAATTTAAAAGATATCAAAATTTATTAAGATTTCATTGTTGTATTTTATAGAAATATACTCTAGATATAATAAATGTAATAGTGATTAATTTAATTTCTTATAAAATAAAAAGAAATTCTTTAAAAGCTAGTTATGTTAGTTTTCTTGCTCACCAGATGTCCATAAGGTGATATTATCTCTAAGAAGCTGCAAAATCAAGGTTGAGTCCTTATAACTTTCTTCTGAAATATTATCCAGCTCTGGTATAGCTTCATCGAATGCTGCTTTGGCCATTTCACAAGCTTTGTCGTTTTCTTTCTTGATTTCATAGTTGAAGACTGAGAAATTCAAAGCAAGTCCAAGTCTTGTAGGATGTGTAGGTGGGAGTTCATTTTTCGCAATATCCAAAGCTGCCTGATAGCTTTCACCAGCCCTTATAGCAGTTTGACTTTGAGCTGCAGCTTGTTCAAGCTCTGCCATGTAGCGGTAGTAGTCACCTTTCATTTTGAGGTAAAAGACTCTTGATTCAGAATTGCCGACTTTGGGAATTAAATCAGTGTCAATCACATTCAAAACGTCGTCACAGTGCCTTCTCAGCTCAGACTCTACATCAGATTTGTACTGGCCAGCTGAAGTTTTGTGGGCAGAGTTGCCTCTTCTTTCTTCTTTTTGCTCAATCGAGTTAAGAACTCTCCATGATGTTCGGCGGGCGCCAACCACATTTTTATATGCGACTGAAAGGATGTTACGCTCTTCAACTGAGAGATCTTGACTAGACTTCTTAACAAAAGCTTTGACATAGGCTACCATTTCTTCATAACGTTCTGATTGCTCAGCTAGACGAGCAAGGTAAATGAGCTCGTCACGTTCCAAAGCTTCAGGCCTATCGATATTCATATTAATTATTATGGCACAACCGCTAATTAATTAAAATCACTTATATCTCTTATTTCAATATTACTCAAATCAAATATAGGCATATCCCTAAGATAGCTCGATATGGGCGAGGATAGAGGCCAAAATTTCCCACTTGGCTCGGCCAAAATGGATTGATCGAACCATGTGGAAGGAGGTTTATTTGCCTCTTTCCACTTGGTTCGACCAGCCCATTTTGGTCGAACCAAGTGGGAGGTTTTGGCCTCTATCCCTAACCCATATCGGGATATCTTAGGGATATACCTATATATCTGACTACTACTATGGGGTGGGGTACCTGTGAAGGTTTCATCTTTTTAGATTCCTCTTGAACATATTCCATCTTATAGATCTGATAATAGAATATTTAAAATAGCAAGCAATGGATTATTTGCCTGCCAATTTTTAAAGAGCAATAGCTAAAGTTTAAGCATCTATTGATGATAAATTATAATTTAATTCTAATTTCAAAATAAATTTCTTTAAAAGTTGTTATTATTCATCTTGTTGATCCTTGTAGGACTTAAATTATCTATATCCATTCTGTCTCTTTCAAAGCTCATCTTGAAGTCGCCAACACTTTCAGTCTGTCTAAGTCTGTCCTCATAATTTCTATTCTTTCGATACTTAATTCTTTTGTATTGAAGATGAACATTTGGATTTTCATACACTTCAGTAGCAGCTCTTCTGTCCTTTCTTCTTTTAGTGTCTCCGTCGTGGTCGTTTGAGATATTTTCAAATATTGGGAGTTCTGCATTGTTGTTTATGTACGGGCTTTCCTCAAGTCTTTCCATTGCTTCTGGGACTGTGTTCGGATCATAATTAAAATATATGGGAGGACGCATTGGTTCTTCATCATGGGTGTTTTTACTTGATTCATTTTTTTCAAGCATTGATAAGAAAGAGAACCCAAGCATGTTGTTTGGCATTATATGAAGCAATGGACTATCTTCGGATGAGCTATTTGAATTTGTACTAACTCCACCTTTAAATGGAACAAAACATCAGCAAAATCCGCATTTTTTGGGTAATTTAGCTTTAAATTGTTTATCAATCGTAAATTTCTCGATGAAAAAAATATTAATTTTTATAAAATTAGTTTTAAACCTAATTTAATATACAATGTGCATGTAGAATGTTATTTAAATAGTTTTCACAGTGAGTTAGAGATTTTTTATTTAATTTATTATAAAAATAAATTAAAATTCATAGTATTGTATTCAATTTATTGTTTTTAAAAATTTTAAAAAAATTAAAGATGGAAAATACTAATTTTATAAAAATAATTAAATAGAAAGGCAGTGAAATGTTATTTAAACAGTTTAACATTTAATTAATAAATTTTTTATTATTTCTTCATAAAATAAATTAAAATTCAAAATAATCTGCTAAATTTATATTTTTTTTTGAAGACTTTAAAAATTTAAAAAAAAATAAAATTGGAGCTGGATTTTTGTTCCAATTTAAAGGGGTGGAAGTAAGTTCTTTTTGAGGTTGAGGTAGCATTTCAGTTTTCAATGATCCACGCCTTTGGCTGTTAATTAAATCGCAAAATCCTCCATATGAGGGAACTTGAGGGGTTGAATAGCGCGGATACTTTTGAGTAATTGAGCTTTTTTCATATCATGGCTGTTCTGACTCAGACAGATCAATTTTTGAAATTTGCTTGTCACTCATAGATTTAATATTTAATATGTAAAAAAAACAATTTATTAAAATATATTAAGTTCTGGAAGATCTGTAACCTTCTCATTAACGCAAAGATTTTATCAGCCTAATAAAATTACACCTATGTTTCAAGCATTATTATTTGCTCTTCTGAAAAACCTCAAAATTCAATTAAAAAGATCTATAATTGGAAATAAAGCATAATAAATCAGTATCTAAGTTCAGAAAAAAGAGATTTTGAAGTTGATGATATTTAAAAATAACTAGCATGTAAAGCGAGATAAATTTTTGATTTAATTAAATGATTTAAAAGAAGGGGGTCAATCTGAAGTCTTATATTTTATAAAATCAAAATGCAGGTCTCAGACTTATCAGTGGGTTATAAAGAAGATAGACTAAACATTACTATTGACCAAAAAGCTAAACTAAATGAATTTGTACTAAGAGTGACTATTAGTGATGCAACCGGGAAAATCAACATTATTTTTGAAGGCCAAGAACTTGTGAACATCTTTGACAAAGTCCGTCCGGGAACTAAGCTTCGCTTAAACTATTTCATCGTAAGTGGGGATTTTCATAACCTTAGCAAATATTTCCCATCAGTGGTACCAATGCAAAATACATTAACGTACGGCACTAACTCCAAATTTTTCATTCACATAATTATCCCGACAATGCCAGAGTTAACATTCACTCATAACAACACTTCGATATCAATATTTCCTGATACCGTACTTGAGTCAATAAATCTATCGAAGCTCTATTTGCCACAACAACAGAACTCAGCACTCCCCCAGAAACTTTTGGGCCCAAATATGGAAAAATTTTCTTCTCTAAAATTTATTAGAGATAACATTCATGAAAATTCAAAGCTTTCTGCATCTTGCTATGCTTTAGTTGTTGGATATAGCCTTAGCGCCTTTATCGCTTGGGCTTCCCGATCTTTCCCAATGGGAAAGAGGGGAGCTGGTTTAGCCAAATAATGCTGGTCTGGCAAATTCATCAAGCAAAGCCTACTTGCTCATCGGTTTTGCCATTTATGGGATGGTTGACCAAATCAGCATTAGTTGGTGAAACCAACTCCCCTCTTTTCGGTTGGGGAAAAGTTCGGGAGCCTCAAGCCATAAAGGTGATCAGACTATAGTACTAGCTCATATCAATACTCAGAATCCACTGAGTATTTGTCAACCCTTAAAGTAACAGATCCATCTATTTTTCCAAACGTTGCAAGTATTTCGATTTTCCATGAAGATCCAAAGATATTACCAAAAATAATAGGTTTTGGGGACATTATTAGGATGGAGCAGTTTATATTTAAAACTCATAGGGACAGTTTAAATGGAAAATTAACTTTTTCAGACAAAAATTCAAAATTCTATCTATTCTCGTTGATAGATGACAATCAAATCCCATATTCAAGCTTTAGAGGAAATTTCGAACAAGCACCTGAGATTTTAAACTCTTTGCAAGCAATTAGAAGTTGAGGAAAAATAACACTTACAAATAGAGTTCCAATGCTACCAAATAGCACAAAATTCTTAAGGGAATTAAAGCCCAAAGATCAAAGTGATATTTTATTGAGAATTTTTGGCGTGTTTAGCATGGGTATAAATGAAGATGACCCAAAAGCCATAGTTGGCTATGATCAAGATTCGATCTGCCAAATTATCGTCCCTAGAGAAAAAGAAAAGCTTTTAAAGCTGATTCAGTCAAGAGATATTATTCGAGTTAAAGATCTAATATATGAAAACGGAAGATTCTCCTTAGGTAAATCATCTGATATTTTAAAAATTTACGAATTTATGAATCTTTGGTATATACCTGTAGAAACCTCCAAAGAGAAAGAACTTCAGAATTTAGCTGAAATTTATCTACCACAAAGATCAATGACAATAAAGACTGAAATTTCTGCTTCTGTAAAATCATCTTTATTATTAAAAGATTACCCAAGTTTATCAGCAATGCCTCTAAACGAAACTTGCAAAATAGAGGGGTTTGGAGTTAGAATTGTGCCTGAAGAAATGAATAGATTTTTCTGCTTGAACTGTGAGGTATCAAAACCTTATGAAATATGCCAATGCGGATGTATTACTTTAATCACTTCAGATATATTTATTTACTTATGAGATGGATTGAATGACGAAGGCATAGTTAAAACAGTGTTGACTAAAGAAAATTATCAACATTTTGTGCAAAATTTAACTTGGCACCAATTTAAATCAGCTGTTATAGGTTTCGACGGGTTTTTAGAGCTTGGCATTAAAGTTACAAATGTTGGTTATGAAATTATGGAAACATCTTTAAATTTCAGTAAATAATTATTGGTTTTAAATTTTAATCATTGCTATTCTTTAATAAGCCTTCCTTATCTTTTATTTCATCATTGTCTTTAGATAAATCTTTAGAGTCTTCAAAGCATTTTAGGTAAGGCTTATCTTCATAATCAGGCTGCTCTAATATATTTCTCAAGATTCATATAAGGATTGGGACTAGAATGGTTGAAAATACTATTATCAGCCAAACTTTATAACACTCGCCAGCATTGTCTTCGTCAGGACAATATTCATCTAATAAAATTCCTGAGGCGATGCCAGTTATAATCATAGCAAAATAGAAAGGAAAATTGCATAAAGCTAAATAGACTCCTTCTTCTTTATTAGGAGCAATACTCATGGTATAATCAAGCAATCTTGGGACTCATAATGCTTCTCCACAAGATATCAGAATTACAAAAATTGCATAAATGCCATAATTAGAGCCTCCAAGAATTAGTAGAGGTGCCAAAGTCCCCACTATTCCTCCTATACATATTAAAGTATAGCTTGAATAGATATACGTAAAATATGTGAAAAAAATAACTCCAATAAGCATGGTTGTTTGATGGACAGCTAAAAGATAGCCAAAATGAGCATCATCTCCAAGAGTGCGTGTTACATATTTAGGAAATGTTGCATCAAGATGCCCAAAACATCCACTTCTCAATAGAATAAGTAGACAAATTAAAGCAAAAAATCTCCAAAAACGCTTTTTAGAAACGATTTTTTTACTTAGCTCACCAATATTTTCATCACACAAATATCCATCCTCAATAACTTCATTTTGCCTAAGAACAAGAGCAAGAATCAATGCAAAAAATGCAAAACCAGCTCCTGTATAAAAAAATATTTTATATAAGGTATGTTTATCATCTTCATAATAATGTCATACAATATCTATATAAAAACCAGTTAAAACTCCAGCAAGATAATTGCTCATCAAGCATAGAGAATTGGCAAAATTTCGATGGTCTTGTCTTGTATAAATTTTTATCCCAAACTCAACAACTGGCCAAGCCAGAGCTCCTGATATAGTTTGAAACGTAAGCACACTGACAAGATTGACGGATAAATTATAAGTTACTGCTAGAAGTAAAAAGCCTATCAAGCCAAATATGCATGATATGGACAGGCCAAATTTAAGTCCAAATCTATTTGCTAAAGGATTAAGAATAATAGCACCTAATCCCAAGCTGATCCCATAAAAGCCAAAAATTGTGCCAGATAGAAGGTCTGAAAATTCTTGAATATCTGTAAAAAATAATGGGATTAAAGTTGTTATAAGATAATACTGAAAACTAAGAGACAAATTTATCAAATAGAGAATATGTAACTCTCTCGGGGACTTTAGGATTTCAGATATACTGTATTTAAACTCTTCTAAAGGGCTGAGCTTATTAGGATAGCTATTCGTTTTTTCATCTTGGCTTGCCATTATTTGTATCAATTAGGCCTATAAAATGCATAAAGCTATTTCGTATTTCCTTTTAATATATAAAATTTTTAAAAATTATATAAACTAGTGAATAAGCTAAAATATAAAGTTAATTTCTGAAAGGAGCAGCATAACTTATGTTTTATTCTTTTAATCTCAATTTCTTGTTAAATCGTGCCTTATTAATGAATTTAGCAATGGCTTAAGATATTATATAATACTTATTGTCATTTAATGAATAATAAATTTTTCTTAAGTTATATATTTTATGTAAGATTTTAATTTTAAATCTATTTTTACTCCTACTTAGTTAATGAATGAGCAAAGCCATTAAAAATCCTTGTTGATAATTGTAAATAAAAAATTGAACATTTTATTCATAATTATTTGACACTTTTATAAATTTAAAGAGGTCTTGATGTATTAAAATTAAAGCTATAAGACAAAGGCTTTATATAAAATAAGGAATTTAATTAGATATCTCGAATTCTTTAAGATAAATAAATTATTAGCTTATATTCTTTCTTCTTAAAAAAATTATATAAAAAATATCAGTTAAATTATGTGCAATAATTCTGAACTGGCATTTATATGTTGTATTAAATTGGCTAATTCTCTATGTATTTGATAATGGCAGCAATAAGCTCTATAAGCATAAAAATCGTCAAGTTTAATTAATTAAGCCTAATTTTTTGTAATAAACATTGACTAACAGATAGCATAATTTTAATATTATATATTTTAATAGGAATTTGATGTAAACTAATGTCCAATAAATTATAAAAATTAATCATGTCCCATCATCATCATCATCATCATCACCATCACAACCATTTAGACGGTGCTTTCGATAACGTAGGAAGTGAAGCTAAGTATGTTTCAATGGATTCTGACAGAGATAGAGAGGGATTTGTAAGAAAAGTTTATGGAATTCTCAGTGCACAACTTATCTTCACAAGCATCGTTGTCACCATCGTTATGCAAATAGATGATTTTCAGACATGGTTTGTCGACAACATGTGGTTTTTGTTCACGCTGATTGGAATTGAATTCGTTTGCTTATGCTTTCTCTTATGTTCCAAAAAGCTAGCTAGAAAAGTTCCAACAAATTACATCATTCTCTCCATTTTCACTTTGTGTGAAAGCCTTATAGTTGGAGCTATAGCTTCATTTTATGATCCAGTGTCAGTTTTTATTGCTGCTCTGATGACCTTAGGTGCAACACTTGGGCTAACAGCATATGCAATGTATGCTAAACAAAACTTTAATGCACTTTTAGGAATATTATTTAGTTTTGTATTCAGCATACTCATTTTTGGAATTCTCATAGCTATTTTCTTCGATACGCATGCACTTGATACCCTTATTTGTCTTGGATGGGTCGTTATATATTCAATATATATAGTGATTGATACCCAACTGATTTTAGGAAACGGTAAATACGGATTATCAAATGAAGACTATATTCCTGGAGCTCTTTTCTTATACATCGACATTATTAGGCTCTTTATTTATATTCTTGCTCTATTCGGCAATAAGAAGTAGTAACTCAATAAATAAAAATAAAGAGTTTTAATAAATTTTTAATTGAAAAAATTAATTTCTTCTTGTTTCAGTTTTCAGCCAATCTTCTTATTTTAAAAGGCTTTTCTTATGAGATTCAAGAAATTTATTTCCAATATGCCATTATAATAAATGGCCATCAAGACAATTAGTCTCCTTGCTCTCCTAAGCATTGCTTTCCTTGCATCAGCTGACGAAGGATCAGGTGTTCTTGTACTTACCGACGCCACTGTTGATAAAGCTATTGCAGATAATCAAAATATCCTTGTAGAGTTTTATGCACCATGGTGTGGACACTGCAAGAGACTCGCTCCTGAATACGACAGAGCAGCCACCTTATTGAAAGAAAGAGGTTCAAAAGTTGCCATTGCCAAGGTCGACGCTACCGTTGAACAACAAGCCGCCTCATCCAGACAAATCAGAGGATACCCAACACTTATTTTCTATCAAAACGGAAGGGAACTCGAAAAATACGAAGGAGCAAGAACTGCTGAAGCCATTGCTGACTATCTTCAAGCCAAGGCTGGAGAAAAAAGAGTAGAGCTTTAAGTAAACAATTAGAATTCATTAGACTTCTGCTAATTAATAAACTCCGCCTGAATTGAGGCGCTATCTTGAATGCAAATCAAATAAATAGATAATTTAAAATTTTAATCTATTCTCTATGCTATTAAGCAATGCTGTTGCTAAAAATTCAAGCTCTATTTTACTGATGACTTCGCCCTTAAAATGAAAAATTGAAGATCTAAAAATGGAAAGGCAAGATTCAAAAGTTAATTATAAAAATATATGGAGGAGTTAAAAAGTTCAAATCAATCAAATGGTAATCAATATTCCACATATGATCATAACAGTCCATTAGATAGTCAAATAATCGAGGAAGAACCACTAGGCGATGAAGAAAATGATTGGGCGCCAAACGCAAAAGATAAAAGCAAGCCTCTGCTACTAAGATGCTTATGCATCACTGCATTTTTATTTGCATTAGGATGTGTATTTTCAATGGTCTTCATCAAATATTGAACAGTATCAAATACTTTGAATGCAAAGCCAATCCCAGAGACAATGAGTCCAATTATAAAATACCAAGAAGAGCAATCATTAGATGATTATATCAATTATGCAGCGCTTAAAAATGGTGCAAAAATAATTGAGGAATATTCGTCTTTAGGCTTTTATACAGCACTAGGCCCTTCTCAATATAACAAAAGAGAAATGGCACTTTCAGATGACAATTCGCCTGGAGTTTGTTGGGGAATAAAAGGCAGCAAAGGCTACCTGGGCATTCAGTTACAATATGATATACTCCCTTTACATTTTTCAATCAGGCACATTAATGTAAATCGTATTTAGATTGTTGACTATTTGAATGCGCCGAAAGAATTTAGTGTATATTCCATTGAGAAGAGCCATTGCTATCTGTTAATAAATGGCTAAGCTCATAATAAGTGTGTAAGCCCATTAGCCTTATCGCGTCTCGGCTCCTAGAATACCAGTCTCGCTCTTGAAGTTCGAATGAGAAAAATGGAAGCAAAACTCTCTGTTCGGCAAAGTATCCCAAGTCTGAAAGTCTACTTAAATATGTAGAGGCCTTGCTTTTAGCTTCATAGGACCGGCTCTACCTATTTCCACAGGGATACTTCTCGAGACCAATTTCTGTCAACGTCATTAGTTTATTTCTGCTATCTATTAGGAAGCTATACTTTTGATCTTTCTATTCATGGAGAAAAAAGAAGACCTTGGGATATTTTTCCATGTCAATATAGGTGTGATAGTCTAATTAATGCGCTGGTTTTGCATGTAAAAAGTAACAATGGTGGAAATAATACATGTGTTTATCAGTTTGGAGTTCATGGCATTGAAAACAAAGCCGCATAACTAATTCTATGAATATTTTGGTGTAGGCGATTTTATCACGCTATTAAGCATTTAATTACTTCAGTTTTATTTAAGTTTATTATCTATATTATTCATTTTTCAATATGCATAAAATGGCGATGACATCTGATATCCTCTCGCGTGACGGTTGCCCATGCATATCCGGGCATGGTTTTTGAAGCCAGGAGTTGGCCCAGCTACATCTAGTATCCTGCAATGAACGACTTAAGCACATATTCGCTCACTTGCAACCTGATCCGATGAGCTTAAACTTAAACTTATTACTGGTCGTGGCTTCTGCCTATTAGTAATGCAGTCGCCAAGGATCCCTTAGGGGATTCCTCCTTTGCGACATCGACAGGGAGAACTTCTTCTATTTAGATGACTCAGTGAGTTACGACTCTTATACCCCCTTTCCTCTTCTTCGCCATCTGACGTCATGACACCTGTGAAATAGGGCTCTGTGTCTCCTTTTCCTCCTTGCCTTCTAAGTTCCAGTGTTAAGTGAAAAATCTATGACTTCTGCAGGATGCTGCGTGGATTAATCGAAGGCTAACCGCAAAAAAAATCCTAAAAAATGGAATTTCTAGTGGACTATCGGCAAAAAGGGATAATTAAAAGCGTGGAGCGTAACTCCAAATTTCATGCTAGGAAGTTGCCTGAATAGCCTAGGCATTGCCTCTAGATACTACTGCGCTTTCCATTTCCAACTCTCAACCCAGCTTTTCCCTCAAGGTAAAAGCGGACTAGTGCTAGGCTCTGTGCATACCAGAATTTTTTACTTAGCATTGCTGTATATTTTCTGGGTTTTCAAACCCTTTCCGGATATAATTAAATATGTGCTCAAAGGAATTCGTGAAGGTGAATTACCTGCTCAAATTTCTATAGTGGTCTGCCTGAATTGCGGAAGTGGTTGAGTATTGCCGCGCAGAATGGCACCTGTACGAAGTGGGGAGCTTAAGTACTAGTAATCTAATATTCATTTTTCACTGTGCTGTCATCTTCTACGACCAATTCTATAGTAAAATACTCGATTAATTTACTCAAGCAGTCTCTGGATTTCATAATAATAGATTGGGGATTTGCATTTCTTTCAACCGAAATCAGGACGGACCCTGCAAGTGTTGAGCTCGTAACCATCCAGAATTTTTCAGATTTAATTGATACAACGCCTTCAAGTATTGATATTTCCCTCAATTTTTTTTCGATTTCTGTCCTCATATTGCCAGAAGGAGCGCTCAAAAGCAAGATTTTCCCGTTCCTGGCAACATATGGCCTCAGCAAGCACATGCAAACTACAATCCACAAAATATTCAGAATCGGGACAAAGGTATAAAGAGGGATGCCTATATCATCATATAAAATATACGAATCTACAAGGATAAGTGATTCAGTAATAATAAATCCCAAGCATTTAATAGCAATTATTCCTAAATTATCTGAAAATGTTGAGCACTTTTCGTCTTTCCGAATGCTTTTTATTAAGCCAAAGTAAATCAGAATTTCAATTAAAATTTTGAAAATCAGCAATTCTTTACCAAAAAGCATGTGATTTTCTGCATGGCCTCCGTATAAATGATGCACAGCTTCTAATAAGGCAAAAAGGTTGGTGAATAATGTAAAGATTGCATTGCCAAATGCTGTGACAATTTGTGTTCTTCCATATCCGAATGCATATTTTTTATCGGGATTTGGATTATTTATATCAAACGATAGCCCGACTAGAGCAACATATACACAGAGCGTATCAAATCCACTTCGAAAGCCTTCAGATATTAGAAAGCTTTCGGCTAGAATAATTCCACTTGCAATTTCAAAAAAGCATGATGTGATCAGTAGGAGGATAAAGCATATCAAAAATTTGCCCTCAGCAATTGATCAGCCCTTTATGGCATATCCAAAAGTTCAAGTAAGTGAAAGACTCTGGCCATGAGCGTGATTGTGATGATGGTGATGGTCGGTGTGCTCAGTCATTTTATCGTATATTTATTTAGTTTTACGTAAAATATTATCTAAATTTATATTATATCAATTTTATTTATCAATTTCTTCTAAGACTTTGAAAAGCTGATCATCATAATACTTATCATCAATAGAAATAACATCTATATCTTCCTGCTTTTTTCCTTTATTTTTAGGATTGCCGACTGTTTCATATATGTAACTATTTTGCCTAGAAGCAAAAATATTCTCTTTATCGGATCCTATTGGCAATTTTTGATTCTTATTTGAGAGTCCCAAAGACTGGAAAAATTCTGAAGGCTTGAAAATATTTCTGTTGGCTTGGCTATTATATGAGTTTGATGATTTGATGAAGTCTACACAATTAGATTTTAGATCTTTCACCCCTTTGGAAAGATTGAACAAATCATTTTGAAGGTTTTTGACTTCTCGCAGGGCAGTGGACTGTTTAATGCCCGCAGTTTGCTTATTATGGCTTTGATAAGGACTAATTTTTACTTGAATTATTTTATCGTAAGAAGTTTGAGTTGAAGTACTCTGACAAGATAAAGATGAAAAAGAGGTTTCTGTTGATGGCGTTGTGCATCTTATAGTATCTGATTTCTCATATAAACTTGAAGCATTAAACAATCTTCTTTCAGACTCAAAACTTGTATTACAAGAGGTATTAGCCCTTGGAGGTAAAGTTGGTGTTTTTGATCGAATTTGCTCTTCCGATTCATGGTTTCTAACCTTAAATGGATTTTGATTGAATGTATAATCTGACATGGAACTAATATTTCTTGAGTGCCTTATAGGGCTTAATGAGCACCTTTTCATTTGAATAAACTGCTTAATTTGGCCTAAGGATTCGTCAAATCCATTCTTCAGTTGTTTCATCTCAGTAGTTATTCTTTTGTTATCATTCATTGCTTCTTGAAGCTCAAATTCAACTTTTTTCTGCTCTTTAGTAAGTTTAGCTTCTATTGCTTTCATACTTTTCTTCTCATCTGACAGTTTTTTTGCAAGCTCACCGATTTTAAATTTATCTTCTGAGCACAAGTCTTTAAGTTTAACGGAATCTCTATTTAAATTTTGAATGCTATTTCTGGCTTTGATTTTTTCATTTTCATTTAGTTTGACTTGAGAGTTCCCATAAGCTCCCCAATTCATCTTGTGAAGTGGAATTCCATTCATTTTCAACTCTATTAAAATTTTTATCGATTTTAAATTGCCATGACTTATAAAATAAATGAACGCTGAGCTAAGAGATTAGACTAGATCAATGGGCTTAAAGTTTTCCAGATTTTATGCCTTTGCACGCTTTCAACCACTATAACCTGCTTGACGGAGGAATCCAGTCGCCTGAACCTGCCTCAGCAGCGTTCACACTCCTGGGATCTGGAGCTCGCACCGATATCCATGATTCTCGGCGGGTAGAAATACTCCTTTACTTCACGTCATTTAGATACTATGGAGGCAAAGGTCAGCCCGAAGCCTCCTGCCAGTCACCTTGAGGGAGGGTGACACCCAGGAAAAAAGAACTACGGCCCTCCAGAACTATCAGGAAAAAACCTGCGGTCAACCATCAAGATAACTAGTGCCAGGACTTGAATCGCCAAAAGCTGATCCCAAGACTTACCCACCCCATGCGGCTGCTCAAAGGCAAGCCAAGCTTATGATTGAAAGGTCTGAGCCTTGGCTTAAGCTATAAAGCGACTTTGACGCCAAAAGTGGTGCTTCATCGCCAAGGACATCTTTCGTCGTTACTACATACTAAATGAGCTAAGAGAGGATTTCGCAAGCAGTGTAAGAAAGCAAATGACGAGGAATTGTTCATACAGATGCTTCACAAGTAAGAATGAAAATTGCTTGGAAGAGTGCTACGATGCAAATATTACAGCTTTCAATGTTACTGCTAAGATCTTAAGAGAGATTGGCTATTCAAGACATTCAAGACTTATAGAGTTGGCATATGGCCAATTTATTGATGAATTCGATAGAATAGCCACTTTCAATGATTCTGCACCAGAGATAACAGGCGAAAGAAGACACTTTTTCGAACGAAATATTTATGATGAATCTAAAACAAGATAAAAAGCACATAATTAACAAAATCTTATAATTTAATTAAAAACATATAACTATGAAATGCCATATAAAAGTTTTAATAATTCAGAATAATATTAAATACTGAGTTGATAGAATGGTGCAAAAACTCAGCATTTCTCTGAAATTAACTTTGCGAATAAATATTGCAAGAACCAAAATTTCAAAGTTAAAAATCTTTAGCAGGACTAGTCGAATCATCTTTAAGAATATCATACATCATTGAATCCTCAACTGGTGTCTTTTTCTTTCTGCAAATAAGCTGCTTTATCTCTTTTTCCTAATAAAGTCAAATGGTGAAACTTATCTGGACATTTCTAGCCAATAAACTAGGTTTCAGCATAGGCCGCAGGGGATCAGTCTTTTTCCTGCAGCCGCTGATGAAAGGCACTTCAGCACCCGAAAGACTCCAAGAACCGATCCTTAAAATTAAACAACTCCAATCGCCCGCTGCAGGGCCGCAGAAATCCATAGAGCTCCCACTCAAGCCTAAAGCCGCAAGGCAAGGAGGAGACAGAAGGTTCAGAAGTGGAACCCTTTTCGGGAAATAGACCCTCTGGGCTGGAGCCGAAAGCGGTAGAACCTTCCATATGGTAGGCCTTTGGAGACTGCGTCACTAGCATGGCTAACGCCTGATTTTTAAAAAGCCTAACCTAACCTTATCTTTTTCCTAACTGCACCAGTAAATCCATATACCAAAGAATTCAAAAATCCATGTGAACATAGACTTACCCCGCCAAGAATGATAATAACTAGTGTTGGCTCTTTATATAGTTGACCAGTCCAGTATTGTATCGACAAAAATACTCGATAGATAGAAATAGGAGTCTGGCATAGTAAAAGTACCAGAGGATATAGTTTTAACTTCCTCACCAATTTTTTTCTCAAAAGAGTTTCTTTATTGCTAGTTGTAGCGTCACTACTTATCTGCTTTATTACTTTGGCATGCACATAAGTAATGTAAGCGAGAACAAGTCATAAAGGAATGTAAAATAACGCGTATTCTAGAATTATTTCGTAGTAGTCATCTCCTTTAATTCAGCATCAGCCTCCTGAAAATCCATAATGATCCCCAATTCAAGGAACGATTGCAGGAATAATTGGAATCCCAAAGCCATACAGCAGATATTTTTTGTGATAAACTTCTATATTTTTATGAGCTATTACTGCAGAATAAAGAGCGTGAGCAATCACTGAAGTAAAAAGTGTTTCAGAAAATGTGAAGTAAGAGCTCAAAGCAGATTGAATTTTGCATGCTGTATCAGTGCTGCCATTATTTGGAAATATTAGAACTAAATAGCAAATACCCAAGGCTGCACACATATCAGTAAACGCAAGATATGAAACCAGCCGAAAAGCGAATACTCTTAAGTCTTTAAGAAGAATAAAAGCAGAGCAAACAAAAAGTGAACCAATTATACTTACTCCCCCCACCCTCCGTGAGTGAACAAAACCATTGGAAAAATCCCCTTTTTTTGCCCAAAAATCCACCCTCCGTAAGTGAACAAAAACTTTTTTAATAGAAAAATTTTTTATGAAAAAAAATTGCTATATAAGTGATAATTACTATAATGAAATCTCAAGCTAATTCTGTTTAATTTTTAACAAATTGCGTTTTAAAATAAATTTTATAAATTATATTAATAAATTTTTGCAAATTAGATTTTTTTAAAATTTTGAAAAAAAATTTTTTATAAAATTTTTATATAAAAAAAAAAAATTAACCCAAAATTATTTTGTTCACTCACGGAGGGGTGGAGTTAGCGAGCATGTAATTGCCATGGCAAGGTAAACTGTTTCACGGTCTTCTTGGTCTAATGCCATCGCTAATTTCTATTAACAATTTTTCTCCTATAAATCTAATTTCTGGTAATTGAATAGTATAAAGATAGCTAGCCACTCAGCAAGCCTCATGAACTCTAAGGTGAAATTCTATCTTTAAAACTCTGGAGACATGTGGGGAATTATTAAACCCATCTCATAGCAGAAAATTATAGTTTGCTGGACTTTGATTTTTAGAACATTAATGTTTTAATATTTTCATAACTTATAACTTTATGGACTGGAATTGCAAGATATTTGAATAAAAAATTTGATTTCTAAAATTATTAAATATTTAGAAATGAAATTTATATCCTATAAAATATGAGATCATGATCTAAATAATTGTGTTGATACAGCAATATTTTAATTGAATTATTTAAATGCTCACATTGCATTATTATATTTTTTAATATCATAAAACAAAACCATCAGTAATTTGACTAAATTCTCGTTTCTTAAAATGCTGCTGATGCTACTATTAGATTCTGTGCTGTCAAGAATTTCCTAAATTATCAAATTAATACTCGAAAGAATGCAAGTTATGAGCAATGCTAGGAGCTAAAACTAAAATTTTGACGCTCAATTAGCTATATTTAAATTCTTTTAAAACTAAATAACCCTCAAAGATTCGATTACGTGGAATCTTAGAAAAAAGAATTTAAAAATGTTGGATTTTCATATTAATATGATATCAGATACCTTTCAAAAATCCCACATTGCAAATCAAGTAAGTTGAATAAATATTGGTCCTGATGGGGATATAAGAAATTCTTATCAATTCCAGAAATTCTTCCTGGGTGGGCCGAACTTATCATTATAATAATTAAATGGCGATATTGATATTTTTGATTCTATCCTCTGCTCTTTGTTTGGAAAATACAGAACTATCAATACACAGTCTATCGCCAAATATTATATTTGATGAAAAAAGTGATAAAAGAGCTCAACTGTACTATATTGAAAACAACATTACATTTGCAAACCCAAACATAATAGCTCCAGTCATTTCCTATTCATCTAATTCACACTCTCCTCGAGTTCTTGATATCTCGAGCGAAGGACAATTGTCTTTTTTAAACTCGCGCAAGCCTCTCAGTAATCTTCCGAAAACTGTTCAAGAAATCGTTTCCAGGTCTCCTCTTGAAATTCCACAACTGCCAAACACGATATTGATGGGCTCTAAAAACACCAAGCTCTACCACATCGATAGTGACTTCACATTGACTCCTCTTCCCAGCATAGGCGTTGACACCAAAAATCTTTTGCACTTAATTAGCGGCGTTGAGTACTCAATTACAGGAATCAGCTCGTTTTCAGGGGAAAAGCTTTGGGTTCTCAATTATACCTATTATACAGTTATGAAGACGAAAGATACTCTGAAAATGCCTGATGGTTTTGAGGACGATGAATTCAGCAATGCGAATAACTGGAGAGAAGAGATGATGAAGGACCCTTATTTCCTTGAAATGTTTGACGATTCGAGCTACTTCAGAGACAGCATGCATTATTATGACGAAGTGATGTCCATTTTTGAGCTACAAGATTCGAATTTGTTTGCTTCCTTTACAGAATGGTGTATTCAGAATTTCTACATTTCGTTTGCAATATTTGTAGCGGTTTGTGCAGGGTTTTGTTTAGGGAAAATTCAAAACTATAGAGGAAATGTTGCGTATGAAAGACCTCCAATACTGAACATTGAAAGCTTAAGTCCAAGGTTGAAAAGTGGAAACAGTGAGCTAGAAACTGCTGATACAGATAGAAACAATCAAGACAAAGCTGAAACTCTACCTCTTGCCTCGCAATCGCCATCTCTATCAAATTCTCATGATACAACAGATAAGCTTGTGGAGTTCCAGCTTGACGAAAGTATGGATTTTGGGAAGGGATGCGAGATTATGCCTTATACTTCTTGCTCAAATGTAGACTTGTGCAATAAAAACCTTGAAAAAGAACTTTTCCAAGAAAAATTCCATATTCCAGTTCTCGAGCAATATGAAGAAAGTACGACAGTTAATGCTGAAATCATTTTGGAAAAAAGCGAAAATTCATACAGAAAAATCGAAAAGCACACTTTGACCAAAACTTATAGAGTTGAGAACAGTCAAGAAACAGACAAAATGCTGACCACTAAGCCACCTTTCCATATGAGAATTGACGCTGAAAAAGTCAATGATAACACTACTGCAACTGTTTCTGTTTACCCTGAAGGCGAATTCAGAGAGCTCATGGAAATTCTGGACAATGGAAATTATGCAAGAAGATTCCAATATGAAAGAATCCTCGGGACTGGAGGGTTTAGCTCTGTCCACCTTGCCAGACATAAGCTAGATGCTCAGCTCTATGCCATTAAAATCGTCAAAATGAAGATTGAAGAAAACAAAAGCATCAAGAACCACAAGCTATTCACCGAAGTGAACGCGCTGAAGAAACTTCAAAGCAAGTATGTGGTAAGGTACATAACCTGCTGGGCAGAACTAGAAATCAATGACCCCACCTTGTCAATTAAAAGTGAAGAAAGCTCGTTCTCTTACATTGAAAGCTTGGAATCGTCAGACCTTTCGATATCCTATGAAAATAAGAAATATGTAAACGTGTTGCTGCATATGCAAATGGAATATTGTGATGGAATGACACTGAGAAACTGGCTTGAAGACGACGAAAGAACAATTGACAGGAAGCAAACTTATCGATTTTTCACTCAAATCTTAAAAGGAGTAAAGCATGTCCATGAAAAAGGAATTCTGCATAGAGACTTGAAGCCTGAAAACATTTTTATTGATGGAAATGAGCTGAAAATTGGGGATTTTAATTTAGCAAGGGTTTTAGAGCCAGAAATTTATAATGAAAACAACGGAAATGATCAAAAGCTTCAAAGACTTTCGGTGAACATTGGGTCCCCATACTACCTCGCACCAGAACAAGAGACAACTTCTAATTATAACCATAAAGCAGATATTTTCCCTCTTGGTCTCATCTTATTAGAAATGAATACCAAGCTTTCCACAAGGCATGAGCAAATCAAGATTTTTAAGAGAATTCGAGAGCACCATCAACTTCCACAGGATTTTGTTGATGCTTTTCCCATTGAAAGCCAAATCATTCTGCAGATGACATCTCCTCACCCTGAAGAGAGGCCAAATGCAGAAGAACTGCTAAACAGCGAATTAATGGCAAGATGGAAAGATGAGGTTTCGGCATAAATCAATAATTTTAAAGTAAAAATACACATATAGATTTGCCTTATAATAAAATCTTTTTCCTTTGTTTTACAGTCACCTCTTGTTTTTCTAATAAAGGAAAAGAAAATGGAATCAACTTCAAGCAAATCAGGTATTGCAGCATTTTTTGCAAGCTGAAGCAACATAGTCTTTTTTCCTTTAGAAAAAGTGAAATACCATATGACAGTGTCGTCTCCATATTCGAAAAATTATATTCCATATTATAAAAATTCAGTTGAAGCTTTTAAGTCATTGAGCTCCCAAGGTATTAACTCACCCTCCATTAATATGGAACAAAAAATCCTGTTTCAATTAAAGTGGGTCAATTTTCTCTAAAAAATAATTATATTAAATTTCTCTATTTTATAAATGTTTAAAAAATATAAATTGAACGCAATATTTTGAATTTTAAAATTTTTTTTATAAAGAATTAATCCAAAAAAAAATTGAATGTGATGCTGTTTAAATAATATTCTGCTTGCACTTTGTCAATTAACTTATTTTGTAACATTAATATTTTCTTAAAGGAAATTAAGTACCCAAAAAATCGATAAATACTCAAATTTAAGGGGAGAGGGAGTAAGCAGTTGTACAGAGGGTGGCATTTTCAAATAATTTCAAGCATTTCTTGGTCAGTTTATTTTTATATTTATGAATCTATGAAAAGATTGAGTAGGAAATATAATATCGTCAAGCATACAGAATTTGAAAAGTTCTCCATAGCAGCACTGTCATCGTTTATAAGCAACTTTGTGCTGAATCCAATTACTGTGGTTAAAACACGTGCTTTGCTAATAAGAAATAGCGAGCATTGAGTTTCAGACACTATTGACTCAACTGTAAAGACTTGGAAACTTGAAGGGATAAAAGGATTTTGAAGAGGATACTGAATTGGGAATTTATTGGGACTAAATGGAGCTTTTACAGTCTACTTCTATGAATTGTTCAAAAATATTTTAAACGCTGACAATGACTACAGGAAAATTTCTTTAGCAGGAGGGCTCAGCAAGCTTGCTGCTTCAAGCATGATCTTCCCAGTTAATTTAATAAAAATTCGTATCCAGCAAGAACAACACATTGACAACATTTTATTGAAAGCGAAGAACATAGATAAAGCCAGTCCTAATTCCAACATTCTTTACTATGGACTAAGAGACTGCATTTCTGATGTTTGGAATACCGGCGGCTTCAGAGGGTTTTATCGTGGCCTAGGAATCACTTTAGTCCGAGTAATCCCTGCCCAGGCACTTTTTTTTACAGTTTATGAGTTTATCCTCCACACTTTAGCCTAGTTTCCTACTAAATACAATAATTTAGTATTCTGAGAGCATGCAGCTAATTGTATTCATAAACTAAATGATGAGCTACATATTTAATCTTTGATTAAACTACTTTACTTGCCATGGGATGCATTGGAAGTAACGCCAAAGTAAAGAACCCAAGAGCAATTGACGAAACTGCACAAGTGCCAGTTGAAAGTTTTAATGAAGACCGAAATCCTTTAGTGCAGCAAAATGCAGAGAGATCAGACCATATTCAAATTCTTAACAGAGGTGAAAGTCTGGCTTCAAATCCAGCACCTCAGCCTGTATTTCCTATTTAGGAGAAAGACGCAAACTTATCATCTCAGCCAAGCTTAAAAGGATTGATCATTAGCCGAGGCTCCTCAAAAGACCCATCTAAATTTGCTGATTTGGACTAATTTTGTGAGTGAAACATTATCTTATTGCATAAATAAAATTAACTGAAATTTGCCTTGAAAGCCCTTAAAAATTAAGTTTACAATAGTTTTCAAAGACTGAGACCAATTTGGAAAAAATTGCGTGAGAAACTCCGTCATTGCTGTTGATTGGCCTTCCTTGGTCAGCTGCAACTCCGATGCCAACTTCAATAGGAATTGATGCTAGAAGAGGAACTTCCATGTCTTCACACATTTTTCTTGCTCCTCCAGTTGATCCTGGGAATATTGGAGTAGAGCACTGGCAATTTGGACAATGATAAGCAGACATATTTTCAGCAACACCGATTATCTTAATGCCTGTTTTCTTGCAAAAGCCAATTTCTTTTCTGACATCAAGCAAACTCAATTCATGAGGTGTAGTCACAATTAGCCCAAGCGTCCTTGGAATTCCACTTACTACAAAACCATTGGAAAAATCCATAACATAAATATTTTTAATAAAAAATTTTTATGAAAAAACAATTCGATATATAAGTATAATTATTATATTGAAATCTCTGGATAATTCTTTTGAGCTTTAATCGGCTTGTATTTTAAAAACATAAATTTTACAAATTAGATTAATTTTTACTTCTCAATTTTTGCGAATTGGGCTTTAAATTCAAAAAAAAAAAATTACGCTAAAATTATATATAATTTTTTAAAAGTAGAATATTTATAATGTTTTTGGGAACTTATGAATGGGGGAATTAGAAAAGTCACAATGCTAAGATGTTCATCTGAGGTTCCGGGTGGGCAATCAATCACTAAATAATCTAAATCTCCCCAATCCACATCAGTCAAAAATTGCTTTATAAGACCATTTTTTCTAGGGCCTCTCTTGGTGCATGCATTTTGGCGTGTGATATTTTCTCAAGATAATTTGGTCGAAATTTATAGGACAAATATCTTACTATCAAACAATTTTGACCAAATTTCCCACGAACAAATGCCACGATATCAAAATATTTGGTCAAATGACATATAGCCGGCCTCTCCATATAATTGGATCATTTGAAGAAGGGATCAAGAATCCGATTGACATCACTCCTAAATTAGGAAAATCTGCATGGAATACAGGAGACCATCCAGATGCTGAAGAATGCACCTCTTCACCTTGCATGTGCATTAAATGAGGCTGGCTTGGTCCACAGATATCGATATCTAAAAGTCCAATCTGCCTTTCAGGATTTAAAGATAGAGCAAATGCTAATTGTGCTGCAACAGTGCTTTTGCCGACTCCTCCTTTGCCAGACAATACCAAAATTACACATTTCACATTTCTGAGGCGATCAGCGACAACTTGAATGTTAGGATCCGGGGCAGGAGTTTGGCCACTTTGACATGATGATTGATTAGGACATCCTTGGCAGGCGCTTGCTTGACCTGCGTGCTCTGTTCCAACACCTGGGCAGTCTTCTGGAATATCCGACATTGATTTTATCAATAAATTAGCAAGTTGTTGATAGCAAGATGGATAAGTTAAATTGAGGCTGATCTCTGCTGAATATCTGCTCAGCTTATCTATTTATTATTAGTACCATCAAATTAAAACCTAGCTGAATGATTTAGTACCAAGCATTCATTACTACATTGTTCTAAATTAAATTCTACGAATCGGAATTTATCCAAATTATTATTTCATCCGCCTGAAATCGAAGAGTTTAAGCAATTTGAATCCTAATTTATTTAGCTTTAGGATTAAAATTAAGTCCAAAAAGACTTTCTTTTTAACAGAGCTAAGTAAGAAATATTGAATATTTAGTATTTATGGTTTTCCTCCATAATCATAAGTCCTGACAACTAGTGGCTTAGGCTTTCTAACATAAGGAGGGATTTTCGGAAGCTCTGCAGGTTTCCACGAATCAATCCATGTTGGCTTGACATATTTTACCATTGCGCCGATTTCCCTCTTCTTCTCAAGTTTCAATACTTCATAAGGAGGTGGCATAGCTGATTCTCTCATAGGCAAGTCAAATTTGTAAGGCTTCACATGATACTCTAACTGCTTTTTGGTACGATAAGTGATCATGACGCTTCCCCCTTTTTCATTTACTGCTTTAATAGCTGCAGGTGTAGCGTCAGTCAAGTCGAAGTGAAGAGGTCTGTCAATTAGGTTGAATCCTCTTGCAGTCAATTTTACTCCATCCTTGATTCTTGAGAAAACTCCAGCCTCAAATAAGTCTTTCATCGTAATTGTTTTGGTTGTATCGATTCTTCCCTTGCTGATGAAGTAATACAAGTGGGAAAAACTTAGAGGCTTAAGGGTGTCTTTGAAAAATGAACGATTGAAACCCCATTTAGGCAGTCTTCTTGTTAAGCCTTTCTGTCCTCCTTCGAATTGTCTTTTGACGCCACCTCCTGCTCTATGTTTGTCTCCTTTATTTCCTCTTCCACAAGTTCCACCGTGCTTGGAGCCTTCACCTCTACCGACTCTTATAAATTGCTTTCGAGCTCCTGGATTGTCTGCAAGTGTGTTTGCGGAAATAATGCTTTGAACTGCAGGAGCTACTCCAAAAAATCTTTTAAGACATAAAGAAAGCATTTATTTTAGATATAATATAGCATGAATAAATAGTAAAAACTTAAACTTAGCTTAATAACGCAATTCTTCAAATTATTTTGCAATTAGACTTCAAGCCTTATATATCTTTAATCTTGAAATAATAGTTTTTTATTTAATTAGAACTTAATGATGAATGCCAAAAATTAATTTTTAAACTTATGCTCCGAATAGCATTTACTTTGTCGTTTATGGTTCTAAACTTTTTGCTTAATTATTTTAACAATGCTCAATTTCCACCTGTTTATAAGGATGAAAGATTAGTGACTGCAATTCGGTCAATAAATTGAGGAATTCCAATATCACTTATTTTTAATTATTTTAAAATGCAATAAATTCAAAATCTATTATTGGCTTATCATTATAAATGGGTTTACCTGACATCGTATACAGCTTCGTCTTTATTGTGGCAGCTGATTTAAGAAACCAAACTAAACGCAAACTTCATCAGACAGCAGACTCATCTCCAAAGTCACCTATTTTTGGTGGATACATAGCAGCTACAGGATTGATAACTGTGATCACTACAGTCATTGCAAATTTTATTTTATTTGAGAATAGATCCACAGCTCTTTCATGGATAATGGACCTAATTTTCATTGCTCTAGGACTTATATCATTTGCTCAGTTCTTTTTTAATAAGCAAAGCGCCTCAAGTGACGAAAAATCAAAAGCGCTAATTAATCCTGGTAAAGGTTCTGGGGTATTTTTCAAAACTTTTGCGTATACAAGTTTATTTGAATGGATCAATAAGCCATCATTGGTGTTGCTTCCAATGGGATATTACTGGTCATTTGTTTTCGTTCTAATTGGTTCGTTTTTGGGCTACCTTTTTAATGGGTATTTAGCTATTAACCATGGAGTGTTTGGAATTTCAAAGTACGCTACAGTAATATTTGGAGGATTATGCATTCTAGTTGGAGTCTTAAATATTTTATTCTAACTGTCTCTCTGTGAGCAACCAATCCTTTGGAATAATCATACTTTTATGAATGAAAATCTCAGTAAGCAAATAAATTTTTAATATATATAATAATGACTATTAAAATAAATATCTAGCCATTTTTTTATTTTTGCATTTGAAATATATATTTTCTAAATCATTATAAATCTTTACTTTTCAATTTTTAATTTTATAAAAAACTCCCTCGCATGCAGCTAAAAAATTTTTGCTCACTAATGTAAGAGGGGAATAAGAATTTAATATTATAAAGTTATGTAGTAGATATTCAATTTTTGTATCCTTTTTGGTTAAAAAGACTCTATCTTCATGCAAAATTGTTTTTAAATTAATTATGAATAAAAGATCTAGATGCATAAAATAAATATTCAATAAAAAATTATTTATTTTTATACAATTTCAGTTTAATATATTAAAATGAGAGATAAAAAGAAAAAAGAAGAAGAAGACGAAGATGAAGATGAAGATGAAACTGCAGAAACAGTTGAGAAAACTGGAAAGAAATTCAATAATTATTTTTGCTACATTGTTCATTTTGGCTTTGTAATACTTATTTAGATTGTTTCAATTGCAATAGTTTTAGGTATTGATGATTCAACATGTGACAATCCAATTCGGTAAATCCTAATATAGAGAATGGCTTATTGTCTGAGCTGCTGTGGCTGGATTTTCTCTTATTTTACTTTCTTTAACTTTTGTCAAAAAAATTAAAAAGGGCAAAAGGGCGTGCGTGATCTTCCTTTATTCACTAACTCCCTTTAAATTGGAAAAAAATTATCGTTATTTGCTGATTTTTAAAACATTGCGACCTATATGTGTAATTTTTTCCCACGTGTTGAAAGATGATTCACATGTGAAGCCCTTTTGATTTCACGTGTGGAATCATCTTTCAACACGTGGAAAAAATTACACATGTAGGTCGCAATGTTTAAAAATCAGCAAATAGCGATATTATCTATTGGTATTTTTTCGGATGAGCTCAATACGTCGGGAGACCAAATCCCAGATGCGGAGCCACTCAAGTGTAGAAATTCCATATGTGGGATTTGGTTTGACACGTGGGAAAATACCCGATGTATCAAACCCATCCCAAAATTATGCCAAGGCACAATAATTTTTGAGTATATTAACCCATTTTAAATTTCTACAAAATTTTAATTTTATCTTTTTTTTTTATAAATAAATTATCATATAATTAAATAAATTAACTGCAGATAGCTTTGATCCAACTTAAGATAGGGATAAGCTTTCCATTTTTCATTTCCTGGATAGTTGTTGGGAGTGTTTGGCTATATACCAGTGATAACTGTTATGATGATTTTTATAATGGATGGGCTCTAACTCTATCAATATTAGTTGTCAGTTACACAGGAATAGGCTTGGTTTGCTGCGCTTGCGGTATATTGGCTGTACTATAGTAAGCTTAATGCTATAGCTCTACATAAGAAATAGAGAGACATAGCAGCCGAGAGAGCCGAACTTAAGTAGACTACCAAATTCTTATTTACCAAATGCGTTTGATGCTCCATTTTGGGGGCTAAGAGTTGATTCGCCAACTTAAGCTAACAATTCAGCTCTTTAGGTTGCTTTGTCTCTTTGCTTCTTATGCAAAGTTATAGCAGCAAGCTTACTATAGCTAGAAAAGTGTTTAAAAAAGTTATTGGTTTTGAAAAGTTTGAAGATGTGTTAGAATTTTTGGAGAATAATAAAGAAATAATGGAAATTATAAGAAGTTATGAAAAGGAGAAATCAAAAAAAGAAGGGTCTGGAAAGGAAAGCAAATTTGACAAAGTTGAATCTTTACTGATGAAAGGCAAAGGGATAAAAGATATGCTAGAAGCGTTGGAAATAGATAAATTACTAACTGAAAAAGGTGCAGAAAAAATAGTGGAAAATGAAATATTGAAGTCAATCATTGAGAAGGGAAAAGAAATGAAAGCCCTATTGGAGCAATATAAATTTGAGGCATTAATGGTAAAGGAAGTTGTGAAAAACGCGGTTGGAAAAGAAAATATAGAAAAAATTGAAGAAAAAGGAAAAGGAATTAAAGCTGCAATCAATAACATAGAGGCATTTATTCCAGAAAATATAAAAGAAGCCTTTAATAGTAAAATACTGCCTGGATTTTCTGAGGAATAATCCAATGAAATAAAAAATAAGATATAAATTTATATTTCTTATTAAAATTATATAATAAAAACAGCATAAATTTCAATTACAGCAATATATTATGTCTACAATAATATTTTAAAACGCATATATATAATAAGATTTGAGTATACATTAATAAATTACCTGAAACTCTCTTCGGGTCTGCCTCCTTTCATTTGCTGAATTATTTTTTTTAGTTCGGATATTTTTCTTTGGTAGTTCTGTATGGATGAATTCATATGTTCATTTAAATTTTTCAGCTGCTCTTCCGCCATTGTTGCTCTGATGCTTAGTTCACTTCTTTCCCTTTCTAGTTTTCTAAGCACCTCTTCAAGATAACTGACTTTCTGTTGCAATTGTCTTGGATTTTGATTTCCTGCTGGAATATTGCTAATTCCTTGTTCATATTCATTAAGCTTTTTTCTCAATCTTTCAATTTCTCCTTGCAAAGCTTGCTCATTTCCTCCGCCACTCATACTCACTCCTACTCCTCCTCCGCCCCTGACTCTTAAATCCCTGATTTCCTGGTTTAACTTTCTATTTTCTTCCCTTACTCCCCCCCCCCCCCCCCTCCGTGAGCGAACAAAAAAATTTTGTTCGCTCACGGAGGGGGGTTAATTTTTTTTTTTTAAAAAAATTTATATATAAATTTTTATAAAAAATATATTTTTTTTCGAAATTTAAAAAAAATCCTAATTTGCAAAAATTGGGAAGCAAATATTAATTTAATTTGCAAAATTTATGTTTTAAAACGCAATTTGTTTAAAATTAAACAGAATTAGCTCTAGATTTCATTATACTAATTATCACTTATATATCAAAATTTTTTTCCATTAAAATTTTTTCTATTAAAAAAATTTTTGTTCACTCACGGAGGGTGGGTTTTTGGTCAAAAAATGGCGATTTTTCTAATGGTTTTGTTCGCTCACGGAGGGGGGGGGGGGAGTTAGCTGATTTCTTTCCTTTCTCAAAACGTCAACATCATAATTTCCACTTCCAGGCCTCGACTGGCTTACAGGCGCGCCTCTTAAATATTCTATTTCTGATAACAGTTTTTGTTGCAAAGCTGGATTATTTGTGCCTTGTATAACTTTCGTGTAGCTTTCTGTATTAGCAACAAGCTGTGACTGCAGGGCTTTGACTTCTTGCTCTAAATGGGAGTTCCGAAGTCTTAGCCTTTCAAGCTCTTGCTGTTGACTTTTTTGGGCTAAATTTTTATCTTCATCTTCCAGCAGAATCGCAGGTGGCATTACCAATATATCAGGGAGCTGCTTCCCAATGGGTGCCCAATCTTCAGCAAGATTTTTTAAACTTCTGGCATATGCTCTAATCCCCCTGACTACTTTAACGTTTTGAGCATTCTTTGCGAGCTCCTTATTCAATTTTTCTGTAAGTTCCACCTCTCTTTCATTATAAGACCTTATCAATTCTTCTCTTGAAGCTCTCATCATATCATCTCCTGGATTTAATCCTTCATTCATTGCTCGGACCAGCTTCGTCCTGAAGTTTCCTCTCATTTCTTCTAATTGAAGCTGCAGCCTATGACACTCTTCAGTCATTTCGCTATCATGCTTCAAATACTCGTTTAAATGGTCTTCTAGTTCCGCAACTTTTCTCTGAGACGCTTTAAGCTGCTGACTTAATGAAGTGATATCAGACTCTTTCATTTCAGTTTCTTGGCCAAGCTTTTTAACTCTGCGCTCTGCGTCCTGCACTTTATTTTGTGCATCTTGATCTCTCTTCCGAGTGATTTCTAGGTATCCTCTTTCCAGCTCAACTTTTCTATTATCGAAGTCTACATGCTGACGCTGAGCATTTAGATCGTATTTTACAAGCTCTCCTCGAAGCTGCTCCACTTCTGATCTGGCGTTTAATAATGCTTCTTCTAATTGGCGGTTGTCTTTTTTTAGCCTATCATTTTCGAGTATCAGCCTCTCTTGATCCATAGAGAGATTTGATTTTAGCTTGGCAAGGTAATCAGTATCCCCGGATAGAGCTTTATTTGCATTTACAAGATTGATGACTTCTATGCTGAGGTTTTCATTTTTGAGCTTTTCTTCGTTAAGCTCAGTTGAGAGATTATAAAAATTGCTTTTCAGTGCGACGAACTCGATTTCTATTTCGCGCTTGTCCTCAAGTGCTTTTTTCAGTTTGTCTTGCATTTCGCTAACGGTTAGCAGTGCTTTTTCTTCCTTCGTATTAGCAGCCAGGATTTCGTTTTCTGCATGTAGCAGCTTGGAATTGACATCAAAATCAGCGTTGGCTTGCTTTTCAAGGAGTTCAGAGTTCTCAATTTGCAACTCAATCAAAGCTTTGCCTATTTGCAGTCTTTCTTCTTCTGATTTTATTAATTGTTCTTGCAATTGCCCTTTTTCCTTAACAAGTTTATTATAGGAATCTTTGAGCTCCCTGATATTTTCAGCCAGCCTTTGCTTTTCATCTGCATATCTCAGTTTATCTAAATTTCCCCCGATCAGTTGTTTTTCTAAATCTGCTATTTGAGTATTAAAAGAATCTACTCCTCCAGGTCCTAAAAGGCTCAGCTGATTAATCAAATACAAAATCTCTTACTTACTTACTTAGAAATTAGAAGGCGTATGCCATTTTGATTACGCAGTCACCACGGATCCCAATGTGGGATTCACCTGCTTTGCGCCGTCTTCGGTTCTACCTTGTTCGAATTGGGGCAATGGTTCGCTGGCCCAAGAATCAGCTCGAACACTGCCTTTCTCCTTCTTCAGCTCCTGATGGGCCTGGTATTCTGAAGTGAGATTTCACCTGGACGTCTACTCCTCTCCTTGCGGCTTGAGTGTTGAGTGGGCGGGCTATGGACTTCTGCGGCTAGCTGCTTGAGTGAACGAAATTGGGGGCACACAAAAATCCCAAAAAATGGAATTTCTGGTGACCTCTCGGCAAAAAGGAAAAATTCAAGTCCTGGGGCGTAACTCCCAGTTTCACGCTAGGCACTTGCCCGATTGGTCTAGGTATTCCCTGTAGACTCAGCTGAGCTTGCCCTTTCCAAACCTGAACCCCTCCTTTCCTTCGAGGTAAAACCTAATCCTGAATTTGGACTGAGGGCTAGGCTCTGTACAGTGCCAGAATTGCTTACCTAGCATTGCTGTCCATTTCCGGGTTAGTAAAACCTTGCCGGATATAATTAAAATATGTGCTCGGAAGCTGCATGGCCGGAAGGCCATGCTAGGTGGAGATGCCATATTTTAATTATATCCAAATACAAAATCTCAACTCTATATATCCTTAGCAGTCCTAGCTGTCTGTTATCATTAACCACAGGAAAGTTCATGATAGATCTGACCATCCTCATATAGTTCAGTGACAGCGAAGAACCAATCATATCCCCATTTTGTAAACAAAAAATTCCCATCGATAAGCAATTCCCTCCTAAAATGTCTCCCATTAGCACAGAAACTTGAGAAGCATCATATCTAACATAGTCATTGGTTCCTTGGCTCAAGTTTCTGATCAGTTCTGCCAATGATAATAGCCCCTTGTTTAAGTTTATCCCTTCTCTTAGTCTCAGTGACTCAGGATCATCATGCAATTTTTCCATCCCAGGCAAATCAATAAACGAAATTCTGCTTGCTAGAACACTTGATTCTCCTGTTGATGGGTTTTGTGCAACCTGCAGCACCTCCAACGTTAAAATCCCAGTTGACTTTTCGTGGAGATTTCCAAACTCATTTGCAGCTTGAGTTCTATTTCTCCTCGCTAAAGCAAACATATCAACAAGATGATTTGAGCTGGCACATGGCAGCCAGCTTGCATTTGAAACTGATGGTCCTTCTCATTCATCTCTTATTGCTTGTACATTTCCCAAAGACCGGGTGTTAGCTTGAATCAGCAGATCCGTTATCTTTTCATCCACAATTTCAATATACCTCATTTTCACAGAGTAGGAAAAGCCTTGGATTTGATTTACAGATCGGTTTTGGTTTAAAGTGTATTTTTTATCGTCTAAGGCTTGATAAAGGGCTTGAGAGAAGTAGTTGATTAAGCCTGGATCAGATGCATCTCCTTCAATGCTATAAGTTTTTCCACTCCCACTGGTTCCAAACGCAAGAAAAGCAACATTGACACCTTCTAGAGCTGCTTTGAGATATGGAGAACTGACTTCATATAGTCTTGAAGACGGTGCACCTCCATCCAAAATGTCTGCACATTCGTATTCTTCTCTGATTCTGTTGTTAACATCTAAAAGCCCTATTCGATCACCATGGATTTTGAGGTCTTCTCGAAAATACCCTGCATTTGGTTTAATTTTAATGACAGTTTGAATTGGAACGCCTAATGATAACTGCTGAAGATCATGTCTTGAAGTATAAAAATTTGGGTTAAGCTAAAAAACCTAAATTTTAGCGCTCTTTAACTGTAAAAATAATTATGTAAAAATGTTATATTTACCCTAAATTTGCCATTTGAAATTTTATAATTGGCAGATTACCATTTAATGCTTAATTTGTAAACTCTTTACACTTTTAAATTAACCAGAATTACAATTTTATGTCTTTGGAGTAAATTGCTTCTGAAAGAATCAGGCTATAAAAATCTTTGATTTCTTGCAATTTTGAATTTATGCTAATCAGCGAGCTAAGATCTGGAGGATTCAGCTCATTCGGAACGTCCATATCCCAGTTTTTAAGCCTTTCCAGCTTTTCACCATTAGTTTTGCTGTCAAAGTCTCTCAAAAATCCTTCTGCTTTGCTAATTTCACCATTCAGTCTATCTGAAGCATCTTTAAGCTCCCCAGAAGGCGCGATTGAGAATATCTTTTTTGAAGACTCAGAAAGCGCTTCTATATAATTCATGGCCGCCTCATTGATTTTGTCAATAATGCTTTTCCTAGCCTGCTTTACTTCTGCAATATGCGTTTCAATTGTTTCCCTAATCGTTTTTTCTTCCTGTTTTGCTTTAACTGTGCATTTTTCGAATTCTTGGACTCTGTCTTTCAGAGTGGAGACATAAGACTCAGCAGATTTTTTCCACTTTGTCAGCAGCTCATCAATTTTTAGTTTCTCATCTTTGTCAGAACTTCCTAAATTATAAATTATATGCCCGTGATGCTCACTTTCGCACAAAGAGCACAGTAATTTTTTGTCTTTAGAGCAGAGCTTTGTCAAAGGGAGTATATGGTCTTCACAATAAAGCGGCTCGTCTGATGAGTCAACAAATGTTTTTAGCTGTCCATTCTCTTCTAAACTCATGGGATCAATATCAAACTCTGTCATATCAATTATACAGGTTATTGTCCCGTTTACTGCATAGTCTTTTTTAAGACATTTCAAACAAAAAGTATGCTCGCATGGCAACTCGATAGGCTTTTCTTCTAATGTGTTATATGGGAGCCCACAAACGGCACATTCGAGGTCTTCTTGGTACATGCTATAGTTGTGTAGGTTTTTCTTCGAAAAAACCTTCGTGAAATGCTGAAAGGATTTGCTGAGATTAGAAATGGAAGACTCAGTCATTTGTACACAGCTTGAGAGCTCATCTCTGAGTTTTCGAGACTCGACTTGAGTTTCTTCATAAATATCTAGGACCCTACTAAATGGAGATGACGCTCCATCGTTAGATTGGCTTGAGTAAGAAGAAAAAGTTTGGCTCCTCACATGTGATGAGGGTTTTTTGTTTTGATTCGGTATACTGTCGATGCTGTGATTACACCCCATTTATTACAACTCTAACTGAATAAATAACAATATGAAAGATTTGGTTCTGATAAATGTCTATATTGAGAGCATATTGATGGTACCAGTTAATTTTTTTACTTTTCGACTTTACATCAAAACAGCCCTATGAACTATCAGAAAAGAGGTCTAGCTAAGAAGTCTATTGTGTTTTAATCTTTTTTCTTAATATTGTCTCCACCTATTTGTTGATGCAATATAATGAAATAAAATAACGCACAGAGAAATAAATGAACTCAGTTAGTTTTGGCTACATCCCAAGGCAGCAAAAATCTTCATCAAAGCTGAAGCCAAGATCCAAAATAAATTCTTTATCCCCTGCGCCGATCTCAGTAACCCCAAAACGAAAATTATCACCTCTTAGCAGAGAACAAGAAATTAGGGTAGATCTCCTGTTGAAGCATAATTTTCAACTCCTCAAAGTTCTGCGTGAGGAATCGCGAAAACTGAGAAATAAAACATACATACCGACTCCTTATGACCGCATGATGGAGCGGTGCATTCAAAACATGAGAAACTCCCGGACCGGGAACATGGATTTAAAATATTATCCTCAACCGAATCCAAGACCATTTGTTAAAAAAGGGCATCATTACGCAATCGTAAGATATAATTAGACAGCTGCTTTAGCTTCCAAAAAGTGACTAGAAAAGCGACACATGAGCAACTCCAGTTCTACTCCTAAGTCACAAGCAGAGACCCCTCTAAAACGGAGGGATCTGAGCCCAAAAGCTTAATTCCGTGTAATTATAAATCGAATTGTATAAGTTATTTCCAAGCTTGGCTTATTTAAGTCAATAAAAACTCTAAATACTGAACAGGCAAAAGGCTTGGCGATAATTTATTCAATTCTGGATAACATCTTTTTATATTTAAAGAAAATTGCCAATAATCTAATTTCATTATTTTTAAATTAAAGAATACGCATGCAAATGTATAATGCAAAAAAGCCTCCTTCCTTCTCTCTAAACGGAAGACACTACAAGCCAGAAAGTAACTGGAACGCCGTTTCATCGAAGTTCCGCGGCTGCCCAAGCAGACACCACATGGCGATTTCTCGACACCCTTCTCAGCATACATTTATAGTAAGCACATACCTTGGCTTTGTTGTATGTGAGGATTATAACAACACTCAAATTCTATCAGAACTTTCGACTGAAAAAATGCATGTTACATCTGTCGATTTCAGCACAACTGAGCAGCCAGAAGCGCTTATTACGTTTACGCTTGGTCATATCTTATTAATTGACCCAATAAAAAGAAGGCGAGGAAAGGTCACATGGCTTAACACACAAAGAAACATTTATTCACCAAGACCTCCTATTGTGTGCAGATGATACAACGAAAAAGAGTTCATAGTTCTCTTTGATGATAATACCATGTGAAAGTTTTCAAAAGAGTTCGAAATAGAAAGCGAAAGATCGACTCGGTATTTGACTGAGAGGCTAAAAGAAGCGAGAAATTCGCTCGTCGACTTTATTTCGTTCGATTACCCAAGAAATGATGGAAGTCCAACTTCACTGTGAAAATTTTATTGTGGGAGGATCAGAGATCTGAGGTTTGCGAATAAAGTAGGGCCAAACCAATCTCTTTTCGCCTTGATTACTGATGAAGGTCAGCTGAAAATTTTTGATTTTGAAAGAGCTGTGTCGCTTGTGTCGTTTTATTCGTATTTTGCAGGATTTTTATGCATGTCTTGGAGTTCGGATAATTCAGTTATCGTCACAGGTGGGGAAGATGACAGCATTTCAGTGTGAAGTTTGGAGCTACGAAAACTGATTCACAGAGGCGAAGGACACAGCAGCTGAGTTTCTGCAGTAGCCATTGCGACAGAAATTGACAATAGCTACACAGTATGATCTGCAGGACAAGATGGTAAGCTCCTGGTGTGAAATTTTATGAAGGAAGAACGAAGTGAAATAGCAAATGGGTATGAGATGAAGGACCATGTAAGCTATCCAATGAGGAATGAGTTTCCTATTATGCAGCCAGTTTTAGATTTAGAAATCAGCTCAGATCCATTACAGGCTCTTGATGTTTATGAAGGTAGTGTTTTTGTATGTGACAGTATGGGAAATATCAATAGGTGGGTTGAACAAGAAAATTAAGTTTTAATTTATTATTAATAGATAATCAATTTAAATCTATTTATTATAGAATAGGAGGATTTTTTTTAAATTTAAAGTTCAATATGTCAGCAGTTGGAAAAGGAAAAGGCAGTAGAGAAAAAATTAATTTTATTAAGACTTCAAAATCTAAAAAGGCAGGGCTTCAGTTCCCAGTTGGCCTCATTGCGAGACTAATAAGGCAGGGAAAGTATGCTGAAAGAATTGGGGTAGAAACTCCTGTGTATTTCGCTGCAGTTCTTCAGCATTTAACTGCAGAGGTCTAAGAATATGCATTCAAATGCAGTAATAGATGATGGGAAAAATAGAATTACCCTTAGAAATATTCAGTTAATAGTTAGGAATGATGAAGAATTTGATAAACTATGTTTGGTGTGATTATAGTTAGAGGAGGTGTAATGTCAACCGTATCAATAAAAGCACATAATGCTTCATATTAATCCATACCATAATTCTGCTATTTGATTTTTATTCTTTTCTAATTAATTGACTGTCTATCAAGATAATCATTTATCTTTACTTATTTGGCTCTATATTCCATTGTAGAGCCTCATCCCTGGCTATTCTACTTAATTGATATTCTGGTCCAAGTGCTTCTAATCTTCTCATCATTTCTTTATTACTAACAGTTTGCGAGTAAATCCCTCCCAAGTATATCCCCATCAACGACATAACAACTTTCCACTTAGTTTTCAACATATCAGAATAAATCACTGCTTATATTTTACAAGCGATACTTGAAGATGCTGCACATCCAAGACATGCATAAAGTTTTAATCTTTGGTGAGCTTTCTAATTATATAATACAGATCTAAGAAGCACCAGGGTTTCTGTTTCTTCAGGAGTTTCAGCCTCAACTTCTTGTACGAGCTTTTTCAAGCCTGAAAATGATGCATGCCGTGCAAGGTTTTGACTGATTTCTTGTCCTTCTTGACGGAGCGCCTTCTTAAACTCTTCCTCTCGACCTTCAGAGATTTGCTGGATATTTTCTAAAAAGTCTGTGTATTTATCTTGCTCTTCTTTGAGGTTTTTGCTCATTTTTATTAAATCCCTCAGTGAGTGAGTGGTAAAACATTTTTTGGGAAGTAATTGATTTTATATTTCGAAATAAAAAAAGATTCATCAATATTTAAAAGTAAAAATCTAATTTAATTATAAAACTAATGCTTTAGAACGCAGGCTGCTAAAAAATAATAAGATTGAGCAGAGATTCCATTATAATACTCATTATTTATATATTAAAGTGTTTTATACAAAAAAAATTTGCAGGTGTAGGTAGATGTTTTAAAACATAGGATTTTTTTTGCTTAACGAAGTGTAAATTAAGTAAAATAGGAGATTTTAAATAAGTAAAAGTGGAAAAAATGGTCCCAGTGAGGATCGAACTCACGACCTCTGCGTTATTAGCACAGCGCTCTAACCAGCTGAGCTATGGGACCTACAAGAGCACATCTGAAAAGGGGCTTTTATAATTATACTCTCAGCTTGCCGAGTTGGAAATTTGATAAATTAAAAAAATAAATTAATTATGAAGAAAATATCATTTAGCAAGTCACTAATAAATTCATTTATGTAAATAATTAAGTATATTTATTTTCTCTAAGCTTGATAATATACTAAAGGATTGGAGTTTACTACTCCCCAATTTGTTAGCAAGCGAGCTTTTTGTTCTTTAAAGAGAGGAGGTTAATTGTATTTAAACTTTATATAAAAATACGATATAAGTGAATTTGATAGGTAGAATGTAAATTATAAAATTAATTTTTTAAGATGCAAAATGTCTAAAATTCATTAAAAACTAGCTTTTGTTTGGAGGATTTAATTTATCTAAAATAATGATTTTATAATGGGTTTGCATTCCACAAAGAGTAGTATCAAGAAAGTATGCATAATTTATATATTTATCGCAAATAAACATATATTTTATTTGCATTTTTAATTGCATCCACAATAATGCTTGATAAACTCTCCATAAAAGTGAGGAAGATTAAAAATTTATTTGATTTGTTGAATTTTCTATTTATCATTTGCCCAAAATTAAGAGACTCAATCTGTAAAACATCAGATTTTGAACCTCAAGTGTATAAGCTTCCTATACATCCTCCTGCTCTTTTTTCTTAAAAATTCAAAATGGACAAGTACAGGAAAGTAAAAATAGTTGGCAAAGGAAGCTTTGGCCACGCTGTCCTTGTGCAGAGTACAGTCGACAGAAAACTCTACATCATGAAGATAATAGACGTTTCAAGAATGGAACGTAAGCAAAAAGAAGAAGCACTCAATGAAGTCCATGTGTTGAAAGCAATGCGTCACCCATATATTGTCACATACCGTGAAAGTTTTATGGACAAGCGATGTCTCTGCATCGTCATGGATTACGCTGATGGTGGAGATATGTACAATAAAATAGCTAAACAGAAACAATTAGGCAAAGGTTTCCCGGAAAATCTAATTCTTGATTGGTTTGCAAAAAGAAATAAAATGGTGACGTTGGTGGGCATTGAAACTCCAATCGCTCCTATAGAGAAGGTGGGACCTATTTTGGTAAAGTTGGAAGCAGGACTTCTGCCCCTTTTTAAAGTAGGCTTCCTAGTTTGGGAAATCTTGCCGAAGTGGTAAGTATTATTTTTCCTCAAAGGTTTTCCAGTCCCTACCAGAAGAGTTAGACAGATTTTTTCTATCATATGATTTCCCTCATCGGGGCCATCAATGCAGACTCCTGAATGTGGCTCTGCAATAGGAGCTGATCCCTTGGGTAGGTAATTCAGGTCGAAAATCCAAAATGGCAGTCTTTCGTATTCCTCTATCGAACTCTGAGATTCATGAAGATTGGCTTTTTGTTACTGAGAGATGAAGGCTAGCTTGCTATCACACTTATGGCCAGCATAATTTATAACTTAGCTTAGCTTTTGGTTTGTGCAAATCTGTCTTGCGATTAAGCACATCCATGACAGAAAAATCCTGCATAGGGATCTCAAGACCCAAAATGTATTTTTGACTTCGAAAGGAGAAATAAAAATCGGTGATTTTGGGATTTCAAGGGTTCTCCAGCACACTTATGACTGTGCTCAAACAGCAATTGGGACCCCTTATTATTTGTCTCCAGAAATATGTCAGGAAAAGCCTTATAACCAAAAATCTGATATATGGAGTCTGGGGTGTATTCTTTATGAAATTGTAACTTTAAGGCATGCATTTGATGCGAGCTCTATGAAAGGGCTTGTCGTTAAGATTTTGCGAGGGACTTATCCATCAATTCCTTCGTGCTATTCTCAAAACCTTAGAGATCTTATCGAAGAAATGCTTCAGAAAGATCCTCACAAGCGCCCATCAATAAAGCGAATATTGGAAAAAGAATTTTTAAGTTCAAGGATTTCTCAGCTTTTATCGCAGACGGTTGCCAAGCATGAGTTTGGGAAAACCTTTTTGGCAAAAAACCTCCCACCAGTAGAAGGAAGAAAGTCCGAAGAGCTAAAAGAAGAGCTCAGCGCTCCCCCATCGAGAGAAGGGTCTAAAGAAAATGGAGAAGAAAGCAGGCCTCATAGCTCTTATGAAGACAATAAGAGAGAAAGGAGACCAAGACCAAGAGCGCCTAAGGTTGATGCATTTGAAGAAGACAGCAAAGAAGTGTCTAAAGATGAGTCTGGGTATGAAGATGTTGTTAAGTCGCTAAGGCAAGTCTTAGAGCCTGCTCGCCAAGATGATCCTGAAGACTGAGAAGAGCCAGAATCACAAAGGGTAAGAGCCCATTTCTTAACGCCCGAAGGCAATCCATTGCCTGGCATAAGCGAAGGTGATTCTGCGTTTGCTCGAATTGAAGCCTTGAGATGCTATTTAGAAAACCAACTGGGAATTGAAAAGTTCTTTCAAGCTTATGGGTACTTATCTGTAAATGTTATATAGAATCCTCCCCCTGAAGACGAAGAAAACCAGCAGCTGCATGAGATTTTGGGGCCAACCAACATCAAGTTCATCCCCCTTATTTATCAAATGATTGTTTGTGAAGATTCTTATTATACTGCTCCTAATGCTCATTAATTTAGTATAGCAAATAACTAGCTCTATTTTCGAAAAAAAATTATGTTTGAAGCCCGCCGAGTTTTAATCGATTCTTCAAGAATCTCTTGAGGCAGCTGAGGCGAGCTGAAAGTCTGAACTAGGATTTCAATAACTCTGTCAATCACTTTTTGAGCTCTTGTTGAGTTATGCCCACCTCCAAGCTCTAATAAATACTTCTCTCCTCTGTAGAGTTCATATAGCATCCTGCCATGACTGATTGACACCAACTTATCATCAATCCCATGCATAAAAATCGCTGGCATTTCACATTGCGAAATGAATTTGGCAGGATTCACCTCAGAAATGTCAAAATTGGCTTTCTTCCTAATGTGATTTTTGATTTTATCCCAAAAAAATCCAAGTAATTTTTTTGGAATGAAATTGTATTTACCAAGATAATCATCAACTACTTGCTTAAGTGAGAGAAATGGAGAATCTAAAATAAGAACTGCCAAGGTTGGATCACAGGATCCATATAAAATACTGGAAGTCGCGCCCATAGATCTTCCCCATAATCCAATTGCTGATGCAAGCCCGCTTTCTTTTATATAGTCCATTACTATATACATAAAATGGCGGACGGCGACCGACCCACCCTCTCAGTGGTGACTACCCATGTATATCCGGGCATGGTTTTTTTGGAGCCAGGAGTTAGCCCAACAACGTCTGGGACCTCGAAGCGAGAGGCCTAAGCGCAAAAGCCGCTGTTTTTGTGACCAGACCCATGGGTAGTTACTCGTGACTTCTTTTTGCCAGCAGCGCTCAGCCCAGTGAGTGCCCGAAATGAGGCAGGGCGACTTACCTGTCTAACTCCCCCCCCCTCCGTGAGCGAACAAAAAATTTTTGTTCGCTCACGGAGGGGGGTTAATTTTTATTTTTTAAAAAAAATTATATATAAATTTTTAATTGTAAAATAATATTTTTTTATAAGTTGAAAATTATTTTAAAAATATTATGGGGGGAGAGTAAGGGAATTTCCCAAAAAAAAAAGAATACCATTTGATTAAAGGTAAAACACAGCTTAATTTTTCAATAATTTAATAATCAATAAACCTATTAGTAATAAATATATGCATTCAGTTAAAATATTTTATATATTTTCTTATTTAATATAATAAGCAAATTCTCTATAAATCATAATAAAAATGTACAAAGGGAAAAGAAAGTACATTGAAATTTGGCAGAAAGTTGAAATTGCTGAATTTTACATTCAACACCAAATGAGATGAGCATGAGAGATGTTGCTGCAAAGTTTCATGTCAACTCCTTTAGCTCGATTTCCGAATGGGTGAATAAGCTTGATGAGTTGAAGAAATCAGTAAAATCTGATAAAAAATTAAAATTAGAAAGCTTCACTCAATTTCCAGAGCTAGAGAAAGAACTAGTTCATTGGTTTACTGCAATCCGTGAGCAAGGTATTCAGGTTCTCAGATCAACGATTGAGGAGAAAGCAAAAAGTTTGGCGGCAGAATTGGGATTGGCGCGATTCGGCTGTGGAGATAAATGGTGGCAAGGATTTAGGACCAGAAATAGTTTATCTTTCAGAAAAATCAATGCCTCAAGCATTAAGCCAATCGAAAAAGAGGCAGAACTTGTCAGGCAATACCTAGATGATTTAGCGTCATTGCTTCCTCAATTCGTTCCATCTAACATTTACAATTTCGATGAAACGAGATTTGATTGAGATGTAAAAAGCAAGTTCACTTATGATTTCAAGGGAACTCAACGAATTCTAGGCGTTCAATCAGCTAAAATGAACCATTTTATCACTGTTATGCTTATGATTAGAGCTGATGGAGAAAAAATGCCTGCTTTGCTCATTTTTCAAGAGAAAAATGGCCAGATCCCGAACCTTGTAAGAGAAAGACTGAATATTCCAGAAAATGTCATCATAAAATCAAATAAATCTGGCTACATTTCTGACCAGATTCTTAATGACTACCTCAGAACAATATTGAGACGAGAAAACCAACTGCTGATTTATGATCAGGCTGGAAGTCATAAAACTATCATGATTTCTAATGCAATTTCAGATTTAGATGCAACCAAAATTGTGATCCCTGGAGGGTGCACAAAGTATTTGCAACCACTTGACGCACTGGTAATTGCAAATTTCAAATCAAAAACAACAGATTTCAGAATCAAATTCCAAAACAGAGCAGATTGAAAGAAGATCGAAAAGAACTGGAAACCTCAAAGCTCTTGATCGCCAGCAACTGATAAACATTGCTTCAAAGGCGTGAGATGCTGTAAGCCCTCAACTTGTCAGAAAATCATTTGAGTTGACGGGTTCTTATGGCGTTAATCATCCAAAGATTTTCAGCCATCAAGTTAATATGAAGAAGTTAATTATCTAATCGATTTCTTCTATTCATTTTTTTGTCTTAAATTTAAAATTGTTAAATTCAACCTTTTCACTTATGGTATTCTTTTTTTTAACCCTTTGAATAATATATCAAACAAACTTAATAATTATTTTTCAATATTATCCTCTTTATTTGTATTAAATATAGATATAATAAACTATATATAAAATTATATGTAAAAAAATTTTTTGTTCGCTCACGGAGGGTGGGTTTTTGACCAAAAAATAGGGATTTTTCTAATGGTTTTGTTCGCTCACGGAGGGGGGGGGGGAGTAAGCTGCTTTTGTGGCTCGCCCGAATGGCGAAAGCTGTTGAGTTCTTTCTCGGGATGACCGGAAAAGAGGGGAAGGCGAGTTAGACGACTAAACGGGGGTCTCTCCAGTTTAAAAGGTACCCTTCAATGGGCAGATCTGGCGGACGACGCGGCAGTGTTGGCGTAAACTTAGGCGACGATCCAAGTTGGAAATGGAGGCGGTCAGCGAAGCCTCTATGAGACGGCCCTTGACAATACCTCTACCGAGAAACCGGGGGTTTCGGCCCGGGCTTGGTGAACGCTCTGCCACCATACGGGAAACCGTAGAATGCTTCCTCGGACGTAGTGGGGACCTTAAATACCTAGCGTTAATCTAATCTAATCTAATATAGTCCATTACTGATTTTAAATCCCAGCTTTCATAATATCCTAGAGATACATAACTGCCTTCTGAAAGGCCAGAGCCAGCAAAATCAAAAGTAAATAATGAGATGTCGGATTCCAACAATCTATAAGCTATTTCTAGTGAGTCTAATCTGCTACCACAATTGCCATGACAATAAACTATACATGGAAGTGTATTTTTGGAAAATTTGGGCAAAAATCAACTGCATTTTAAAACTAATCCTCTTGTGTTTGGCAAGTCGAAATCCCGACGAGTGAATACTTGTCCTTTTAAGATGAAATTTTCTGGGCCTAGATCTCTGTTTAAAGAATAAAGATTCCTACATAAGACATACCTGGATGGCCTTATAATGAATTTTGATAAATTTTGCATTAGAAATTTTTAAATCTAGTAAAAATGAAAATTAATCACTACAATAGCGAAGTTTCTCGTATGTGCACAAGGGCTTTTGGAAACAAGCCTGAAGTTTCTAAAGAAGCTGATTTATCATCTAATATCTTTGATGGGAACCCTGCAACTATTTCAAAATCCTTTACTCCAAGAGTTTCAATGTACTCATATAAAACCCCGACTTGTGTACTTTTGTGGAATCTTCTCTCAGCCTTTTTTCCATCAGGCAGTCGAATTGAGATCTGAGAAATATCAGGCCCTAGCTCTGGCTCTTCTCCTATTCGATCTAACTTTCTTGACCTTTCTTCTTCCTCTTCAACCTTCTTTTGCCTCTCTTCTTCTTCTTTCTTTTTTTGCAGATTTCTTTTAATTTCTTCAGATTTATACCTTTCTCTGACCAATGCTTCAGCTTCTCGTAGCTCTTGGTCTTGCTGCTCCCTAATAATTCTTTCTTGGTATAAAACTGGATCAATAGATGGGATTTCAACATCCGCTGCAATTGGACTCATATTTCTGTCCAAAAAGTCTAGGTACTGCTGAAGCGTTACAATCCCTTCCAATCTCTCAATTACAATTGGCATCGCTACATCATAAACCCGTACAATAATACAGCACGGAAAATTTGTTAAATTTAGCATCTGTGTAACCATCTCGCCATCAGCTGAATTCTGATTGACTCCCCAAGCTAAATAGCTTTCTGATATATAAGCAGTAGCGATTTCGTGACAAATGATATCGGATAAATATTTCTTTTCAATATTAGAAGAGTTGATAAATAGAAATAAAGGCTTAGAAGTCACCATTGCTTCAGTTAATATATCAGGCAAGTGTTTAAGACTGAAAGGTGGAGGATGAGTCGTGTTAAAGGATTTGATTATAGAAACAAATGCTCGTGCACTTGATGATTCTTCTCCACGAATGCCCACAGGCATACCTTGGTTTCATACATTTCAGACATATGATTTAATGCTTGATGACAGATATTTGGCCTTTTCTTTAATCGCTGATCTTCAGGATTTATTAGGAGAAGGAGAGCTTTCTGGTATTTCTCGAGGAACTGGGCTTTGTTTTGGCTGAGGACTTGCAATATGAGGTTTCGCTGGAATAGGCTGAGGAACTGTAGAAAGAGAAATAAAATCGTTTGAAGCTGCCATCAAGTCTCAATTGTTCTTCAACAAAAAGTTCATAGCAATGGTAGAATCCCAACATTCAGTAATTGCTGAGAAGTTCATTAAAGCTTCTTCTTGCTCTCGAGTTAAACTATTTTGTCTCATAATATATTTATTTTTTGCATTTTTCATCAAAATGAAAAGGTTAATTTTATGTTATTGTTTTAGCTTTAAATAATACAATTTTTCAAGTTCATCTAACAAGGAAATATCAACTTCAAATCGAGAAAGATTTTCAGTGATCTTATCAAACGGAATTGAGTTGGTGAAAAAATCCAAGGTATCTTCCAACGAAGCTCCTATGACCACATCATAGCTCAAATGAAATAAACTCAAGCAAAACATGATCAGCGCTGGCCACCCTCTTATCAGAAAAAAATCTCATATAGACTGCACAATTTTTATAGGAGCATTTTGCTGTGTTATAAAGTGTGTAAAAACGGTAAGCATTCATGGAGCTATAATGACATCTAAATTGATATCAATATTTTCAAAATGCGATAATAGCTCTGGTAGTTTCAACTTCAATAAAAACTCAAGTTGAAAGATCGCAAGCCTTAGTCTTGGGAATCCATCCTTTCAAAGTTCTCCAAGAAAGAAAGGAGGCTTAATTAGCATCAATAAAATCCCAAGCACCTCGTGGGAATTGTGAATAAGGCCAATTAAAAAATGAGTGACAATTTGCATGCCTTGGCAATACCCGATATCAGGATTCAAAGCACATAAGGCGACAAGGACTTCTTCAATTTCGCTACTCTTATCAAGCATCCCACGGTATACGTCTTTTTGAATTTCTTCAATCATTTCAGGGTGTAAGTTATAACCTAGTTTAATGGGCTTCATATTGTATAATGTATTGGTAATATTTTATTTTGCTTATTTATGGTAAGTTGATTTTAAAATGTCAAAAAAAATTTTGACATGTCATTATATATATAAAACTGAGTCTATGGTATGTTAAAATTTTTTTGACATTTTAAAATCAATTTACCATAAATAAGCAAAATGAAATTTATGCAAGGGATCATAAAAATATTTTGAAATCAGTTTTCAGCTGATCACTCTAGGCTCGAGGCCGGCAGATGCTAGTTTATGTCAATCAAGCTTAACCTTCAGTTTCTTTTTTACTTGATTTCTAAAAAAGTGGTTAATTTTCATTATTGACAAAAGATCTTTGAAGCACATATAATCCAATATATTTTTTCAAATTATCGCTACATCTTTCATATGATCATTCAACAGTTTTCCATACAATAAGTAAAATTCTCTTTCAATAAGTTGATTTGAATTATTTCTATCATTCCTTTTTAATGAATTATTTAATACAGATCTTTCTTTGTGAAATATGATAGTCCCTGCATCAAGCAATTTTATCTGGTCAATTACAGCCATTTCATCATCCTTGTGATTATTCATTTCAACTTTCAAGATAGTTTCGCTTAAAACGCCTTCCACAATCCCATTTTTGTTTAGTCCAAACTCATGCTGCAATTTCCCCATTTCGATTTTCATATTCGCTACTATTGTTTGCATTATATTAATTTCCTTTTGATACTGGCTATTTAATGCAAGTGTGTCCCAATACTTTCTTACTCGCCCAGTAATAAAATTCTTTCTTATTAGTAGGGGTTTTTTTTGCACAAAATTTTAAGTAGTAAATTTAATATTAAATGCCCAAAATTTACATTTTTTACTTTTTATCTGAAACCCTCTAACAACAAGCAATTTTCAATTTATTCATATAAAATTACTTTTAACAATCTTGGTAAAAATCTCACGAATAAGCAAGAATTTGCTTATTACTTGGGGAGTCAGCCCATTATTTGAGCTTCAGTCCCCGACTATCCTAACCAGCTGATTTGCGCACAAAATTCAGACCTTTCTTTCTTCTTCGCTGCTGCAGCTAAGTTCTAATATTCTTTTCCTTGTGACTAATTTAAATCCATACACTTTATGACTGAATTCGTTCCTTGCCAAAACACTTGACAGCTGATCAGAAAATCCATTCTCAAAAGTCAAAATATCGCTTGTAAAAATAAATTTCGAATTCATTTTGTCTTTTTCAAGCGTAAGCTTCTGAAGTGAAGCATTAAAAAAGACTCTTTTCACACTCCTGTGCCCATTGTTTTGATATTTAATAAAATAATGACTGCTCAAAAGCACTTTAAGCATTTCTTTTGTGATTTGCAGATTTTCGTGGATGTACTCAGATTCATTGGGAAATCTTGACGTATGTAATGAATAAGGGGAACTATTCGAGCTAAAAGAAGTCTCAATTTTACTGTTAGTTTCCATTTTAGAAAATTATTAACTTACTATATTAGAAACATCTTCTGGGAGCTTAGGTGCCAAAAAATAGGTGATCGAACCAAGGGAAAAGGGGAATGTGAATGATATAGGAAGATCTGGGGCCATTTTAATAAACACTCGATCGCCTAGTAAAGCAGCTTTGTTGAATTGGTTTATATATCTTAGCGCATAACTCCCTTGCACTGATCCTTTGCAATCAATTAATACTTGCTCTTTAGAAATACAGTTGCCGTTATTGCAACAAATTTGGCCTTTTCCTGCATCTCCGTTCACTTCAAATACAATTCTTTCTTTCGTAGCTATAATTGCTAATTCATCAGAAATCACAGCAAGTTCTCTACAAATTCTTGCGAACTCTGAAGATTCCATAGTTATTTCACATATATGGTCTATATCCTGCATTTCTAATTGCTCTTCAGGCAGTATAATCAAATTCAAGTCAAAATCCCCGACTTTTCCTGCTGAATTTTCTGATACTATTTTTAACTTTGTGCATGTATCGTCTGCAATCAGCCTTATTGAGTCGTCAGCTCCTGCAATTCTCATCATTTTTCATAAGTTTTGAATCGGAATTCCAAGCGTTTTTCGATGGTCGCAGCGAAATTCTTCGAAATTAGTTGCTTCCATATTTAAGACGATTAACGCTACATGTGATGCATCCATGGCTTGAAGAGAGATTCCTTCACTGTCAATTTTTACGTTTCCTTCGTTTATCATTTCTTTTAGGGCTTCTATAATTCGCTTGAGGTCTGCAGCTTTAGAAATAAGAGCTTCAAACATTATTTATTAGCCCCCTTATTAAATATTGTTTTAGTTAATCTTCATATCTTATTTCTTCTTTCATTTCTTCTTCTCTGCCCTCTTCTCCTTCTTCTGGATCCTTTTCGAAAGAAATATCTTCATCACCACTTGTGGGTGTCTCATTTTTCATAGCGGTTATGACTTTTTCTAAAAGTTGATCCCATATTGCTCCTTGGGTAACCTTTAAGCCAAATGCCAATTTTTCAATGATTTCGAGGATTTCTTCGACTCTTCCGTCACGATAGCAGTCCATTGGTTTCGTGTATTCTCTTATTTTCTTGACACCTGTCTGCACTTCTTGCTTAGCTTCTTCTTCCTGATATAAAGGAGGCTCAATATCAACGTATCTGTTGTTCATGAGTTGTGTATTTCATACGAATGGAGGTCTCGACTCCGTAGGTCGCTGGCCTTGGCCTGGCTTTTTAGGAGCTCTGCTTGAGATTATATAGTCCATGATGTCTTCTTGAACCATTAAGTTTAACTGACTCTCAACTCTGTGAGCGAACAAACCATTGGAAAATCCCTATTTTTTGGGTAAAAACCCACTCTCTGTGAGCGAACATAAAAATTTTTTTATGGAAAAATATTTGATATATAAGTGATAATTATTATAATGAAATATCTAGCTAATTCGGCTTAATTTTAAACAGTTTGGATTTTAAAACATAAATTTTACAAATTAAATTAATTTTTACTTCTCAATTTTTACAAATTAGAATTTTTTTAAATTTTGAAGAAAAAAAAAAAGTAACCCACCTCCGTGAGTGAACAAAACATTTTTGGTTGCTCAAGGAAGGGGGGATTGAGAAACCAGATCTGATGCATGATCCCACATGGGTTTGTCTTCTTCATTAATATAGCCATCCCAGACCCACAGCCTCTTGATACCTTCATATCTGACTTCTTTGTCTTGACTCCATACAAAGAAGCTGTTATCTTTATCTTGTTTTACTGCTTCAAGTTCAAGGCCGACTTCTCTCTTTTCTTTTTGTTTCTTTTCGATATCTTCTCTGACTTGGTACATTTGTTGAAGAGCTTTGAACGTGGCGAGCTGAGGAATGATGTCTTTTATTACTCCACTGTCACCTTCAAAAAGGGCTTGCTCCATTGAAGATCTTCTCACATGCATGATTACATCATAAATAAATTCAAGCTGATCCATTTTTAGAGCGTCGCCTAGCAAATCTTCTGCGATGCTTTCTGCGTCTATCATATTTTTCAAGGCTCTGACAAGGTCTTTATTTTTTTTATGCTGTTTTTATTGAATTTTGCATAGTTAATGTTGGCAAGCAGCAATGTATATATATGATGTTGGTTTTAATATATTATAGTATAATGGGCTGGCGATAATGATTCACTCCTGCTTTATAAAGAATTTTCATTTCTGACCTAAGCTTTCTCCAAGCAGCTTTGACAGGGCTCACAAAATATTTAAGAACCTCGTGAGAAGCTGTGTTGATTTCAAGCTTACTGAGCGACTTCAGAATATTAGGAATTTTTTCAAGTGGTCCATGCTCTTTTAATCTCTTACTACTCCCTCTCCTCCCTTTAAATTGGAACAAAATATCGGTATTTTTTGGGTACTTTAGCCCCTTTTAATTAGAACAATTTTTTTTTTCAATAGTAAAATTTTAAAGGTAAAATATTAATTTTTATAAAATTAGTTTTGGCATAATTTAATGAAAAAAGTGTAAGTAAAATGCCATTTAAATAGTTTTCATACTTGAATAGATTTATTTTTGAATTAATTCTTTCATAAAATAATTTAAAATTAGAATATTGCACTCAATTTATATTTTTTTAATTTGATAAAATTTTTTTTATATAATTTATTTTAAAAATATAAATCAACCCCCCTTTAAATTGGAACGGGATTTTTTGTTTCCAATTTTAATGGGAGGGGAGTTAATAAGCTCTGTCATAGCTTCAGCAAATTTTATTTTACAAGCCTTGAGCCGAAAAGCAGGTGCTGACTTCTTGAACCATTTTCTCTTTTCGTGGGCTCTATTTTCTAAATAATAAAGATTCATATTTGCATCAATAGCATTAATCATAGGACTCAAGATCACAGCAAGCACTGAATCATACAAATAGTTGTGCCCTATCTTCAGATGAACCATATAAGCTTTTTCAAAAACTGTAAGCTTCTTTATGAAATCTTTCCTTGTCTGCACATAAGTCGTTGCCTCAGCTGTTTTTATTGTATCCAGCGAGTCAACGACCGCAACGAATGCTATTCTGCACTCTCTTGCTTTATCTACGCACTCTTTGTTAAGTTCCAGGTTGAATTCCAAGCCATCAACTTTCAATATATAATCCAGCCCTACTTGTGGGAAAAAAGCAGTTCTCAAGTGGAGCTGCTCATATGAGTGTGACTTATGAGGAACCTTCATCAAATCAACTTGCTTGTGCAAGCCTTCGAGAAAAGCAAATTTATCGTCAGTTATATCAGGGCTTGTTGTACTTATTAGTTTTGCAAAAGTTAGTTTAATTTGACACAGAACATTTCAGTTCGCGACTTCTTCAGTTTTTTGCCAATCCTCAAATTGCTGAGCTTGGACTGCTGGGTCGATTTTTTTGCCTCTAGGTGGCATTTATTATTAGAGTTCAAATAAATGGAGTTGAAATTGATAAGAATGGGTTGTCATTATGAAGTTATTAATATCGTAAGAATTTATTTGGAGTAAAATATGGACAAAGGAAATACAGGGAGCAAGTGGGCAACTAGTCTTAAAATGCTGGGACTACTCTTAGGGCTGGCTCTGATTATACTGGGAGTTTATAATTTTTTGGCTTTTGATATTAAGGATCCGATTAATGTGGTGATTCCAGTTTATTATATGTAAAAATCATATAGCTTATTTGGATTATTGATTATTGGGTGTGAAATTAATTTCAAGTTTATAGTCCTTAAGTTTTATTTTTTGAGAGAGTTTTTGGGAAGAGGAATGTTTTATTTCTTGTAAGAATATACATAAAATGGCGTATGACGACCAACCCGTCCTCCCAGTGACAGTAACTCGTCTATATCCGCATGGTTTTCAGGAGAAGCGACTTAGCCCAGCAGTATCTGGACCCTGGTGGCGACCGGGGACGAACACAAACCCGCTGATCGTGGCCAGATCCTAGGGCAGTTAGTAGCATCTCCTTTATCCAGCAGCACCCAAGCCAGTGGGTGCCCGAAATGGAGCAGGGCGATTTTACCTGCTTAAACTGCTTCTGTGGTCTGCCTCGAATCGCGGAAAACGATTGAGGATTTTCTCAAGCGGATAAGCTGGGAAAAGGGGAGCAGATTAGACGACTTAAAGGCGGTCCCTCCAGTTAAAAGGGTCCTTAAATGGACGATCTGGACAACCGGAGACAAAGACTGGCGTAACTCGGGGCGAAAGGCTGAGTTGGAAATGGTGGTGCTCGGCGACGGTCGGCTGACGACCCAATAGGGCAACCACTACCGAGAAACCAGGGGTTTCGGCCTGGGCTCAGAGAACCAGTGATGGAAGTCCATCCTTTTCGCTCGTGCCAGCACGCTCCTCACGGAGCGCGGAGGAATGTCACGCATGGAAGAAGGGACCTTAAATACATATCGCTAATTTATTTATTTATTTATTTCTTGTAAGAAATATTTAGCGTTGGGACACTTTGTTTGAGACAAGAATCTGTCTTTCAATATATCATGGCAGCAGTGCTAATGGCCGTTGGTGTTATGTATTGGATACTGTTTTGTGCATGCAGAAATAAAGTTGAAGCTCCGGCCCAAGCCGTCTAAAGGAAAAACATAAATTCAACTTAATAGACAAATTATTAAATTTATGAAATTAATATTATCTGAATTATTTTAATATTAGATTATAGAGAAAATTCTTTAAAAAGAAAATATTTAATAAATTTAATGCACTTTCCTTTTATTATAATTTATTAATAGATTGAGTAAATAGTAAAAGTTGAGCTATTTAATGAGATTTTCAGTCAGATTAAATTCTAATTAACAATTTCAATCAAATAGCATTTTTATGAAGAATTTATAAAACTTTCGTTTAAAAAAATTTTGAATTAAAATATTTATATTTTACCAAGCTGTAAATGGAAGCAGAATCCAGGTCTTTATCTCAATCTTCTGACTCAGATAATGAATTTTGGGATGAGCTAGATGATGTAATATCTATTTTAGAAACCTCAGCTAACTTATAAAAAATTATTAGCTCCTTTCACGAGTAATCAAATAATTTTTCTCGCTAATTTTATATAATAATTTATATTAATGTTTTTTTTTGCAATTTAAAAAAAATTCCATTCCTTAAAAATTGGGAAAGAAATGTCAATTTAATTTAGAAAATTTGTGTTTTCAAAACAAGCTGTTTAAAATTGAACAGAATTAGCTAAAGATTCATTATAATAATTGCACTCATATATCTGGAAATTCTTGCTTATCAGAGAAGATTTTTTTAATAGTTTTGCTCTCTCACTGAGGAGACGAGTAAGCAGAAGATCAACACGTTTTTCTGAAGTGTTACAATTCCCAAAAAAAGAGGAGCCAATCTCTCCAAGTAAAAAAGAAGTGACTCCTATATTAAAAAAATCAGAAACCACTCCGATTTCAAAGCAAGAACCTATAAAAATTGAAAGAAAAGAAGAAATTCCCAAGGATGAAGCCCCTCCAAATCAAATCAAGCCTCCTAAGCAGCCAAAAAGCGACTTTTTAACTTCCTATAAAAGGCCTGTCCCTAAGCCAAATTATGAGAATGATTTCTCATCTCTTGAAGTCAAAGAGTTAAAGATGACTCTATTTGTCAAAGAAAAAACTATAAAGACCTTATGGATGATGCTCTCTGAGTTACAATTTTTTATTACATCAAATAGACTAGAAACCGACACAACCGAAATTAATAAAAATAATATAGCGAATGAAGAGGAAAATTTTCGAATCCAGCAATTCATAGAAGAAATAAAAAAGCTGAACAGTCAAATTTCCATCCTCAAAGATGTATGTGACATTTATCAAAAAGACGTAGATAACACAATTAAGAAAATGAAAGAAATTGAAAACGAAAAAGAAAATTTAAAGGAATCGTGTGAAAAAGAAATTGAAAAATTAAAAATTCAATTTGAAGAGAGAGAAAAAGAGCTTCTTCTTGAAAAAGAAAAAATCACTACAGAGTAAAGAGTAAGTAGGCTTGAAAGCTACAAAACAAATGTGGCTAAAGAGCTAGAAGCAAGGGATATTTTAGAAAATAGGCAAAAGAATGAAGTTATTGCACTTAAAGAAGAACTTAAAAATGCCAAGACCATTTTACAGAATCCAAGGCTGAGAGCTAAAGTCCATGAAAAGCTTAAAGAATATATGGAAGAAAATGAAAAATTAATTATAGAAGAAGATTTAAAGGAAAATGGAAAAATATCATCGAAGCCTCCGAAACTCTTTTGCAAGCCTAAGCAGCCTCCAAGACCTGCTACAGTCCAATTACATAAGAAAGCTCAATCTTGCGATGTGTCTACTTCTTACGACGATGGAAAAATCATTGGAAAACTTTTGACTCTTTCAAGGCCAGAGACACCAGCAATTTTCCCAATTCATCGTAGAAATGCATCCTCTGTAAGTAGTTCTTACGAAACTAAGCGAAAGAGTAGTACACCGATAATAATTTTATAAATATTCGTTTTAAACTATGGCATAAATAAAATTGAGTTCTTATTTTATCTGATTTATACTTCGAAAAATTATTGAAAATAAAGCAATATCTATTTAAATCTAAATTTGCTAGAAAAAACAACGAAAGCTATGCAAAGACAATAATTTAAATAATGGAATCGTCTTCTTATATTGAAGATATCAATCGAGGTTGCCGTTTGGGCGATGTTTCAGTTCTCCAAGATATATTTCAGAAGTTTCCTCAATACCTTAACCAAAAAGACACCAAACTTGGCTGAGCTCCATTATATCGCACAGTTATATGTGGACATGAAGCTGCTTCTAAATTATGCTGTGATGAATTAAATAGTAATAGTTTATAAAAATAGATGGTGTGTATATAGAAAGCATACATATGCCAAATTCAGCATCCCACCACTTACTTTTAGATTTAGGTGCAGACCCAAATGTGAAAACTAATATTGGGGAAACAGCTCTTCATCAAGCTTCTGCCAATGGCCAATATAAAATTGCCAAAATGCTATTAACCTACAAAGCAGACCCAAATTCACAGCAAAATGATGGTGACACTCCTCTTCATTTGGCTGCTTTCAAAGGAGATATTTTAATGGTAAAGCTGCTGCTGAAATTTAATGGCGACCCAAATGTATCAAATTATGTTTTTGGTAGGACACCTTTGCATTATGCAGTTGACTATGGGCATAAAGAAGTAGCAATGCTTTTAATGAAATGTTCAGCATCGACAACTATCAAAGATATGAGTGACAAAACGCCCCTGGACTTAGCCAAGAGCATTGATTTTTCTCATTTCATCTGCGAGATGGGGCTATCTGATAAAGAAGACAGTTTTGGTGAAGATTTTAGGAATGGCGTATCTACACCTGATTTAATCGACCCTGAGCCATGAATGGCTAAAGTTCCCCTTGAAAAGTCCTTGACAATGCCCTACACATCTGAGAGACCCACTGCTTGTACAGATTGGAACTCAGAAAAAGGTGGAAAGCTGATCCCAGAGCTGAAACTTGATTCCATTGTGTCAAGCAAGCTTGAAAAAGAGCCTGCAAAGATTTCTTCACATGCAAGAAGTGTTAGTACTTTATTTGAGCCAGATGCTGAAAAATCCGATTGCGATCTAAGTAATTTGACTCCTCAAAAAAAATTCAGGGCAGCATCATTTGGAGGAACTGATAGGAGACCAGAACTGTATCTATGGACAGTCAATTACAAAATTGAAGAGCTGTTTGATATTTTAGTATCAGCAGGTTATGATGATGTAGGCCAAATGAGTTCAGCAATGAATTCTTCGATGCCAATTACAGAGAAAATATTGGCAAGTATAGGGATTACGAAGCCTGGACTTATAAGAAGACTTCTGGCTTCTTTAGACGAAGAGTCCAGAGTAGGAGGCAAATCTACAAGACGCCTGATGAAGCAGCAGGCCACTAGCTTTTGAAAATGCTGTGTGGCACCTGCCCAGCCGATTCAAGGAATGATCAATACACCTAGTTTACGAAGCTGACTTGACAGCTTAAACTTAGGAATATATTACCAAGTCTTTATCGATGCCGGATATGATGATATGGAGCATAATCTTACATTAATGAACACAAGATGGCCAATAACTGAAGAAATCCTTATAAAAGACCTAAACATCTCAAAGCCTGGACATAGGCATAGAATCCTTTCGAGACTGAAAGAAGACGCGCTAGGAATGGATACCATGAAAAGGACTTCAGGCGGCGTTTCAAGCAGGAGTCGCAAAGAAGACGGGCCAATTGAAAAGACTCCAAGTGAAAATGGCTTTTGCGGAATAATGTAATATAATTTATTATGGTAGACTCGTTAGACCCTCTTAATACTTCAGATCCAGTGGCTCCTCACTCGACAACGCTTTCGAGCTTCAATTATCTTATGAAAGAACAAACTTTGTCTTTTACAAAGGGTGAAGTGTTAAAATGCTTAAACCAAATCCCAGATCTGGAAGAGGATAAAGCATGGTGGGTCGGATTAGGTCGGAATTTACTGCCGCAGAATTATGCACCTTTTGTACCGACAGTGATGGTGCATATTAACGGGTATAAGCTTGCGTTTAAGCAAGACGGGGAGGTAAAAGTTGCTGGTTTAATTGAAGATGAGACTAAGGTTGTTTTGGCAAGGCTTTTTGCTGTTGATAAATTGATTGTGGAGCAGCAGAAAGGAACGAAGATTGGGGAACTCCAAGGGATTGGAATTTATGCATTGATACTTGACACAAATGAAAACTTAGATTTATCTGAAGAATATCAAGCACTTGTAGCGTCTTTTCCATACCCTCAAGCATTACTAGCTTATTATTGGTATATAGAAACTGGTGTTTATCATGGATCATAATTAAAATATGGCGTCTTCGCTGTGCATGGCCTCCTAGCCATGCAGCCTCGACTCATATATTTTAATTATATCCGTCAAGTTTTACCATTTCAGAGATGGACAGCAATGCTAGGTAAGCTTTCACAGCCTAGCCCTAGTCTAATCTCAGGGGTGGATTTTTCCTCATGGGGAAGGAGGGTACGGATTTGGAAAGGGGAAGCTCAGCAAAGTCCTTTGGACCATTTGGGCAACTCCCTAGCGTGAAACTGGGCGTTACGTCCCAGGCTACGTATTTATCCTTTTTGCCGGCAGATAACTAGAAAATCCATTTTTTGGGCTTTCGGAAAAGCAACCCATGTACAAGCAAGTAGCTCATCCATGAGCCGTCGAGCGGAACACTTGCCCTAGGAGCACCTTGGTGATCGAAGCAGGTTACCCTCAGCGACTTGTGGCCCGATGCGACGAAAGGCGAGCGGTAGACCTGGAGACGTCGACCTTGCAGTGGACGTTAAGCATTATAAATTTTATGTAATGTAATGTTTATCATGGATCAGTGGAAAGAGAGCTGTATGATGAGGAACCGGGGAGGCTACTAGAGTCACTTAATATACAAAAGAAATAAAATTACCTAAATTTATAAAAGGACACTCTTTAACATTCTAAATAAAATACTAAAATATCTGCAAGGAAATTATCCGAATTTATATCTTAAAGATATTCTAGGTTCTCTTTAAAGGTAATATATATATTTTAAATCAAAAAATAGGATGGATACATTAATAGCAGGCTGGCTATATAAAGTATTAAATTTAACTTATCTTCTATTCAGGTCTTCTTTCATTAGGAAGATCCAGTACTCTTGCTTGTCTAAACATATCAACTGCTCTCATCAATGCAGTTCTTCCTTCCAATAAAAGTCCTCTTGGAATTTTGTTATCAGGGCACATATCTTTGAGCATGAGAATGATTTCGAATTCTTCCCTAAGAGTTTTATACATTTTCATCATCCTTGATACCGCCTTCACCTTATTTTGCATAATTACTTTTTTAATTTCTTGAAATTTGTTCTTCAGACCTTTTATTCTTCTATTTGCCAAGCTATCTGACCTAAGCAGTACTTTATCGTCAGGTTTCAACAAATGAAATAACATCATCATTACTTTTTCAATTACAAACGGAGTGCTCCACGTGAAAACATCCATAAAATCAGGCAAATAGTAAGGATGGGCTGAATAGTTGAACTGCTGTATGTTCAAAATGCTATTACACAACCTTACAATGGCTCCTTTATTGTTATGAGTGTCACAATAGTTAGGGGCTGAAAAAATAGTGATAACTGCTGGGAAATCATCTTCTCCATTCCACTTATGCATTTTATAGCCTTCTAGTTGTACTTCATGAGCCCTTATGACTGAAATCAAGTCATTTCTTTGCAGGAACGCATTTGTTGATTTGACTCCATAATAATAGCTGCATCCTCTTACAGTGTTGTATGAAAAGCTATCACTTAATTTTCCTTCAGGATTGTCAACTGGGTCAGCCCACAATAGATCTGTAAAGGCTCCGGTTTTAGGTGGCTCGCTGAACCTGAAAATTAAATCAATATCATCTATCAGTTCAATTTCAGGAGAAAGACCCCCATGGCAAGCAATGAAGCTATCGTTTACAAGCGCAGCTAAAGGTAAGCAGTCGAAACTTTCAAGAAATCTCTCATATACTTCTAAGTCGTATTTAGCCATACACTCTGCCCGGAATGAGAAATAAGAAGTCATGGCCATGCACTCGTGATTGCCTCGAATCAAAAATACTCTATCTGGAAAATTGAGCTTGAGACAATATAAAAGGATCACCACTTCAATAGAGAAATGCCCTCTATCAACGTAATCGCCCAAGAACAAGAACTTGTTCTTCGTTGGACTTCCTCCCATTTCCAATATTTTGAGTAAGTCATAAAACTGCCCATGAACATCTCCAATAATGAGGACAGGGTCTTCTATTCGCAATAAGTTCGGCTCTCCTTGAAACAGATCCTTTGCGCTATCAATAATCTTAATAACATGCGCTTTGCTAACTCTCCCTTCTTTGGTGAGATGAAGTTTTATTGCATCAACACTTGGGATATGAGCTGATTATTTATTACATGCTTTAGGATATAACAAGTCATTAGAGAGTTCTCGATGAGGCGGAGGAATTAAAGTCTTAACAACCCTGTTTCCTAATGGGTCAGACAAAGGCTCCATTTTGAAGTATTTTCAATAATTTTGAATTCTCTAGATCCCCTCTTTGATTTGCAAATTTTTGCCTTGCTTCTGCTATCCATTTTAAAAAATTTCATATCCAAAAATTCATTCTTAAAGCTTTGTAAATAATAACTTAATTTAATTTTAAGGAAAATATTTTAGATACATGCTGTTTAAAATGTTTTAGATTAGTAGAGATTTCATTTTAATAAATATTTCTTATCTCAAAATAGTTATATAAGAAATTTTTATATATAAAAATTTCTTTGATCAACATCGAAAGGGAAAAATTTTGTGAAAATTAGGATTTTCAATAACTTTACTTGTGCACGGTAGAGAATAAGTAATTGCTATGAGCATTCTTAGCTGAATCTGAATAAATTTCTATTAGAAAATTAATTATAAAATGGTAATAACTATTTAGAGCCAGGTAGACGAAGCAATTGAGCGTATAAAAAGCCATTACTCTGAAGTAAGAGGAATTATTATTTGCAACTACGAAGGCAAGTCTGTGAAAAGCACTATGACGGCTCAAGAAACTGAGAAGTACTCTAACTTGGTGTCTGGGTTATCCTTGCGCGCTCGGTCACTCATCCGTGAACTCGATGCAGAAAATGACATGATCTTTTTGAGGGTCCGAACAAAGAAAAACGAAATCATGATTGCTCCAGACTTTGATTATTTATTGATCGTAGTTCAGCAGTTAGAAAGTAATTAAAACTTTAAGAAAATGGAACAACGCACCCTAAGAATTGCTTCTCGGCAAAGTCAACTAGCCTTAGTGCAGACACGCTATATACAATCTCTAATTGGCGGTGAAATAGTAGGAATAACTTCAGAAGGAGATGTAGAATTGTGGCAGCCTCTATATACCATGCCTGGTGTTGGAGTGTTTGTGAAACAACTAGAAGTAGAAATTGTGAGTAGGAGAGCTGATTTAGCCGTTCATAGCTTAAAAGATATGCCGACTCAGCAGCCGCCTGAACTATATCTTGCTGCAGTTCCTAGATTTACAACGCCTCGAGGAGATGTCGCGATACTAAAGCCTGGCTTTACATCATTAGAAGACCTGCCAGAAGGCAGCATAGTTGGGACTTCTTCATTAACTTCCCCCCTTTAGATTGGAAAAAGAAATCCTGTTCCAGTTTAAAGGGGTAATTTTTTTAAAATAAAATTATATTTCTATAAAAATTTTTAAATTTTAAAGTCTTAAAAAAATATAATGTGTTGGAAAAATTTCTTAACGGTCATGATCGAATCAAATGATACCATAAATTTTAAAAAGAAATATTATGTGTTTTAGCGTAGTTTTCTCATAATTCTTAAAAAATTGAGGTTCGCTTTATCATGGTTCCCGATAGCCTGAGATAGAGTAATCTACTTTATGCTTAGCTTTGATAGCTCATATTTTAATTAATAGAAAATATTCACGCATAGTCATTATTTTAGCATGTCAAAATTATAATATGACTTAAATTCTGATATGTACACAAAAATATGATTTTGGACTTTTAAATTTTTAAAGAAATATGGGAAAATAAAAATTGCGAAAATTTAATAAAGATGGATCTGCTTCTTTGAGATGTGCTCGAATCCAATGTGCGGTAATTGAAGATCCTTTAATTCTGAGTTTAAATTTAAATTTTTAAAAAAAAACGTATGATTAGCAAAAAAGTTCTTACTCCCCCCCCCCCCCCTCCGTGAGCGAACAAAACCATTAGAAAAATCGCCATTTTTTGACCAAAAACCCACCCTCCGTGAGTGAACAAAAATTTTTTTAATAGAAAAAATTTTAATGGAAAAAAATTTTGATATATAAGTGATAATTAGTATAATGAAATCTAGAGCTAATTCTGTTTAATTTTAAACAAATTGCGTTTTAAAAACATAAATTTTGCAAATTAAATTAATATTTGCTTCCCAATTTTTGCAAATTAGGATTTTTTTAAATTTCGAAAAAAATATTTTTTATAAAATTTATATATAAATTTTTTTAAAAAAAAAAAATTAACCCCCCTCCGTGAGCGAACAAAATTTTTTTGTTCGCTCACGGAGGGGGGGGGGGAGTTAATGTTTTAATTTTTAAGTATATATAGGCAAAAATCAAGATGGTGGAAAATTTAATAAAGATGGAATTCATTCTTTTGGATGTGCTTGAGTCCAATGTGCGGAAAATGGAGATCCTTTAATTATAAGTTTAAATTTAATTTTTTAAAAAAATCGTATGATTAGCAAAAAAGATCTTAATGTTTTAATTTTTAAGTATATATAGGTAAAAACCAAGATTGCGGAAATTTTAATTAAAAAGGAAATCATTTTTTTGAGATGCGCTCGAGTCCAATGTGCGGAAAATGGAGATCCTTTAATTATAAGTTTAAGTTTAATTTTTAAAAAAATTCGTATGATTAGCAAAAAAAGATCTTAATGTTTTAATTTTTAAATATATGAAGGCAAAATCAAGATGGTGGAAAATTTAATAAAGATGGAACTGCTTCTTTGAGATGTGCTCGAGTCCAATGTGCGAAAAATGAAGATCCTTTAATTATAAATTTAAATATAATTTTTAAAAAAAAATCGTATGATTAGCAAAAAAGTTCTTACTCCCCCCCCCCCTCCGTGAGCGAACAAAACCATTAGAAAAATCGCCATTTTTTGACCAAAACCCACCCTCCGTGAGTGAACAAAAATTTTTTAATAGAGAAAAAATTTTAATGGAAAAAAATTTTGATATATAAATGATAATTAGTATAATGAAATCTAGAGCTAATTCTGTTTAATTTTAAACAAATTGCGTTTTAAAACATAAATTTTGCAAATTAAATTAATATTTGCTTCCCAATTTTTGCAAATTAGGATTTTTTTAAATTCGAAAAAAAATATTTTTTATAAAATTTATATATAAATTTTTTTTTAAAAAAAAAAATTATTAACCCCCCCTCCGTGAGCGAACAAAATTTTTTTGTTCGCTCACGGAGGGGGGGGGGGGGAGTTAATGTTTTAATTTTTAGATATATGGAGGCAAAAAATCAAGATGGTGGAAAATTAAAATAAAGATGGAACTCATTCTTTGAGATATGCTCGAGTCCAATGTGCGGAAAATCAAGATCTTTAAATAGTAAGCTTAAATTTAATTTTTTAAAAAAATCGTATGATTAGCAAAAAAGATCTTAATGTTTTAATTTTTAAATATATATAGGTAAAAATCAAGATGGCAGAAAATTTTTTTTAAAAATGGCACTCATTCTTTGAGATGTGCTCGAGTCCAATGTGCGAAAATAAAGATCCTTGAACTATAAGATTGAATTTAATTTTTAAAAAAAATCGTATGATTAGGCAAAAAGTTCTTACTCCCCCCCCCCCTCCGTGAGCGAACAAAACCATTAGAAAAATCGCCATTTTTTGACCAAAAACCCACCCCCTCCGTGAGTGAACAAAAATTTTTTTAATAGAAAAAATTTTAATGGAAAAAAAATTTTGATATATAAGTGATAATTAGTATAATGAAATCTAGAGCTAATTCTGTTTAATTTTAAACAAATTGCGTTTTAAAACATAAATTTTGCAAATTAAATTAATATTTGCTTCCCAATTTTTGCAAATTAGGATTTTTTTTAAATTTCGAAAAAAATATTTTTTATAAAATTTATATATAAATTTTTTTTAAAAAAAAAAATTAACCCCCCTCCGTGAGCGAACAAAATTTTTTTGTTCGCTCACGGAAGGGGGGGGGAGTTTAATGTTTTAAATTTTTACCAACATATGCAAAAATCAAGATGGCGAAAAAAATTAATAAAGATGGAACTGCATCTTTGCGATGTGCTCGAGTCCAATGTGCGGAAAATGAAGATCCTTGAACTATAAGTTTAATTTTAACTTTTTAGAAAAATCGTATGATTAGGCAAAAAGTTCTTAATGTTTAATTTTTTTAAATACACATGGTCCAGCACAAATAGGACCTCGGGACCCCCACCCCATATACATAGCTTTATGTAGAATATTTAATGGTTTAAGCCCAAGTGAAAGAACTAAAGTTTTATACTCTAAGATATAGCTCATACCCCTTTATAGATTCCTTTATCGAGCAAAGTGTACTTGACTATTGAAAGACTAAAACAGACTCTCTCAAAGAGATGAACTCAATCTCTATATCAGAAAGTTCTAAAAAGTGGCATGCCAAAAAAATAGTGGCAAGTATGAAAAAAGTTGACTTAAGATAATTAATCATTCATCTCTTTCGTTAAATTGATTTAATAAAATAATATCTACATGTAGATTTGACTATGGATTATCTTTGGATTTACATAAGTCAAAATTCTACTGGAGTTTTTGATTGATATGCTTACTGGAGTTATAGCACTTGGAGATCTATTCAACCGTTTACTAAAGAAGCTCCTCCTTTGCATTCTCAATTTAAAAGTTCAGGTGCAATTTCTTCCATACTGGACTCCATCTTTATAATCGCTTAAATTGAAACAAAATTCAGTTTTATAATAAAAAAATTTTATAGATAAAAATTATAATTTTTATGTAAAAAGTTTCGGTATAAGTTAAATGTTTCTTATTAACTAAAATTGAAAATTTAGTTATATCTTGCTTTTTTTAAAGAAAAGAGCATAAAGAGCATCTTATTTAAATATATTTATTATCTTTAATTGCTATATTTTTAAAAAAATTTTTCAACAAAAATATAATTTATTGCATTTATTTCTTATCATGCATATGATGTCATTTCAATTTATTATGTGGAAACCAAATATACGTTTCCAAAAAGCAGATTTTAGTGCGCCAAATTAATAATTTAAATTTCATATGAAAATAGTGCGTATAACTGCCATAAGAAATTAAGCCAAGGGATTATATTTTTTATTTAAATAATTTTGATAAAAATTTAATGCGAATTCTTTACAAAAATTGAAAATTTACTTTATTTCTTCTTTATTTTAGCAAAAGAGTATAAATAGCCACTTAATTAAACAAAATTAACACTTTGATCGATAAATTTTCTAGAAATTTATTAATCTAATTCGACACATTTTTTAATTTTTTTTATAAGAATTTTATATTGAATTTTTTATATAAACAATTTTCTTAACCCTTCTTTTAAATTGGAAAAAATATTTGGTTCCAATTTAAAGGGAGGGAGTTAAATCAAAATCCTACTGGAGTTTTTGCACGATATGCTTACTGGAGTTATAACGCTTGGAAATCTATACAACCGTTTTACTCGGGAAGTTCCCCGTTTGCATTTTCACTTTTGACAATTTCTTTCATAATGGACTCCATCTTTATAATCACTTAAGTCAGGATCCTACTAGAGTTTTTGATTGATATGCTTACTGGAGTTATAGCACTTGAAGATCTATACAACCGTTTACTCGGGAAGTTCCCCATTTGCATTTTTAAACTCATTTCTATAAATTTATCTCAAGCACTTTTTACATAAACAAATAATCAAAAATATTAAATCTTTTAAAATTTATATGTAGCATTTATTATTCTAATTATCATTAATTAAGGCCTGAAAAATAAGATTTTTAGTTATTAATCAATTCCAGTCTAATTGGGTATGCTAAGTTTTAAATTATTTTATTAATAAAGCCATTTTAAAAATTTGCGTGTTTGCTTACCAACTTTTTTCATACTTGCCACTATTTTTTGGCATGCCCACTTTTTTAGAACTTTCTGATATAGAGATTGAGTTCATCTCTTTGAGAGAGTCTGTTTTGGTCTTTCAATAGTCAAGTACACTTTGCTCGATAAAGGAATCTATACAGGGGTATGAGCTATATAGAGGTTTCCTCTATATAGCGCTAAAAGCGCAGACATTTTCCCAGGAGCTTTCCAAGTTCGTCGGACCAAATCGCTTTTTTGGTCCGACCAAGGCATTGATTTGGTGCAACCTACCGATAAATTCCGATCAGAATTTATCGGCCTTACAGCGCCAAACATAGGAAACTTCTATATCTTAGAGTATAAAACTTTAGTTCCTTCATTTGGGCTTAAACCATGAAATATTCTACATAAAGCTATGTAGGTGGGGGTGGGGGTGGGGGTGGGGGTGGGGTGGGGGTGGGGGTGGGGGTGGGGGTGGGGGTGGGGGTGGGGGTGGGGGTGGGGGTGGTGGGGGGTGGGGTGGGGTGGGGGTGGGGGTGGGGTGGGGGTGGGGGTGGGGGTGGGGGTGGGGGTGGGGGTGGGGGTGGGGGTGGGGGTGGGGTGGGGTGGGGGGTGGGGGTGGGGTGGGGGGGTGGGGGTGGGGGTGGGGGTGGGGGTGGGGGGGGGTGGGGGGGGGGGGGGGGGGTGGGGGTCCCGAGGTCCTATTTGTGCTTGAGCATACACATATAAAATTCAAGATGGCGAAAGTAATAATTTTGACATGTTAAAATAATGACTATGTGTAAATATTTTCTACTAATTAAAATATGAGTTATCAAGAGGCTACATAAAAAGGTTACCCTATTTCAGGCTATCGTGAACCATGATAAAGCGAACTTCTATTTTATAAGAATAATGATAAACTACGCTAAAACACATAACATTTCTTTTTAAAATTTATGGTATCATTCAATCCGATCATCATCGTTAAGAAATTTTTCCAACGCATTATATTAATTAAGTACAATAATTTGATTTTTAATTAATTTTTATGAGAAATTAAATTAAAATAATAATCGATTCAGTATAACTCCATTTTATTTTTTTTTAAATTTTTTTTTTTATAATTTTTTAAGAAATATAGATTGAGCAGAATAGTTTGAAATTTTAATTTATTATTATTTTGAAGAATGATATAAAAAATTAATTGATTCAATTTTAAAATGGTTTAAATGACATTCTATTTGCATTTTATCATTAAATTAGTTTTTCGTCATTAATTTTTTTTAAAAAACATTTTTTAAATTTTTAAAAAATATCTGCACTTTGAACTTTAATTTATTTTTATGAAGAAATTAAATAAAAAAATTAATTGATTCAGTTTAGAACTGTTGTTGAAATAGCATTCTACTTCATTTTGTCTATTAAACTATGCTAATAAAAGATATTTTAAAATTTAAATTTTTTAAAAAATATAAATTGAGTGAAATACTATTAATTTTAATTGACTTTTATGAAGAATTAAAACAAAATCGATTTAGTGTGAGAACTGTTTAAATAGCATTCTACTTGCATTTTGTCTATTAAATTAGGTCAAAATTTATTTTATAAAAAATTTGCAATTTAATTGGTAGAATTTTCCTATTGAAAAACAGATTTTGTTTCAACATAAAGTGGGGTTAAAATGCCAAAAAAAAATGAAACTTCATCGATGTGTTGCTCCAATCTAAAAGGAGGAATAAGAAGAATTGCAGCCTTAAGGCATCAGTACAGGCACAAAAACTTCACATATTCTGATATTAGAGGAAATCTCAATACAAGAATAGCAAAATTAAACAAAGGGGATTACGACTGTATTATTTTGGCTGAAGCAGGTCTGCAGAGGCTTGGTTGGGACGATTTAAATATTTTTAGGCTTCCAGAAGATGTATTTTTGCACGCACCAGCACAAGCAGCACTTGGAATTGAGTGTAGGTCAGATGATGAAGAATTAATAGACTATTTAAAAAGAATCGAGGATAGAGAAACAAGACTAAGAGTTGACGCTGAAAGAGAGTTCATGAAAGACTTGGAAGGAGGGTGCAAACTTCCAATTGGAGTTTTTACAGAAATTATTGGTGATGAGCTAAGACTTATAGGACAAGTCTGGCATCCAATTGAGAATTTCACAATAAGAGAAGGTAACTTTTAATTAGAAATTAAAGGCCCACTTTCTCAAGCAAGGGAATTAGGCAGAGCGCTGTCTGAGATCATGAAGGAGAAAGGGGGTGTCGATCTCTTACAATCAATTAGATTAGCAGTTTAATTAGGTAAATGATCCATATTTAATAAAATGAGCCTATTTGTAGGCAATATCTCTAGAAATATTTCACTTAATTCTTTGGTTGATAATTTTTTTTCATTAATTCATTTTGTCAAAATTACTTTAAGCCTTTTTTGTGGAAAATGTATAATTCTTTCAAACTTCTGTCCTTAAATTTTTAAATCAAATTTCATAAATTTTTCTTTATTATTTGAGCGGAGTTAAGGACTTAGAAGCTGAATTTAACAAATTTGGAGTCTGTAAGATTAATCATAAAGGCGGGTACGCTTTCATAGAATACTCAAACGAGCGTGATGCTGAGGATGCCATGTTTGAGATGCTGGGCAAAAACATGGGCGGTCTCTGCTTGAATATTGAGTGATCGAAGCGATCAGATAAGTTTAACCCCAAAGCTTTAAGCAAGCCGAATCCGTCTAAAGATCGTCAAAAGGACAAATGCTTTAATTGTGGCAAGCCTGGCCATATCTCAAGAGATTGCGCAGAGAGAGTGGAATGCTTTGAATGTGGAGCACATGGGCATTTCGCCAGGGGCTGTCCAAATGGCAAAAAGTCATCTCCAAAGAAAAACTCAGTTTCACCGCACAGAAGCAGAAGTCCGCGAAAAAGCTCTAGTGAACGGTCATTTTCTATTGAAAGAGGCGATCTTCCAGAAGAGTTTTTTCCAAAAATTGCAAAAAGTCTTGTGGAAAATAGGGACTTTTATGTGAAACAGGACGAACCACACATTATTAAAGAAGAAATAGTCGACAACGAGCTGACAATGGAGGACGGATCTAAATTTACACTGATTTCCGGAGGATTTAACGAAGAAAGTGCAGTTTTTCGATGTGCGCTCTGCAGCAAAAACTTACAAAAATCAAGTGCGAGAAGACATATAGGAACAAAAACCCATAAGGAGAGGCTGATTAAGGTAGAATAATTATTTTATGTTTCATTAAGGCTCGTTAAGCCGCTTCCTTGCCATAGCTGCCCATATCTCCGCAATTTTTCTAGTTGCTTTCTTGATTCTGTTTTTCCTATCAGGAATATTTCTAAAATTAACGTTCCTTCCTGGTATTTTCTTTTTTGTATTCGATGATTGTATGTTAAACTGCTCGCAAAGCTTGATGCAGTTCAAGCAAATAGTTCTGAAATGTCCATTTAAATTCACATATCCTTGCCAATTTCTCACATTTCAGGTGTTCGCTTGTGTATTTTCAGCGCCACTTTCTTGGGCTATAAATCTTAGATACAAATCTTCTACACTTTCCAGCATTTCTGACTGGATCCCAAATCTTGCACCACAGTATAAGCACCGCTCTTCTCTCTTGCTTTCTATAATAGGGGCTGCTTGGGCCATCAGCTCTCTGTTTCTTCTTGCCCTAAAAAGCCAATTTTTTGTAATTAAAGGCAGTGCATAAGGAATTTCTACTTTTGGAAGATCTTGAAGCTCAAGGAACTCTTTCGGCTTCTCAGCGATGGGCAAAGGCCCAAACATTTTGGAAAACGTAGTAAGAAGTAAACCTCTGTGATATATTAGGTCATCTTCAGAGAGGAATCCTTCTAAATTATCCTGAAGCCAAAGATGATTGTATTTCAAGAATTTTTCTCTTACTTCTTCATCTGTAACTTTTTCACTGTTCAGTTCTCTCCTTATCAGCTCATCATCAGCTTTTACAATGTCAACTTGGTTTCAGTTTTGAATTCTAAATAAATCTTACTCAGGAACTATTTTATTCCTATTTTCTTTTGGATGCAACTGCTGAAACATATCCATCAAATTTTCCATACCGCCTTCAGCAGTTTCTTCTGCTTTGTTATCCTTTTCATCATTGCCATTTTCATTTTCATCATTTTGTATATGCCACACTCTAAAATATTTCCCTAATTTCATGCATATTCATTCTGTAAAATAGCAAATCGACCAAGCAAATAAAATAATAAGAATCAATGCTTTATCGTCAAATGGATTATAACTATTATAAATCAGGATTGTATTAATCCCAATTGCTGACAGAATCATGCCTGTGTCAAACAATGCACACATGAAGAAGAATTGAGAACTAAAGCATAGCCTATAAAGCCTTTGGTTTTCCTTTTCAATTGCGCTGTCATTTTGAGGGTCTAATAGCGCTCAAACTTGTTTTCTGTTCTTGAATCGAGTGTTCATATAGTCGAGAAAGTCATGAATTGCCCATCCATTGAAACACTCATTGGCATTGTGCATGAGCACGTCAATGATGATTTGGAAAGGGAGAATCATAAGCGCAAAATAAAAGTACAGTGGAAAAGAAGAAGTGGAGATTCCATAGTTAGCAGCAATTTGAGTTGCGTCGTAGAAGTTTCAGATTATGGTAATAAAGACCATATTGTAGAGGTTGATGAAAGAGTCATTGGCGTAGTTTTGGTAAGCCTCAAGAATCGGCTCAACTTCCTGCTCTGGAGGAAGCTCAATAGGGAGTTCAGAAACTTCCTTTGGAGTAGGCATGATATTTTCATAAGTGTAGTAAGAGGTGCCGAGTGAGCCAGTAAGAGAAGAAGGCTCATATTCTTCAAATACTTGCTGCTCTAGTTCTTCGTCATATTCTTCAGCTTCTTCTTTAATTTCTGAGCCATGCTGAATATCTGTCTTCTCTTTCGAAGACGCTGATTTCTGAGAAGTTCCTAACGATTTAAGATCAGAAACGTTGCTTACAACGTACTTTACTTTTTTCTGGGCATCTTCAATGTGATCTTGTACAAATTCGAAAACAAAGTCAAAATAAACCCTTGTAAAGATGTTGCAGATGCAATCAACAAAGTATGCTTGAAGAAATGCGACAAAGTTCTCAGCTCCGAAAGTAATAATTTGTCCCATAATACCTAAGGATTGTGCAAATGGACCTGCTGTTAAATTATCTTTGAAAATTTTAGCCCCTGCTTCTTCAAAGATTTTTCCGAACAAGATAATTAGAGCAATAACTGTCCAAATATTGTTTGAAAAAGTAGCTGATGTTGAAAACTGAAATAAAACAACACAAATTGTGACTTCGACGAACGCCCAGAAGATATAATGAAACCGTTTTCATTTTATAAAATCCCAAAAATTTCCCCATAAATCTTCAGGTATATCATCGTTATCTTTATTTTCATCAGGAATATAGAGCTGCGCACATTTTGTTAACAAATAAACCCCACATATAATAAAAGTAACTCCGCACCTTGCTTGCCTGGTTGTGTATACATCTTGTTTATTATTGAAATAAAAGCTTGGCTGAATTGTGTCAAACAGCCCAAATTCGCCTTTATAATCATTTCCTGTGATCCCTATTTTGAAGCTGAAGAAGATTCCCATCTGCAATATTGAAATCAAAGAAAGAGCAAGAACTAGCGGTATTACTGCATAGAATAAACCTATCACAGAAGAAGGAATCATCATAGATAAAAAGCTAAAAAATCTGAACTTGGGCTTTGGCTTTACATCTGTGAAAACTTTGTGATATAAAAATAAGCATGCTCCCATAAAAACCGAGACAGATCCTATTATCAGATACAAGTATAAATAAAAAGTGACGTCAAAGACAAACAGATTCATCAACTCAGTATGAGTAAGTGCTCTGTAGTTTATTACAAGAGTGTAACCTACTTGATCGGTCCCTGCTATTTGGTCAGCTGTCAACTTAATGAGATCTTTGAATGCAACTGTTCCAGTGATAATCACTTTAGTTTTTGTATCAATTTGCTGATATAAGATTTCAAGTTCCACAGTTTGAGGGAGATAGCCTGATGGTACTGCATTGACAGTTTTGATTTCTATAAAGGAGTTTGGCCACTTTGACTCAGAAAAATCACTATCTGACAAAGCATCTGCAGAAATTGAAAAAAATACTTCTTCTGCGGATAGTTCGAACCATCTTGAGTTTGCTTGAGGATTTTGATAGACTTCGTCATAAATGCATTCAATTTCGACATCTAAGCATGAGTCAGCTACAGGCGATTTCCCAAAATCAAACATTCCTACCACTGAAGTTTCATTTGGGCTCACAAGGCTACAATTTTTACTTAACTCGAAAGCTGCTCAAATTGGTATGTACTGCCCATAGCCTTTACAGTTAGAAAAATAAGGAAAATAAGGAGTTACTAACTCCCTCCCTCCGTGAGTGAACAAAACCATTAGAAAAATCCCTATTTTTTGCCCAAAAACCCACCCTCCATGAGTGAACAAAAAATTTTTTTTATGGAAAAAAAAATTGATATATAAATGATAATTAGTATAATGAAATCTAGAGCTAATTCTGTTTAATTTTAAACGAATTGCTTTTTAAAACACAAATTTTAGAATTAAATTAATATTTGCTTTCCAATTTTTGCGAATTAGGATTTTTTAAATTTCGAAAAAAATATTTTTTTATAAAATTTATATATATAATTTTTTTTTAAAAAAAAATTAACTCCCCTCCGTGAGTGAACAAAATTTTTTTGCTCACTCACGGAGGGGGGGAGTAAGGTGCTTCCTATATAGCTTCAATATAAAGTATTAGGAGTGTACCAA